TGATAGTAGCTCAGGATAGTTTATTAATGCTCTTTTATTGTAGACTATCATTTTTATTACATTTTCTTACAAAGAATTCTATCAGCTTGCTTTACAGAGGTGTAATGCTAGCGTTTTGATATCGTCTGCTAATATACGTCTTTTATCAGTGCAATTTTATTAAATTTGTTTCGTATATAATTCATGATTATCACTTTAGATATTATACATTCTTTTATATATAGTCTGATAATTCAATGCTATCATATATTCATCCATGGTTGTATTCCTTTCAATAACATTTCTCTTTATACCTTTAACTTTTTTAGCTACACAACACTTTATTCGATAACAATACAGCTTTGCTCGATGACCTACAAACTCTTCTATGGAAATGCCGCTAGTTTCACTTTAAATTTAGCGATTACTTTTTTGTTCTGATTTGAATATAGGAAATAATCTTTAGGATAATTCAATGTATCAAATAAGTCTTGATTATTCTCCATTTCTTCATACAAGTCATCGGTTCGAATGTCATAGCGGAGCGAGTCTGTATCAGTGAACAGGAGCTTTGCTCTATCGCCATATTTTCTCTAATGAAGTTGTGATGAAAGTCATACATCAATGTCACGCTTATATCTAGTATGTTCATCCCTACATAGATAGGTTTATAGAACTTTAGCTTTTGTTTTTGCATATGACATGCTATCAGGTTTTCCGACCGGAAATATTTTGAATCATTTGAAATTGGGTTTATTAACTAATCTTCTCAATTCTTGTTTAGTCATAACCAAATTAACTTCAACTCTATTTCTAATGTTCTCCATCGTTTTACCGAATAATGTATTATTCAATAACTTGTAGAAATCTCTTTCAAAATCAGATATCGCTTGTTACCGCTGTTTTGTGTTCAGATCTATGTACGGCTTCATCCATAGACTTTCATGGTATTCTAATATTCTATGGATTTTATCCAGTTCCAATCAAAGTTTTTCATATAGCTTCAATTTGCTGTAATGGATTACATATTTTTCACGCTTACCAAGATGAGGTACTAACTTATGAACATCCCATATTTTAATATTTTCAGGAGCTAGAGATAAATCATTATGATTGTGGCCTGTATTATCTTTGACTCTTTAATTTTCAGTCAATAATCTAAAGTTTCCTGTGTGTAGGCTCTGTGACATTGCCCAACCATATAAATTATTTGCGTCCTTGCGTGATATATAATTACTCGTTTTTTTTAGGATCATAACTTTCAGGGATATCCGCGTATTTATTATTTGATTTGGCACATCTTGTAGATATCACTATGCAGATATATCATTTAGCACATCTTGTAGATATCGATAGGATCATATCAGGATCGTTTAGCAAGTCTAATTTTATCTCAGTAATCTTTAATAGAGCATCAAAGGATAGTCCTGGAGCTGTGAAATAGTGGGCTGGATCTAATTTGTATGTTTTCAAACAGGTATTTCTAAAGTTCTCAAAAACTTCACTTAATAAAAAGGTGTCAACTTTGAGATAGAGACTATAAAAATCTATGAATGTTTTGCATTTGAATACATCCCAAACCTCTTTAGCATGTTCATAATTTTTATCTGATATATGTTTATCATCTAATTTGTAATAGAATTCATCCCTCAATGGTAAACTAATCGAATTGATTTTGCCATAGGCATCCACGTAATCGTATGGATAAATATACCTTTGTTTTGTATCAATTTAAACTGCTCATTGTTAGGGAAATATTTTTTCAGTTCCAGATGCTCTGACAAATTTTTTGATAATACATTCAACGATGGAGACATGAATTTAATGGTGTCTAAGAATCTTAAATCTTTTGTTTGTTATGTCTCGCTCTCTCCCATTTTTTATCTATATACGTCCAGAATTGGGTCGTTTGTTTAAAACTTATGTATTTTTTTATCTATTTCTGGTTGACATTTTTTTACCATTCATGTGCACGTTTTGTTTCTGAGCACTTCTAGATATTTGAAAATTCTTTCGGATGCATCTTTACCATTATACAACTCCAACTTTGAGTACCTATCATCATCGCATTTAGTATAGCAACAAATACTATTCTGCTCATGCTTTTAAATATTCGCGTAATAATCGACTTGGGGCCTGGTTGACATAAATCAATCCCTACCAAAATCGATTCAAAATCAGCGTAAATTACAAGGGGATGCTTGAGTCTTTTGAATGGCCTTTAATTTCAGTTTCTCATCAGTAAAAACATATTTGACGGGTGTGTGAACAGAACAATCTTCTATATGTTTGTCAAGAAGGTTTTCGCGTATGAATGCGTGCAGGCAGTATGGACAGACATTCAGTTTTATGACTCGCCTTGTGAATAAATGAACTCAAAGACTTCATCAGGACATAAATGACTTCCATTCCCATTTGTTATTCACAATGATGAAACCACATCTTTAATTGTTGGTATAGTTATTCGAAGAGGGCATAGCTCCCAAACAATAATTCAAGCTATGGATATTTCTAGAAATGTTATTCATCTTTTCAAATTTATTGATATCTTTAACTTTCATTGGGAATTTGATATATGCGAAATCCAACTCTTCAGCTTTTTTCTTTATTATTTTCGTTATTCTGATGACATTTTTTTCCTCTCTGCAGATGTGGCGCGCAACCACCCACTTAAAGCACATGTTATCTTAGTTTTTATATTTTATTAACTTATATTTTGGATGTCTAGATTTTTATTGTATTTCAATAAAGCTAGAACCTCTTAAAGGTTTGTATTAAAAAATTTTAATTGTGAAGTTAGCAACTTGTTTAATATCCATCCAGAAGAGTTGTTCCTAAATTCTTCGATTCTGTGTATCAGGTTATCATACAATCCTTCAATTAAGAATTTAAAAGCAAAGAAAAGTCCACAAAAATTCATATCTTTATAGAAAACGTTTCGGAGACCAGCTCCATCGTCAGTTCGTAGAATCTAGAATCACAAATCAGAAGTCACAAATTAATACATTGAAAGCACAGAACAAAATTAAAAACCTAAATTTACCAGTAATAGACGGAGCAAAAAAACTATCTATTAACAATTTCAAGGGGATAGGAGCTAGCAGCTGAATTCAAACTGGGCCTAAGTTTAAAGATGTACAGCGATTCTAAAATGCGCAAATCGGAAGTCCCGGAGGTGGAAGCTAACACCCTAAAGTCACTGTCGGAAACGGGGACATCACACTGCTCGGCGTGAGCGCGCACAGCCGAATGAGGTGGGCGCGATAGCAACTGTCCGGTTCTACAACTCCTGCCCTTATGCTCAGAGACCCTGGAATAAAGATTTCGTTACGTCATCCCGACGTACGCAGATGCACATCGTGCACAACAATATTGATAAACCAGGGACGATCGCATATGAACAGGGAGCATATCTTTATATCTAAAGAAGGTTGTGCACGATGTGCATCTGCGTACGTCGGGATGACGTCACGCAATCTTTATTCCAGGGTCTCTGAGCATAAGGGCAGGAGTTGTAGAACCGGACAGTTGCTATCGCGCCCACCTCATTCGGCTGTGCGCGCTCACGCCGAGCAGTGTGATGTCCCCGTTTCCGACAGTGACTTTAGGGTGTTAGCTTCCACCTCCGGGACTTCCGATTTGCGCATTTTAGAATCGCTGTACATCTTTAAACTTAGGCCCAGTTTGAATTCAGCTGCTAGCTCCTATCCCCTTGAAATTGTTAATAGATAGTTTTTTTGCTCCGTCTATTACTGGTAAATTTAGGTTTTTAATTTTGTTCTGTGCTTTCAATGTATTAATTTGTGACTTCTGATTTGTGATTCTAGATTCTACGAACTGACGATGGAGCTGGTCTCCGAAACGTTTTCTATAAAGATATGAATTTTTGTGGACTTTTCTTTGCTTTTAAATTCTTAGTTAATTTGCGATTTAAGCAAACAAGTGATATATAATCCTTCAATTGTATAAAAAATTTATGTGAATCTTTGAGAATTCTAAAAACCTTTTCGAATTGAACAAAGCGGTATTATACATTTTCTTGCCGCCCAATTTGATTTTATGAAACTTGACTTGGAAATTCAGCTCTAATTTATAATGATCGAATTTTGACTGTCTAATACTTGAATAACTTTAGATGTTATATTTGTGAGAAATAACTTCGGATCGATCGTTCTTATATCATGATAAATATGTTCTGAGCATTTATAATTTACAGCCTTCATAATATCACCTCGCATGCATTCAAATTTATTTTTTAAATGTTGAATCTTCATGCGCTCCAATTTTGTTCACTTCTCAATTGCAAAGATTTCAATAAAAAAAACTGGCTAATATGCTATCATTTAAACGTTTTCTATGGACGTTTGTTTGCTCATGTCTTTTCAAGTTTTGAACTCCACGATTGCATATTGCGCATATTATCTTTTAATTAAAGTATTCATTTGATTTGATTGAACATAAAATGGCTTCATGAGGCTTCTGAGTTTCTATAAGTTTGTCTAGGTTTTTGAATACTGTTTTACAAACTTCGAAGTGATTCACGCTGACAATATTTGCTTTCACTTCACTTAAGACATATTTTATCCAAAGAGATTTCACATCAATTGTAAGTTTTTTCGTATGATTTACATTAGATGATTTATCAACTCCCATTTTATATAGTAAAAGTAAAAATGACATTGAAAAATTATTGATTTGACCTCTTCGATAAAATGGCATAGGGTAATAAAACACATCATTTGAGATATAGCTTGATACTGAATGTGGGTGGTGACTCTATGCTTGAATTGGTGTTCGCTGTTGACCTTCTAGACCTACAATGATGGAGAGGCGACGTCTGGTAATCGGCGTCTTGGATCGTAGGCTTGAGTCGATTGCGCGCTGTTAATAATGGAGCGTTGTGGTCGGTGCATATAGCTGACCATGAGCTGGAGCAGCGCTAGCCGGATGCGTTCGGTGAGCGCAAGCTAATGACCTAATTGGTTATGCGTTCGCCGAGCGCAAGCGTATGACCTAATTTTTCATTGTTTGATATAATTGAGCGTTGCCATGGGTATGGGTATGGGTATGGGTATGGGTATGGGCATGGGTGGTATGGGTGTGTGTATGGATGGGTAAGGGTATGGGGATGGGTATGGGGGGCATGGGTTTGAGTATGGGCATGGGTCTGGGTATGGGCATAGGTATGGGCATGGGTATGGGTGGGTATGGGTATGAGAATGGGTATGGGCCGGTGTGTGTATGGGTGAGTAAGGGAATAGTTAAAATGATGAGCAGTTTATGACCGGTCAGGATTATTAATGATCGAGACAAACCATTCGAACGAATTCAAATTTATTAATTCTATTCGATTTACCTTTCATCGATATGATGAATATTCGTAGTTATTACATTGCTTGTGATATGCCCTTTGCAGAGTTTCAAGAACTTTGTAATGATACGAATAATGTACCTTATAGCTTTATGTTGGTGAATAAAGATAAGCACCCGGGTTCTGGAAAGTATTTAAAAAATTTAAATCAATTATACACCTTTAAAATGTTTCTTCCATCAAAACACTCGCGCAAGCCCTGAGTTCACGGTTAAAAAGTGCTTGGTCAATCGGGATAAATGGTCGTTAACTCATGATTTTGGTGGGCGATATTCGGGGTAAATACTTAGGATTTTAATAGGAAAACAGTGCTCGAATTTTTGAAGGCAAATACTCTAAATAAAACTTGGGTAAATGACCAGGTTTTATGCATTTGATCAACGGTTAAGAAATTGATCAATTTCGATGGTTAAGATTCAGGGTAGGATTTTGGGTGAATGATTAGGTTTTATTCGGGGTAATTTTTCAATTTTGCTGTGCAACATTCCGGATTAAGATTGTTGGTAAATGATCGGTAACCTGTTAAGCTGTTTATGCAAATTGTTACCATAAGCTCGGTCTCTTTACTACTTATATTCAAGATAATATTAGAAAAACAACTCTTGGAATGTATGTCATCAATTATTTTCAATAATATGGAATTTCATTGTATGAAAATTGAGTGTAATGAATTCATAAGCGACCTGGCGGGCCTCAGCTTCAGAGGCGTACTGGGCGCGGTCGGCGATGTGGCACCGACAGGACATGAGGGCCCCGCGGGGGATGCGGCTCAGCGTCCCCGACGGCAGCGTGTACAGCAGGCAACACAGCCCCGACATTTGCCGCCATGTCTGCGGGTCGTCCCTGGAGGAAAATGTTGATGTTTATTCATCAGGATCTAAAGAGGAAAACTAGATGAACCATTATCATAACTTATTGGTGATGAATGATCAGACACATTATAACTCGTACCTAGAAAATGATACGGGTTTAGCTTGTTCTTGATAAACAGACACGCGTCTATCAGCCTGTGTGGTCAATCAAACGATTATTCGTCCATAATTCGACGGTCGGAAATTTATTCATTATGATATTTCACCATCAAAGTCTTATGATAATATCACATCATTGAGTTTTTGAGGCCTATGTAGTCAATGACTAAAAATCCCAAATTTACTCATCGGGTGGAGAAATCTAGATGGTGTCCGTGAAACAATCTAAATACCAGGTACTAATTTATCATTTATTTACGTATTAGACGTTTTTCTGGCCCATAGGTCAGTAAAATATTTGTATATCCGGCGCTTGCTAAGAGACACGTTGCCATCTCATATTAATCCATCGAATTTTTTTTCCAACAGACCCTTTTTACCGAGCAGCTAACCATGAATTACAGTATATGGTCAAGATAAATATTTTATCAAAATTTTCTCACGTGACTCTCCACCGTAGCAGATTCGCCACCTTAATTCCTATCCACCATCAGGCACTTGTCCAGCAAGTGACTCATCCACCAGTGCTGGCAACTCACCCTTTGAACTTGGTGATCATATTACCGATGGCCGCTCTTCGTCCTCCGTCAAGACATGGCATCAGGACACTTGCCGCCAGGTTCTAAAAGTTTTAATTTGGTGTTATTATAGGAAGTAAACAATGCATCGATAGTACTATGCTACAATTGTTCACTGTAAAATGGCTCATTTAGTCATTAGTTTCACTCAACTCACAATAGGTAACGGCATTTTTCGCCCCATCCCAACGTTATCTTTTAGCACTAAGTCCATTTACAACCTCATCGTCCGAAGAAAATTTTTTCAGTAGTCCATAAGCCTCAGGTAAATCATTCGCTCTACTCGCAATCATTGTCTGACGTTCAAACTAAATGATGAATCACAATTAATTTCGATCACCTCAATTTACTCGAAACTCTGCCAGCTTGCACTCTACAATTTACAGCGAAACTCTACAAATAAATCATACAGGATGTTATTCGCCTCGGCACATCCTCAGCACAATACAACGCTAACAGTAGATACAATCGCTTACTTATCGATGGCGCTGCCACGCGGAATCGTCCCGTTTCCCATTTCTGTATAGGTAGTCAAAATGCGTGCATTCTAACGGATTCGTTTCAGAGGAACATTTTAATGCTATCAAAATACGGCGATGAACTCAGCAGGACAGTGATACGGCTGGGTTGTATCCGAAAATCAGCTGCCGAAGAACGTGATTAGCTTCGCTTCTCAAAACATCATCGCTGCCGAATAGATAAGAAATCTTGTACCACATATAAGATACATTCACCGTCTCAACGACTAACTTCAGAAACACGAAACACTTCAAAACACACCATACCGTAAAAATAACACTTTGTACAACTCTTTTCGCGGATCTTAGTAGATTAGATCAGCACTCGATTATTCATCTGGAAGAGCCTTTTCCTCTACCATTCACCCCTTCAAGCTGCATACTTGGCCCCCAACTGACGTTGAAGACAGTTAAGGTCATACACTCACTCCATTCTAATCCTCATACCAATATACCCTCCATTTCTCTCACTTACGTTGAAGGTGCCGAGGGCAACAGGAGCTCCCTCAGAGGTCATGGAGTTCAGCAGATCGGTGGGGAAGAATAGAAGAATTTCCCCGTACGTGTTAACGTCCGCTCCCGTCAAAATGCTTGGCCGGCCCTACGATGTCAATGGAACTCAGAATTGCAATGTTTGAGGTTCGACGAGGCTTAAGGTCACTAAACAGGACTTTCGCACGAATATATCTGAAAGATTTACACCAGCTAAGAAGAAATGTCAGCATCTCATTGCATGCAGATGATGGCCTGGACTTTAATTATTTCGGGTTCTGGAAGCAGATTCCGACCTCGGTTGTAGAATATTTATTGTAATGAAACAACATACTCGTATTAAATCATAGATGTCTTTAATGTTACTTAGGCAGTTATGCTTGTGCTTCTGCATGGTATTTATTTACGAATACTGTTGGATTATGAACATGAATATTTAAGAATTTCAACTATAGTCCTCAAATCGTTTGCACAGGTCATTTGAAGTGTTGGGCATATCCAGCCAGAGATAATAACGACCAATAGGTTACTATTACTATTTGTCGATTACTATTTCTTAGATGAGTGACCGACGGTTGGTGGCGGAAAGTATAAGATGACAAGATGTCAGATAAATAATGAAAACATTACCATTTAAAGCGCCTCGCCAATGTTTAGCAGATAATTTTGGAAGGAAAAGAGCCAAAACTTTTATCTCATCGGTTTAGGCAATATAAAAAACCAAGTCAGGATTCATTATCCTGAAGCGACAAACTATAAAGCGTAAGTTCATTATTAGACAAAAGTCTCCAGCAATACCTAAAAAGTTTTGTAACCATTTCATAGTTTCTTAATGCAGCACCAATGATGTGGTTTTGATTTGAATAAAATTTTCATTACTTCACGGACCTCTTCCATGCATGTATTCTTGAAATAGGTTAATTATTTCAGGTCATTTTTGGACAAGATACCGTTGAATATTTGTCATAGATATCCTATAGCGCTATTTCATATTCCATGTTCCTGTCGCTATTCCATCCTATGTTGCTACACGTTACCTGTTGTACCAAAATCACTCGTGTGCAAATTTTACGGTATGCAATATGCATGTGTTAGGTACCCAGCTGTTTAGTACTTTGGATTTTGCTTGATATCTCTAAATTATACACTTGGATGCTGTCACATTCGATACGTTTATTCACAGCGCTATTGACCATACCATTAATGGTCTGGAGCACTTTAAATTTGCCAATTGATGATTATCCACGTGAATTTACCTTCGCATTAAGCCCCTCTTCCACGATGGTTTGTATGTCAGACCGGCTGAGAGAGTCGTAAGTCAGCGCCATTCTCCTGTTCGCGACGAGGCGGTCCAACAGGGTTATTTTGCTGACGTCATCCAGGCGCCGAAGAAGGTCCTGGCTGGAAACAACTTTTTAATGTTATTAGAACTCCATTAAAATAAAATAGAAAGAATATTATGACACTACCATAATTGCTGTTACTGGTCGTTTGGTATGGTTATCGACACAATAGCCCGGTCAATCTGTGTATAGACCTAGAAAAAATTGCAACAGAATTTCTTTTTGTGGGGATATTATCCACACATATTCTAGATGATAATTGTACCAGATGATAATTGTAGTACATACTTCCACTTCCACAATAAATGTAGTAATTCCACCAAAAAATGTAAAAAAATTTATGTGGGGGAAGAGTCTAAGAAATAAATTAATATTTTGGTATTTTTTTCATAATTTTTTCCAAATATACTGCACATACTGTTGTACTAAAGTGTATAATGTTTTATTTTCCTATAAATAAATCATCAAATTTATGTTCACATAGTTTAACGACATTTGAATACATTAAATGTCTTAAAATTAGATATGGTTTATACATCATATATAAGTGTAAATAGTCCACTGTGAGAAATTCATAACAGGACATCATATTGCTTGACCACTTTGCCGACAGAAAACAATTTGCTGAAGTAATATAGGAATACATTTATTGTGAGAAATATGAGTCTTTTGTCATTATAGTGTGTTCAGTGTCTAATAAAATACATTGACATCATCTTCATCCATGTCCACTGGAGAGGAATTGCTGCAGCTGGTACTCCTACATTCACCACAGGCCGCAGAACACTCCAGTCCCATCTTCCTGCTTGTGCATCTTCGTGAGCTGCAGTCATTTTCACAGTTGCAATGAACAACCTTCAGGAGTGCCGGTGCTGCTGGTGGTAGGTCTGTTGTTGTGGAGTTCAGTCGACCATCTACCAGACTCCATCCCTAGTGGTTTGGATCTAGTGCAGGCTGACCTATCCATTCCTGTACCTGGTAATAGACTCTCATGCTGTGATACCTAGAAGCTGCAGCAGTGGGTGGGAGAGTCTACCTTGACTGGAGAAGTACTTGTTGACACCTTCTCACAGAACTTGTGGTATCGCAGCTTGTCAAGACCCTCGTTTGGTTGCCCACCATACAAACATACAAGTGCTTCTTCACCTGCCTTTTGTACCTCATCCTTGGTTACAACTTCAGAAAATACACGCGCTTACTTCCTAAATATCTGGTAAGACTTTAACTTTCAAAGTAGAACGCCCTTGCCAATACCAAACAGATGAGATGTAGTGTCACAACCAGCAATGGCATGTACAAATGGCAGTAGGGTACACATTTCTGGCCCTAAAGACCTCTGGAACCAGTGAATGTCCCAGACTGGGAACTTTTTTCCCTTCTTCTTGTTAGAATGCAGATAGAGTGCCTCCGATTCTGGATTAGTACTGAAGATGAGAAGAATTAACAGGTCGGTGTCTTCTCCTATAACTGTGGTGGAACATTCATTTGCACACTCCACTGCTGTTTTGGCAATGAGAACATCAGCATCACCTTCTGCTTGTAGAACATGACAGCCAGCAGACACCAGTTTCTGGGAAAGCATGTTCAAAAACTTCTGTTTCTTGGATGCATTCGTTAAGAACTGTTCCTTCTTGGTGGTGGAAGGGGTAGAGTGATTGAAGTTGACCTTTACTCCAGCTGCACAAAGAGACTGTCGAGAGTGGGTTATGTCATTTGTAGATGGTTCTGCCATGTAGCCATCAAACACAATAGTGGGCTGTTGAAATTTCCTGACATAGTACACATACATGATGCAGATAGAATCAAATGTTGCACCTCTATGCCAGGGCAGTCGATGTAGCAGCGATCCACCATCAAGTACATACTGCATTTGATATCATATGTCAGAGGTTGTGCAGCATGCATGTCATCTTCTTCAACCATATTCCAGATAGCATCTGCTAGTATTGATTTTTTAGCTTCGCGAGGTAGTCCAGATTGTTCAAACAGAGCTTGTGGTTGGTTGCACAGCTCATACCGTACTTGAATACGTCACACATATTCTCAGAGTTCTCACGTGCAACAGTTAGCAGACGCTGGGAGAGTAGTTGTAAGTCTACTGGTACGGATTGTCCATCTACTTTAGCACATGATTTGCTATCCATTGTGACCAACGTGTCACAATGGATCCAACGACCAACGTGTGACCAACAACTTTTTGAACGTAAAGTCACCCACATTTTGCCCAGACATGGATTGATAGGATCTTGCAGCTCACTTCTCTGGCTTGGTCAGCATTCACAGTGCTGCTGGCAGTAACCCCGGTAGCAATGTTCTGTAATGAGTTGTAACACTCAAAAGGATCTCGAAGCTGTAGGTAGTCTCTCCATTTCTCTCAGGTATTTGCTGATGTGATGTTTATTGCAGTATTTTTGGCGACATTCAATATGAACTGACTGTCCAGAGAGTGTTTCAATGTTGTCACCACGTTGTTTACTTGCCTGATTAATGCTAGTACTGCCTTTTTGACGAAGAGTCACTGTAGGCTGACCATCTGACAAAGAACCCCGACATATCACACAAATATTACAGTCCATGTTGCAGGTTTACATATTTTCCAATGGTTTCAATCTGACCTCTGTAGATATAAAGATGGAGTCACTAAAACGTAGGTCTCTGATAAGAAAGTAACACTAAATTAACATAATTTAATGCCTTCACACATTAGGTCCAAGATTTCCCTGCTCTAACTCTACTCTAAAGTAGGGTGCCATAGGTAATATTAATGGCATTGCAGTACCCTCCTAACCATCAGAAATAGCACATACAAGTACATGTAATGGTTTGTAGCTGAAGGTGCCAGGTGTGGAGTATTTGCATTAGTATGGAGTGAGCTAGGAAAACGGCATGTTGGCAACCACAGACAAGCCAAGTAACGCTTGAATCGTAGCTAATTACACGAGAGTCCAAGCATCAAAATTAAGCCGTACGCTTCGTAACGATGATACTAGAACACAGCAAGAAACGAGAGCCCGCTTAATTAATCATGGCGGATATGATCAGGAGGCCCCTCCAGTATTGGAGTAGGAAAGGGGGGGGGATCGAGGCTACTTTGAACGTTGTTTCCAGGTTTAAAATCGCTGAACTATGAAAGTTCCTTCCATGACTTAAAGGGGGCGTATGCCGAAGCCCAACTTCACAATTTAATAATATTCCTTTCTAGGGATGAGCTCACTAGATGGCATAGCAACCTATGTAGTCAGCTGCTAAAAACCATTGAGCAGGGTGTCCATTGCCAACTCTTAAGCATGCTAAAGTTAAGTGTGGTCATATTATATCTTGTCAAATCTCTTCCAGCCTAAACTACAGACGTTACAACAAAACTGAGCGGACCTAGCCTAACCACATTGACTGCAGGAAGTTAGAAAGTTGGTTCAAGTGAAAAGATAGAGCCAATAATTGGCGGCAAGAAAGCTGTAAATGGGAGCAGCGTGAATAGGTTAGGCCGGAGTAAATAAAGCTTGATGCAGAACTGCGCGTTTATGAGCGAAAATACTCAACTCTTTGATCTCGGATACATTTACCGTCATCAATGCTATTTGTACCTAGTGGCTTCGGACCAAGAAATCCCATCAATTACGATCTACAGCTTTATTATCTGTTACCAGTGTTTCTCGGGTAAGGGGCCGTACTTACACAACATCGCTAAGTGTTCTTAGCGAAATTAAATACTGCGTAAACCTGCTAGGTGCGCGTAACTCTAAATAATGGTACTTTCAAATTATGCTGCGAAAAGTTACTTGCAATAAGTTGGACGTAACTTTGCGACAATTCAGAGGTAGCGTAAGGGGAGTTACGAACAATCTTTGAGGGAGTGAAGCGATAGGGAGCCATTTAAGTTACTAGTGTCTAGACTCTAGACCATTGGTTCCCAAACTTTTGCAGGCTGGCTCCCTCTGTCTCCCCAGTGTATTCTTAGCGCCCCCCACAGACACATAATGTTCACATGGCGCCCCCACGGACACGCAAAAAAGCAAGATTTTAAATATTTCCAAAAATTTGCACTAAAAACCCAGGAGAGGGTAAAAAACCCAGATCTAGGTGGAAAAACCCACCGCTGGGAGCCGTGTAGGTGCACGTGTTGTGTACAAATGGTCAAACAAACGTTCGAACTTTCCGACTTCGACTTCGGACTGCCATCCCCCTACCCTTCTTCCTCGCTGCCCCCCCCCAGCACTTTCCACCTTTCCACTTTCCACTTTGGGAACCACTGGTCTAGACTCTACTATTGTCTACACTCTAGTATCATTTTAAGGTAAATCCTCCAATTTTTATTTAGAAAAATATCCTTCTTATATGTAAGGAATTATATTAGTCATGCATCTACTCGATTTTTTCTCGATAAATGTCGATAAAAAGTCTAATTTGTGGAACTTAACAATGAATTCACAAAAATTTCACTCTCGTTGTTCATTATATCATTAGATGCATGTTTTGCTGCCTTGAAACGGCATTTTTCATTGAAATTTTAGAGTAGAAGTGTCTAGGATTTTTATAAAGAGCCAAAAATGTTTAAATTACTGATCACAGGACCGTGGCATCAATTGACCCATAATTTAAACAAAGGATGTGAACGAACTTGTGATTGGCTGATTTGCAACGTGGTTTGAAAGTCCGCTCATAGCTAAGTCGTGTGTACGAAAATTTTGAAAGTGTCAAAAATTGCTGTGCGTACGCTAGACATATCTTTTGTGTGCAAGTTTAAGAAGTTACGTCCACTTAGCAATGTTTTGACGGTACCTGCTCTTGATTACACTGTTCAATTGCGTGGTCTGTAACTTCTAGTTTCAGGCTATTGCTAGAACCTTGACCCTGGCTCTAGTACTTATTTACGAGTTGAAATGAAAGAATATCGTCCTGTGGACGCTGGTAAATTTAATGGCATTCAATTTATTACGCTCGAATGAAACTTTCCGAATTTGATTAAAACGTTGACATAAATTTGTACTTTCTACGCTAAGCAAGTCTATGATGTCTTCAATCTTATAAATGAACTGATATGCCTAACTTTTAGTCTGAAACGGATAGGGATAAAAAAGCTCGACTTAGCTGTCAAGGCATCAACTCCGGTAAGAATATGACTTGATGCACTATAAGGACATTAATTCTACCCCAGGATTACTGTCTTCTGACACCAGAGCCTGTCTTGCGTTGATACCAAATGTTTTGTGAAACGAAACACATATTTTTCTTACAGCGCGGAACTCACTACCGTCTACTAACTTATCACGTATCGGACTGGTGGAATGTCGATGAGTCACAAGGAAAATTTTTTTGTATTATTTGGGTATTGGTAATCTCGACAAGACGATTTTAATTTTTTTCCAAATCTACATCGACATACGGCAAACTCCAGTGACAGAGCCAACTCAGTTCAGGTGAGGAGCTGGTTTGAGCAGGAGAGGCTGCATGGCGGAAAAACAGGTCAGATGAGCACAGGCTAACTAGAACTGGAGTGTGGCTGGCGATATTGTCTCTAAATCGGACATTTCGTCTATCGTGCCTCGTCCGCCCTACTACCGGCGCAGAATTTAAATTTGGCGGTGATGATAGACTTGGTGAAATCCAATATGAAGGATTTTATAATTTAATTAAATAAAATTATATATTTATTACTAGATTCTGTTTTTAATTATTTTAACCTAATCTGAAGGTATTTACCTGAAGTCGTTGATGTTTCATCGGCCCACTTTTATTTGCCCTGCCTGCATTGTTTTAGTGTCGTCAACGTTTATCATCATGGGTACACGTAACGCTACCTAATGATAAATTGTTGAATGATAATGCAAAAAATGACAATATTTATTCCAAAAAATCACCCGAAGGCAGCGACGACGCAGATGGGCATGAGCTCGATGGCGGAGGGCGTGAGGAGCTGGAAGACCTCCTCCTCACTCTGGGTCATCATCTCCGTCGCGGTGTAGTTCACGTAGAGGTCCTTGAGCACGGAACACTGCAGGGCAAATAGTAATGAGTTAAACTAGTACTCTCATTGCTGTGCGTCCGGGTGAATACTTGTTCAAGATACTTCACTGTTAGTTACGGATTTCGTTGCATAGAGGCGTTACACCTACCGCCTGGCGCGTAGGGAAGCCGTCCTTCATGTACTCGAGCTGCTGGACGATGTTGGAGGTCGGGATGTTCCTGGCGTCCACCGCCTGCAGGAACATCGCCGCGTTGGCGTCGGTGTTCATATTCACCGCCGCCTTGAAGGCCTTATCCGATATCATCAGGCCCTGACCAAGGGAATAATATGATTGCCCGTAATAAATAGAAGTGCATATTTATTAACTAATTATGCATATTTATTAACTAATTAATAGGAGAAACAACCAGAAGTTGAATTCAAATAAATCTGGTGTATTCCACAAAATATATAAAGATCTGCAATTTCAAACAGTAATTCTTTCTTGCCTAAACCAATGACAGAAAGTACTAGCGTAGTAGCGGAAATCGTAAAGTGCTTGGCAAGCATAACTCGAAAGGTAGGACCAGTTGATTGGAAAATAATATTGTTACAATAGTGACTCAAAGGAGTTATCAATTCAGGCTTTAGGTTGGAGATAATAATATAGCTGTAGTAATCGCCCTGTCAAAGCAGTCAAGTCAGTCATACCTTTAATTTATATACGAATCGCATCATAACAAGTTATATTGGTAGGTCGTAACAAAAATAGCATCTGACCATCTTGGATGAGGGGGGCATGCCGTCAGCCGCCGGTTTCAAGCCATCCTTGTTGAGGTCCTTGTATATATTGGTATGGATGGCCTCCTTGGCGTTACCTGGGGCGCCAGTCAACTGGCCCGACCCAATCTGAAGTGTTTCATTCGATAATTTCATTAGTTAAATGGCTTATCTAAATACGTTTACAAAGCATATTGTGAATTTGCTGGAGATATAGTGACCTTGCTTGGTGTTTCTGTAATTTCAAATTCTTGATGTACTTGCAATTTAAGCAGACAGATGATATAATTATTTATTGTGAGTTTGATCGGTGTATCGTAATCCAGCGGAATAACGGATTGCGGTCATGAGCTTCATCAGAGATGTTCAAGGCATTTGATTATCAAGGATGCCAGGGGTAACTGGTTATCACAGATATCAGGCCATTTAGGTACATGCCTTAGTTTTTGTAAAGTATATATCCTTTTTGATTAGTGACAGTCCACAATTGGAGTTCCTTAATTAAGCAATTGACAAAGGAATATTTTTTATTTTACGGGTAATGGGAGGAACTTTGATGCATAATTTTGAGCTAACTATTATGAAATTATTGTTTTTGAACATGAAGTTGAACCTATTTATTTGTTCAAAGTGTCTATGAAGTATTGAACAGACATTTTCATCAGTTAAGCAAGGAATTCATTTTTACAAACAGATTTCGAACTGAATCGCTCGTTACGGAATGCCAACTCACGCCTGATATGAGGGTAGCCATCTGTGCCGTGTTGAAGGAGTTCCTCCCCAGCACCGTCAACCTGTTGGTCAGGGACATGGCCGCCTCATCGAGGTAGCGCATGGGCGCCACGTTCAGGAGCTCGTCAGGGACGGCGCTGATGTCCAGCGAGTTGCCGCCGCCAGAGGCCACTTCGAACACTTTGTTCTTGATCAGCATCAGCTGGGGGTTGTGCAACATTAATATTACATTACCATACTATGACAATCGCACAACCCTCACATATCTTTAAATCACAATCTATTCATTGCCATGGCATGAACATAAAATCTTCTCCTGCGATGTAGAACAGCGTTGATATGATTACGAAAGCGAAGCATAGACGTTGTTTTTAATCGAAAATAAGAAATGTTTACTTCCTTTTGTTGAGCGTAAGTAGGATGCTGCTTCTAACGTCGACAGGCTAGACGGAATCTACTCTATCATGAATGAGATCCTTTACAGAGGTCGCTCTAATCATGTAACCGATAATAAAAAATACGACTAGCTCAAACATCAGAAAAACCTATATACATGCATAGATCTCGAGCCAACATAGATCTCAAAAAACCTATATACATACATAGATCCAGCTCTTATTGCCACCAAGGGCCAAAACGTCTCATGGGCCAAAACTTCTAACTATAGACTGTGTCGATTATTCCTTTTCACGGTGGTGCGTAGTTGAAAATTTACTCTCAACGAATTTCAACGTTCAATCAAACGACACCATAGGCACAAATAGCGAATTAATTTGTAGCCACATTCCGGACATTTCTTAAAAATTTCAAAGTTTTATAGTTTTCTTTATGAGTTTTCTAAAATGCCAACTTGTCTTCATGTTTTGATGTTATCATCAGACGCTACCGTTGCGGGAAGATCTCGGCAGGTATTTTCAAAATATTGCTAAGTGGACGTAATTTCTTGAACTCAAGCACAAGAAGATTCGTCTAGCGTACGCACAGCGACTTTTGACACCTTCATAACTTTAGTACGCACGACTTAGATAAAAGCGTACTTTCAAACCACGTTGCATATCAGCTAATCACAAGCTTGCTTACATCATTTGTTTACGTCATTGGTCACATGATGCCACGGTTCTGGGATCTGTTATATAAACATTTTTAGCTCATTTTAGGAATACTAGAAGCTTTTACTCTAAAATTCTAATGACAAATGCTGTTTTAAGACAGCAAAACTAGTATTTAATGATTAATATGACAATGAACAACGTGATTAAAATTTTTGTGAATTAATCGTTTAGTTCCACCATTTAGACTCGTTTTCTAACGACATGCACCGAGAAAAATTCATTAGACACATAACTAATATAATTCCTTGGGTATGAAATTAGGACCTTTTCTAGATAAAAATTAGAGGATTTACCTTAAAATGGTCCTATAGTCTAGCTAATAGTATGATACTAGAGTCTGGACACTAGTAACTAAATGATTCCCAATAGCTTACTCACTTATAAGTGGTTCGTAATTCCACTTACGCGACCTCTGAATTGTCGCAAAGTTACGTCCAATTTATGGCACGTAACTTTCCGCAAAATGTTCTGAAGGTACCATCATTTGGAGTTACACGCACTCTGCGGACTTACGCTGTACTTAAATGGCTACAAACAATTAGCGATGTTATGAAAATACGGCCCCAGATATCGCTATAGAGCGAGCGTAAAATCTTAACAAGCAAAAACTCTTCGAAGGTTTTTAACATTACAGGGCTACCACCCAGCACGAAATTAAATACATAGATAAAACCTAACCATAATAATCAATCGTTTGCACAGCTTTCCAGTCACTTTTTGTGGTTATGCCCAATACAGTGGCATTTATGCATTTTTTATCGTTGCTCCATCTATCATGAGTCACATCCGTAGCAAACTTTATGGCTTACTTCAGCTAATAATAAGCGTTTAAATTACTTTTTAAACACAACACTTCCAAAGAGGCCTGTGTGTCCGATGTTACACATGCACAATGAATTTCTTATTTTATTTAAAATATTAAGAAGACAATTATTTAAAATTTTTCTTTATTAATAAATTTTTCTTTAATTATTTATTCTGGCGTTTGATTGAAGCATTGTCTCCAACTTAATGCAAGCGTGCAAAATTTCAGGTCGATTGGACAGAAGCGTGGTAAATATCGATTATAAGATTTGTAGCAGACAAACAAGAAACAAGAAGTGAAGTTAAAGAGAAGTGTTGTAAAAAGTATACGAGTTGATGCTGCTGCGGGAAATGATGTTCAATTCGTTGCCATTATCCAAGTGAATTATCACAGCCTCAACGTCATTTAAATGTCTAACCTCGATTGTATGTGGCAAATTTATTTTAAAGGCAGTTTCTTCAGATGCGAGATATACATCTTGTTTTACAAAGCTTTTCTAAGGCGATCAAGTTGAATTTGTGAGTTGTGTTAATTAACTACTCACAGAGCTGCGTGTGAAGTTAAAGTTAGTGCTGCGTTCGAAAGATTAATTGAACTTGCATATCTCAAAGTAAATCAAATTCTTTTTATCTCGCTTTTTCCTCCTTATTCTTATCAAGGACAATTATTTTAAAATGCTTGGCTTTTCACAGCAGAAGTTGAATTTCTACGGCAAACTTGAATGTGTCGAATTTTGGCTATTATAAACTACCACAAAACTGCCACATCAACATTGCACAGCCATCACCACAACGGACACAAGCACCAACCTTGGACTTGGCGGTGCTGCCGACCGTGTTTTGGATGGTCGTGAAGAGTCTCCTGAGGTCCTCAGACGAAATGGAGAAGGTCCTGAGAGTGCGGTTGAGCATCAGGCCTGACGCCAGCGCCAAACGGTTCATTCCTGCGAGGTACATGACGGTACTAATAAGGTACCTTTCGATGCGTGAATAATTTAAGATATCATTGGTGCGTAGACCCTAATTTTAACTGTGCGTCCATCCAGAGGGTCGTGAATAGATGGAAGCGAAAACGTATATGTACTTTGTTGGGAACTTCATTGTATATGTAACGTGACTTGAAAAAAAAGTCCTGTTGCACTCGCGCACAATTTGCCATATAGTTTTTATGTCAAGTTCTAATGTTAATGATTGTTCACTAACGCTGAGACAGAATTACCCACGTATTATTGTCCCAATAACTCAGCTTTTATACGCCGTTATCCCTCACCATGGATTTTGTGGGCAATAATACAGTCCAGGTGGAATCATCGTCATATTTACAAAGGAAATATCCAATGCTATGTCAATGCCTACGATCAATTAACCACGGTCTTGCTCGTGCTGTCCGGGCAGGAGCCCGGACCTGCTTCATCCTCTTCAAAAGTCCAACACAAAAGTCAAAAACTTTAGCCATCAAGAAGACTGGTATCGTGAGTCCACTGCTCAAAAGCACATTACACTAACATTTCAGCCAAATCTCAGGAACTTTTAGCAAGAGTTAGGTTATGTTAGTGATAGCTCCAACAGGCAATATTTATGTAAACAGGACCACAGCCTTGACGGTCTTTTAATAGCAACTTCTTCTCTGATAGTTGGAGGTCTTAAAATGTGCCGGACTTTCCCTTCTTCTGTTTTTCAAGTCTCGAGTTGTATTGTAAAAGCGCCAGTCAATCTCAAACTCTCTGCTCTAGTGGGATCTTACAATGATGAATCGATGATCTTTCTACGTCAAATTTTGTCTCTCGGCAGCAGCTATATAACTCACCACTGTGGCGTCTCGAGCAGTCATCCTTTTTATTGTTCTTTAAGGTAGCTCACCTAGGTATGTCACGTGTCATTCAACACCGTCCCTCACCAAAGGAAAATTGAATTTACTGAATTTAATTGAATTTAATTTAATTTATATTGCACAATCACTCACCTAGGTTTCGGATTTGTTCACTGGTGAAGGGTGATGTGTAGTTGAACAGACCCTGAATGCTGTTTTCCAGCACCTAGGACGGAAACTCGTTTTACCGCACTGGTTAAATTACGATGAGTTATGGAGTGATTGAAGAGTTTCTTTAGAAATTTCGTAGTTTGAGGGCAAAATGGCAATCTATTGAAAGAATTTTGGATTGTTTTGTTTTGAAACTATATTGGACATGAAAAGTTTTATTGGACATGAAAAGTTTTATTGGACATGAAATGAAGTACTTATGACAGTAATAATAGCACCGGGGCGCAATTAACAAGCACAGAACTTGTTTAAAATGAAATCAAATTCGTCATAAGCACTGAAGATAAGCCATGTAAAAGACCCACAAGGAGAGGAACAAGCTTAGGAATTCTCATGTCACGTCTTAGGACGCTCTACGGGCTCACCAAAGCGTCAATGCCACCGCTTTGCAGCGCAGTGGTGGTGGAGGTGTCCAGTTCGTTGCGGATGAGACGGTTGTCGGCGTCTAGCACTTCATTGGGCAGGTCGGTGGCGTACACGAACTGCATGAGGCCTGCGCTTCGCAGCGGGCTAATCACTGCCTTGATCTGTCACGCGTAGATGATGCAGCATGAATCAATGAACAGTCGGAAAATTTGTTCTGAAGACGATGGAAATTCTTAAAACGTTAAATTGAGAATCCGCCTTATGCAAAGAAAGACACTTCAAAGATGTAGACTAAATGGTAATAACGACTTTAACTAATTTTTTCTCTTTCATGTACGTAGCAGGTATTATTTCTCTATTATTTTATTCTTTTCTCTTTCATGAGCAGGTATTATTGACATTGTGTATGAGCGCCGCGAAAAAGAGATAGGTATTGTAAACTGTTCACGGTATCAATAGTCCCACATTATACTAACAACAGATTGTGTCTGTGTCCTAGAATTTTCGAACTGATGACGGACCCGGACTACGAAATGTTTCCTATAGAAATACGGTGAGTTTTTGAGGAATTTGTGTTTTTGTTTGTAATCTGAGAACTTCAATATGTTCAATAATTTGTCCCTATATCGTTTAATCTTTATAAACTTTCAATTTCCATTCTAACATGGTTTCCAGACCTTTTAAATATTGAACGTCAGCTCTGGCATCAGACAATTAAAAATATGTAAATATTTTATTTTCAAGGCTTTTTGACTTGTAGAATTTAATGATGTACAATTTTAGTATGCAATAAGATCTTTCACTGGGGTGGATGCCTTTCAGTGAGGGAGTTCTGTACATTCCATTCCACGAAGAAATAAGTTGCTCATGTTTTCTATTGATAATTCAGTTATAAAATTTAGATTTCACAGGTCGCGCTGGAGAGGGAGGTGCCCGTTTGTTCGCAGAATGTTTTGTCCAAGCTTGATATTTTGCTTTGCTCTGTGCCATTCAAAAGATAATCTATCTCTTTTTCCGTTGTTTGGTCAGTTCCACTTTGAAAATTTGCAAAGTTCCCAGTTAATTTCCTGAAATGGCATGCGAAGGACGCGATGAAAATATATGCCTTATGTTCAACGAGCATCAGCATGACTTATACGCCTCTCATCTGGAAGGAATACCTTGTAACTTTAGGTACGAAATGGAAGAAACGCAATCATCATATAACGAGTATCATGAATTATTCATTATAAAACAGCTAAGTCAGGAATGCACACGCGGGTAAAGAACTCGAGCTGACGTATGAACGATATTCAAAGATGCATGAATAATTTCGTTTTTAAATGACCATATTTATAACACGAATAGTAATTAATTCATTAAGACTCAAGAAGCACGAACCCTGTCGATTTCAGTCTGACTGACGGACGGTGGTGGGTTGTCGGTGCTGCGCCGTACGTTCTCTTTCATGAAGACCTTCTCGACGATGTAGCGGCCCAGCGACCTCACCTTCGACGCCTTACTACGCAGCATCTGTAATATGGCACTGTTAGAAAAATCACCGTTAAACGGTATTACCGGCGTCTCATTAACCGGTCGACACGTGAAAATAAACAGCGTGTTGCCGTTTTTATTTCAATTTTATACTAGAAACCCGTGTAACATCTAAAAAAACAGCGAAACGGTTCAATTTCACGGAGCGGCTGGTTACTAGAACGACGGTAAGACCGTTTTTTCACTGTTTTTTCGAACATTGAGGCAACGTGTTATTCAACTGCTCGTTCCAATGCCATCGTCATCATGTACACGAGGCTTAGCATGCTATTCTTACCATGCAGTTAATCAAACATGAGTTTCGTTTCTCTTAATTTTTCAAGCCATCCTGAAATTAGACACATTGTATCTTTCAACTCAGCTGGATCAACTCTTACCGCTAAGTGATTTATTGCCTCCTTTCATCGATCATGCCATCCAAACAAAATCAACAATATTTAAACTGTCGCATTTTTCAGTTAGTCATTCACTGGTTCAACATGTTTTAAGTCTCAATTATAAATTAAACTTACATTCTTTAGGCTACATCAAATCCCATATCCATAACTGTTTATTCATCACACAGTCTCCAACAGGTCCCTTACATATCGCAATAAAATTCCCCTCAATTGCCTCACCGTCAAGATTTCATCCTTTCGTGTTAACAGGACGTCAGGCTGGAGGCGCAGGAAGACGGCGTCGGGCAGGATGCTGAGGTCAGTCATTTTGGCGAAGGTGTCTCGGTCCCAGTTCCTAGCGTCACCGTAGGTCTTTTCGATGAGCCACGCCCGCAGCGACAGCATGTACTGGGCGCGTACGGTCATTACGTCGCCCTTAGCCTCTTGCTGACTTGGGCACGATTCGGATCTGGAGCCCGAATTATCCGTGCACTGCCTCACTTCATTGTTTCTGTCAGGATATTTTCAGGTGTAGATAACACGAATATGAAAAAATAAGTTCAATTATTTTGATTTAATATTTTCATCTATAGCGCATCGAAATTAATTTAGAATTCCGCGGTGTTTGTTATTCTAATAACGAAATCATTAACTAGAAACCGATTCAATCCGAGTTTTATGAGAAGAAAAGAGTATTTCACGTATTTTGTTAACAGATTTAGGCTTTTGTTTTTCGTGCACTCACAGCCGGGTAATAGTTGGAACATCGCGTATGTTGGTGAGCATGGAGATAGGCAGGTAGAAGAGGATGGGCTTCAGGCTAGTGATATTCGCTTCCATCCAGTCCCAGGAGTTCCCCAGCTGCTCTAGCAGCATATTCACTTCTACTCGCGAAGCCTGGCCAGGAAGCAAGCGATGTTTTAATGTCCAAGACTTTTGTAATAAGGGAAGACAGACATATTCCATATTTAGCCATCAAAAAACATAATTGTTTAAACTTTGTTATCAATAAGCAAGGAATGAATCTCATTTATTTAAGTTTAAATGAATATTCTTTTCAATTAGTGCACACGTTGGACAGGAGTTCCCATATAGCTGATTAAAGTTCCATAAAATTAGGTTCATGCGAGAATTTTACTGCGAAGGCTGACTTATTTTTAATTTAGTTCTTTAATTAACAAGGACTTCACTGACGTTTCTCTAAGAATTTGCTCGCCGTTATATAATTTAAAAAATACTAAAGAGACAATATAAGCCTATGGAATATTAAATCTACTTATAAATGTTGAACAGTTTCTAGACATTGCCTTTTAAAATCTATTCCATGTGTAAAATTTAATGTTTGTTTCTTAATTAATTAAATTGCTGTTTGAATTGATATACTGCGATCAGAAATATGACCGTTTGGATAGATGATTAGCTAGGATGGAGAAACTCGGTCCAGGACTCCAGGCGCTATTATTAAGCGCCAATCGACTGGAGAAGGATTCGTTGACTAAGTTCGTGAGGGAACAGTAAGATACCATCTGTCTAAATAACTTAACTTGATACGGGGTGGTTATACAAGAGAGTTATATTAGGGGTATAAACCTATGACGTTGACCGTTAGGTCAGAGCAGCTCTTACCGCCAATTATATCGCGGCATGCATACCTGTCTGGTCTGTTACTAGGAGCTTTACTGAGGTTCCCAGCCTCTTTATAGACTTAGTACTTTCGTCCACAGGGTTTTTGTCCTCGTGACACATATGCTGTACAAGCTGTAGACCCGGCTTCTGAGGCAAGCTCTCAGTGACACAGTGGACTCATAGCTAATTAGGTCGCTGGTAAACACATTAGGATTTATCCCCACAAAATACTTCGGAACGACCCCTCCTCGCATAAGATCGTTCTCCATTTTAATCAAAATGAAGAAAACATTAGAATTGATCTATTAACTTACACCGAGTCACTGCATAAACATACATCAAGTTTGAATGTATATGTCAAGCAAATTAATTATCGGTGAGCCTTAATTAAATAAAAAGATAAGAAGTATTGTATGATATACCGTATTGTAATTGTCAAACAAAAAATCAATATTAGCATATTGTTTGAATGGAGTGTCCAGGGGCGGGATTATCAAAACATCACTACGTTACTACGTACACGTACCCACTTACGTGTGGCGTAGGTGCTGCTATGAAGACGTAACTCTAGCGGTGGTATTATAGAAAAGAAGTGCCGGCACTGAAGAAATAGGCGCACGGCCTGTTGTGGAGATCAAAATATTTGTGCGGGAAGCTACGTACAAGAAGTTGTACCGCTTGTACGTAACTTTACGCCTGATCGGAGATGTCGTAAGGGAAGTTACGAACAACTTCTGAATGGGTGAAGCAATTAGTAATCAATTAATTACTAGTGTTTAGACACTACTAGTGTCTAGACTCTACTGGTGTCTAGACTGGACTAGTGTCTAGACTCTAGTATCATTTTAAGGTAAATCCAATAATTTTAATATAGTATTTTTTTATATCTAGGGAATTATATTAGTCATGCATCTAATGAAGTTTTTCTCAGTAAATGTCAATAGAAAACGAGTTTAATTGGTTGAGATAAACAATGAATAGATTAACCTTTATACGAAGTCGCAAAAATTTTACTGCTGTTCAATATATCATTTTAATCATTAAATATTTGAGGCGTCATTCATACGCCCGTCTCTCTGTCTCTGTCCATAGAAAGAATAAGTAGCCCACGCAATCTGATGTGGAACCTGTTAGGCCGTACGTTAATCATCCTTGTGATCTGGTACTTACTACGCGGTACTCCTATACGAACTATGTAAGTCTAAGTAACCTATAGTAACTAAAAATCTTTCCACTTATTGTTTTCTCCATAATTGTGTTTATTGTAAAAGCGTGTTAACGTTGTTTCTGGTTCTTGTGTATAGATAGTTTGTATTAGTGTTTCATAGGTAATTTCCATAGTTGTTTGTATCAGCGTCTCATAAGTAATTTGTTTTCAGCTTACACGTTTACGAGTAAAGTGGAGACCCCCGTCCATCTTCTTTACTCCATACGAGTTAGCTGCCCGAAAGAGCGTACGACATGAACGGCTCGCTCGGAACAATATTTGTTTTGTTATCTTAATATGGCATTTATCATTGATTTCTTAGAGTAAAAGCGTCCAGGATTCTTCAAAAAAGTAAAAATGTTCTAATAACTGGACACAAAAGTGTGACGTTATATGACTCATAATTTAAACGTAGGATGTAAGCGAGCACTGATTGGCTGATGTGCAATGTGGTTTGATAATACGCTTTTAGCTACTGTAAGTCATGCGTACGCAAGCTTTGTAAGTGCAAAAATTGGGGTGTACCTACGCAACACGTAGCTATATTGCGCGAAGGTATAAAAAGTCACGAAGTTTTGATAATCCGGCCCCTGCTGGTTACTCACTATTGGTGACTCGGCCCCTGCTCTGGGCTGAACAATAGTGAACATGCTACTGCAGCTGCTACGTTTAGTTAAATCTTCATAAGTCTGACTAGCCATCGGAGACCCGACTAGTAGATTTCCTTATCATTTCAGAGATTATTTACTTATAATATTATTATTACAATTCAGTTTCTCGAAATTGCATTGAAATAATTCATTTCCTTCGATGCATCTCCGCATTGTTTAATGTAGGATAGTTTGGACATTTGAAGTTCAACCTTACATGCTTTTAATGTAGGGCACAGTAAATATATAGGGGCTGGCCCAGCGCGAATCAGCTACACTTAGCATTAGGTCTTGATTTTTTTGTCATTTGCTAGTTTGCATTTTGGGAATCTCTGCTTCTATCGCTAATGCTGGAAGATGACACTAACGTAGGATCATTTAATTGAGCCATCTACTTCGTTTTTTTTTGTTCTACCAAATGAATCTCGGTTCTCATCCATTGCTTCTGCCGCTAATTATCTACCGCTACCAGAAAGTCGTAGTTGATGAGAAAGAGCGTAGAAAGTAGAAAGGTCCTCCAATTTACAGTTTTTTCAATCTGCTAAAGGAGCCTTACAGAGAATGAGAAAATTGAACTTGGCGACTCAGAAGATGTGCACCGTTTTCGCTTGTGGTGAGGTATGACTTCGTCAAAAGCAGATCGGGAAAATTCTTATGGAATGACTTGTAAAATAGATAACTATCATGCATCGGAAATTACTCACGCTTGTGTTCACAAGCAAGCTCCGGAGCCGGTCGATGGCCTGAGGTATGGTGATGTTGACTCTCTGCAGGAGGTTCATCTCGTCCTTGATGCGCTGCGTCAGAGACGGCGCCAGCAAGTTCCATGTGTTGTTTCTCAACGAAAGTAGAGGTAGCGCCTGTATTTGCAAGGTGCACATATGAAAGGAAATCATTAGGACGAAAAGAATTTGAGAATGATATGGTTGAAAAGAAGGCAAGGTTTAAAAAACGGGCAATTAATGTATTTTGGAAGTGAAGGAAACAACACCATATAGTCATGAGGAAATATTTTTCATCGTGATTAGCAACGGCCAAGAATCCTGTTAGATTGATTCTATTATTGCAATGATAAATTATTTGTTTAGAGTTCAATTATTTCTGTCAATATTGAGAAAATCTAAATAACTTTAAGGGGATCAAAGAGTGATTCAGTATTAATGTAATATTCACTCCCCTCAAAATTTTAAATTCATTCATGAGCCACGGTAACCTCCAACACTCCGTACCTATCACATTACTCAAGACCCATTTCAGTATAGCTGCTTCTCATTCGTTACCCAAATCTATTTCCCAAACGCACTCTCCTTCTCATTAGTACACCCACCACGCACCCACATCACTTCCTTACCCCATTCTCATTTTTACTTGAACCCTAGCATGGCCTCCCCTTTCACGATGCTCACCCCGTTCTTGACCCACAATATGGCCTCCTCCTCACCCGACATTCATCCATTACTTGTGTCACATTATTGCCTCCCTTCACCCAATAATCACCCAGTACTTGCACCAAAACATGGCTTCCTCCTCATTCAAGTCTCGCCTTATACATGCGCCTCAACATGGCCTCCCCTTCACCCAACACTCACGACGGACATGCGCCATAACATGGCCCTCGGCATCCCCTTCACCCGATACTCACCTCGTACTTTTGCCTCAACATATCTCTTCCTCTCCTCGTTCTTGCCTCACAACATGGCCTCTTCCTCACCCGACAATAACACAATACTTGCGTCACATTATAGCCTCCCTTCACCCTATACTTACCCCGTACTTGCGCCACAAGGTGGCCGGCAGGGCTCTCGCCTCGTCCACGGATAAGAAGCTCAGGTTGCCGCGAGCCAGCAGGTCTTTGTAGGTGGAGTTGTAAGCTTTGTAAGTATCTGAGTTGAATATTCGTGACATCCTGCGACCATTAAATAGAATTAGAAAAGTTACAGTGTTATTGTGTTGGTTGTGTGCTTAAAGTTACGTGGGCGAATGCTTTATATCATTTGTCTATAAGGGAATGAAGTTGCAAAAATGAAGCTATATCATAATGAAGCGAATTTTGTTGTAGTTATTTTCAGACACTTATAGCCAAAATATATAGGACGAGTTACATAAGCGTTGGTGTAAATTTGTTCACTTTTTTACTATTAATTTACATGTAAGAGCATCTACACATATAGAATCTACGTATTAGTTCTATACGCCTAGTGTACGGTTGTTATTCGCTGCTGATTGAAACTCTCATATTAATATACTGTTTGTAATTGTGCCTAATTGTAATATGTGTAGTTGGGGGAGCTTTCAAACTATCTAGTCATGATATTTAAATGCTAAAAATTGTTTTTCGTAAGGCTTTTGAGCCGTAATATTGCTCAACGAAATATATGTCAAACTTTTTAGGCTCGTCTAGTTTCAGTTACATTTTAAGCTAACGCTCTAGCTGCCTGAATTGCTAGTTCTTTCACCGTTCAACCAGTCCTCCCTTTTACTATATCATTTCTAAGAAGGTCGTATGTTAAACTTGAGTGCTCTCGGTGACACATGTGTCTTTTTATCAAAGTTTGCTTTTGAATGAGACGCGTATTCTAAAATTCAAAGCGCATGACCAAGCGGTCGATGAAGAATCATGCGTGTGCCCTGGACAACGGATAAACTTCACCCGCTGCGCCATAGCTACGAGTGAAGTTGTTGCAAGACCACTGAGTTCTCCTTTGCGTTTGGTGTCGGATTGCGTGAAAATTAATTGTACTGAAAACGACCAACTTAAAATAAAATGGTTGTTAATTACACTGACGATAGCAGTATATTGCAAATAACCGGAGCCATGTACGTGGGTATCACTTTTACCGACAATTTTCGCATTTTCTGACAGACGTTAGAAGTTATTCCGTCACATGCATGCACACTTCTACATCTCGTGTTGTGCATGTGAGTTATTCGCTCACAAGTACAACAGAGATGTGGAAGCTTTTTTTTAATTACAGCTACATTTTTTTATGCGACAGGAAATAATAAAGCCCTCAACAGTTAATTCAAACAAGCTTGTTACCTCGAAATAAATATAATGAGAGAGAAAGAATATTTTTCCAACGATGCGGAGCTGCTTCTCATTCGTCGAGAGCAACAATTAAAATAGTATGAGCAATTTTATAACATTATTATTACACATATTTTACTTCGGGATGCGAATTTAAGTTTTTCTCAATAAATTATTAATGGACATCCTACGGGGAATCATTAATTTGCTATGTGCTTAGGGCATCACAGTCATGTGCATGAACTCTCTATAATGAAAGCAATTCAAACACTTCTAGCCGAAGATGAGGCGGTGAACAGTATCGGTGCACAAATACAATATTATTTGACAATTATCTTTTTACCGAATACCTGTCTCTGCTCAATAAAGTATCATATTCTCTAATTTGAACGTGTGTAAGGGATTTTAAATGTATTATTAGATTAGAATAGTATTTTTTATACGTCTTTGTCTTAATTATGTACAATTCACCTGGAACCTCGTCTGATTGTCAACAACGAATGCTGTAATTAAGAGTAAATATAACCGACATTGTAAGCCAGCTAGCCATGGCCAGTTTTAATAAACATAATATCTGATGATTCTTTATTAATTTAAAGTTCTGGCTGTTTAATTATTATTATTAACTTATTATTAAAAATTTCAATCATTATTGTGTAATTCACAACAATTCTGGTACGTAGCGCTAATTTCAAGTAAGCCCTCTGGCATCACAAACCCACGCCACGCCACGTCATGCGATTTCTGGCGCGCTAACTCAAAGGGAGGCGAGTGCTTTCTCATGTGTTGGTAAAATATATTGATTCACTGGGTTCGTGGTAAAACCTAGTTACTGTTTCCGTAGTAGTATATTCTTTTTGTACTTTAAAGTCAAGTGATAGGAATTGTTGTAGCAAATTGCATTTCGACTCTAGGTGCCACTAATCACATAACTTATATTGACTGACTCTCATCATGCTGACTCACTCTCATTATGATGACTCATTCTCATTATGCTGACTCAGTCTCATTATGCTGACTCACTCTCATTATGCTGACACGACGAATTAATTAGTTATTCTGATTCTCTTTGGTGAAAATAAAATGATGTTAAAGTGTAATATTATGAATTAACCTTATTTAATGCCTGATGTTTAATTTCACTTACTATTTCTTATTGGCTAGAGTGAAGTTATCAGTGAAACTATTTGTGATGTTAATAATGAGAGGAATTGAGTTAGTAAAATGAGTTATGGTGAATTGAATCTCAAATTCCTTTAGCACCATCTTTGTCGCCTTTGTAACCTTAACAGTTAATGGTTCTAAATCTTAAATATGTGAATATTAAAATTCTATTCGCGAAATTTCGGAATATTAACTTAAACGAGAAATTCATGTACTGATACCAGGTTTTGTTCGCAGGTTTCTTCTGTACGTCATAATTTAGATTTTACATTATGTCATTTGTGCATCATATTTACATTTTGTATTGTCTCAATTGGGTATTTTTTATTCACACGATACCAATACCTCCCAGCTCCCTTATACTCGCCCTTGATCAATGTCTCCTATCTCCTAACTGATTCAACTTCTTGCTCAAATACCAGAGCAAACTAGCCTAAATAATTACTCAATTCTTTATTACCCTGCCCATCAGGACCTCGGTAGGTTCTCCAAATTTCTACAAGAGCCACGGTTCTCAAACCTCTCAAACGTGCATGTGGAATATCTGTATTTTCACACTTGAAAAATAACAAGCGACGCACCGTAATTACCGTTGCGTTGATGCTGCATCACAATAATATATATGTTAAAAAAAGTTACGAGTGAAAGTATCGTTAACCAAGATGAGTTTCTTATGAGTTAACTTAAATGTACGGTTTACTCACACTTGCTGTCGCACCCCGGTGTACCAGTCCTGCACCTTTTTTGGGACGTCCCACTGAGCGTGGGTGGTGCCCACCGCGCCTGTTGCAGAGAATAGCATTTTCATATCGAAATTAATTTTATTTTTCTATGAAATTGTAAGGAAATTACAAGTAGCGAATCAACGATCATAGGAGTCCGGCAGCCATCAATTACGTCTTCTACATTTTTTAGCGAGAGTAGTTTGGCACCGATGAATAATAGGAGTAACTAACTACATAGATGTCCCTGTGTAATTTTCATTTATTTCACTGTTCACAAATTCGCATCTGGACTGTTGTTCGCACGTTAGCCATGGGGCGTTAGACTTATTATATGAGTTGCACAGCAGGTTTTTTAGTTAATAGCCGAGGCCACTGGTGTCGGTTTTTGATTCAAATTCTAGTAATCCTTCTGGGACCTTGTATAAACCGCGGGTATACATGTATACTTCAATGAGGTCACTACACATGCGTCGATAACAGAGACTGGCAATCGTTTGATTTAAACCTAGCTAAAGTTACGCCCATCAATGAATGAATTTCTGAATAAAGCGTAGGTAATTCAGACTTTATTTCATATTATACAATTGAAGCTTGCTTGTGTGCAGGTGTTCAGAAGAATAGGAATGTGGGTTGAAGGTATATATAGTGTATGAGACGCAGTTGTTTCGTGCCCGTGGGGCCGGGTGTTGTTTACATTGAACGTTGGTGAGCTTATCGCGAGGGAAATACAGTTGGGAATTCGGCGTCACTTGGAGGGGTCTGTGCGCAAAGTTTATATAATTACTAATTACTGCTTTACTGTGATGACCGTCACGCTAGTACTGTCAGCAGCATCTCCGCAGACGTAGGTGACGGTCCCGGCCGTCGGTCGGCCGGCGGGGTAAGAAATAATGGCCGCACGGAACATCGACACGACTCCGATGTAATAACGTTAGAAATTTACGAGATACGGCAGTAACTTTGCTTATTTGTACTCTCAACATTCATTGCTACAGGTGTGACTTAGCCGTGAGACAACCAAGACGTCAACGACTATAACGCCAGCAAACAGAAGATTAAAGTTTTCGAGCATTGAGCAATAATTATCATCGGTATGGTCATCAACACGTTACGGTCACAGTTGTCGTCTGTAGCGGTACGGTCAAGATCACCAACAGCAGAAGCACTGCAATAAGCTAGGAGTAACATCATCGACGATGAAGTGTACGCCATTATTGCGAAGTACGGTCGCTATGGAAATTCTACGGTCGGACTGGCCGTGATTCTCCAATCTATGCGCGTAGATTACGGCTATGAAGACAGAGTGACTGTGAAAAGCGACCGCGGGGACGCGTGGCTACGGCTGCAGTACGACCGCTGGAAAAACGGCCGCAAACGTGTGCGTGAAGTACGATCGTTTACGACAGTCGTACTACTCAACGGAGCTGCGACGGATTAACGTTTCTGGTAAATAGAGAAGTTTGAGTGATGTAAACTGACAGATTTTCGACTTTGCTTGAGTTCGGATTGACCATTTCCTATGTATACATGAGATTTTTCTTAACGTAGGATGTGAAGTTAAATCATTTCCTATGTATACTTGAAATTTTTGTTAACGTAGGATGTGAAGTTGAATTTCCAATCGACTATTAAATGTACCAGTGTTTCATTGCAACCCTCTCTCTGTGCGATTTTTGCCGTAACCTATTTCATACGATAACTTATATACGCGAATACTCCGAGTAAAGTCTTAGACGCGACGGTCGCAACCTGACTAAATTAAAGCAATTGCCGATGAATAATAAAATTATAACAATTAAACCAAATTTATTTATCTTTATTTTATCTGATAATATCCCGAGGATATTAATGGTACGACACAAAACTGAGACATTGATATTACAGATTTCTCTCCATCAGCGTAATAATTTGGCGACAGACTTGTTTTCGGGAATTTATTTGTTTTTCCACTCTGATTTAACAGGAAAATCTTAACTCCGTAACGATCGCTCACTATAACAAAAGCTGGAAGAGACGTTTCCCGGGAAATACATCGATATCGTTCTTTGCTTTATGTACATTTCACCATATTTTTTAACGCCTGCACTGCTTTCCATTTTCTGTTTAACTTCATACATTTTTTTCTCACTGTGCATCAAAACGAATTCACTGAAATGGTTGTATATGAAGTTCTGTTTACGCGTAAATAATTTGTATTCGGGGTCATAAATCAAAGCAGGATGGCGTCACCGATCCCACTTTGCTGCAGAGACGCGCATTGGGCGCCTCTCGTTGCATTATTGGCCGTCCCTCCAGCGCCTTGTTGATGCCTGCCGCGGGGACGGCATCCCGCGCTTATATACAACACTAATATTCTGATACATTTAAACATTGAAGAAACCGTGCTTGAAAACTAAACATGGATTTGCACGGGAATTTTAACTTGTATTCACTTTAAATGAAATACACCATATCGATTTTGATATCTGATACAGAGCATGTTTACTACGTGTTTGTGAGAGCGTTGAGTTCCAAGAATTCAACTGCGACACAAATTTTTGGACGGGCTTATTCAATTCATCGATAATATATCCCAAATGAGAATAAGTCTACGGGCTCATCACCTAACATTTAAGTTTGTGAAATTTCATCAGACATTTTAGAAGTGTAATTTCCAAGGAAAGAAAGTAAAATAAATTTAAAAATTAAAGTTTCACAAAATTAGAAACGAAATAAATCCCTATTAATTTGAATTTCAGCCATTCATGCAGTTGGAGCTTGAAAATTTCCTGTATTATTCAATGCAGTTTCATACGTATCCGTTGAAGAATTTACAATTTAGTACTTGATTGAATTTAATAATTTTTATATTAATTCACATATAAGTAGTAGCATTAATCAACGTTGATAGAAGAAATACTATTTATGAACGTAATTAACGATAAAATTTGCATGAGCTGATTTGAGATGAATACTTTCATTAATTACAATTTTTGACACCATCACATTCTTTTATTCAAGAAGCTTGAGTTTATGCAAACATTAGCAAAAAAAAACCTTGACTGAAATTATCACTCAACTTTATGCATATACCAATCATCCAGAAAAATCACTCATTATTTTTCCCCGTCGCTCATACTTTTTTTAATGGCAATTTTCCACAACTCACCTGCCAGCAGGAAGAGGTACAGGTAAACTACCCGCATCTGGAACAAGAAAAAAATATAACTCAGTACTCACTGCAGTGAGTGACAATGAGCGCATTTTCTCGTCGACGAAAGCTTGAGGTCACGGACGGACGGACAGACAGACAGTCAGACGGACATGGCGAGCACAATAGTGCATTTTTTCCATAAAACAGAAAATGCGCTAAAAACAATCTTATTTTTTAAGGAATTACTACTGCTTGTTATGAGGTTATGTGAAATTTTCTCTATTTTCTTTGCTAGTATTGTGTATTAGTAGTGCATATTACTATTAATAATAATAATAATGATAACAATAACAATAATTAAAAGAATGACAATCATAATATTAATAATAATAATAATAATAGTAATTATAAATTTATTTAAATTGCATCATCATTATAAATAATTTCACTGGGAGCTTGATTTTACTGTAAAATAGAATTAGGGCAAAATATGAATGCATATTTTACCATATTTTCTTCCTTTTCTGTATGTCAAAATTGCTTCAACTCAGTACTACGAAATTTGAAAGAAGGATAGTATTGGTCTCGAGCATCTATGTCAATTAGGGTTATAGTCTTATGGTATGTCTTATGGTATGGTAGCATATATGGTACTTGAAGTATGATCTTATGGTATGACCTATGGTATGGTTGCATATATGGTACTTGAAGTATTCAAGCTGCTATATGGAGCTGAATTTACTCGATACATTCAAGGCTAATTCACATTAATGGAGTTTATGTCTATCAATTGTTAATAATTAGCTTCAAACAAATGGTTTAATTACACTACAGATTTATTCACATTTGACAATGAATTTTGGCCGCAATAGCTGCTAACACATTCAGCCTATAGCAAGCTGAGCGACATGTTGGAACTGGCACTTCTGAATTTAAACTGTCTGTGGCCCTATGAGTTGCTCAATCCGTTCGTATCAAATCAAATATTTTTCTTCATATATCCTGTCCATCCATGAAACTGCACAAAGCATTGATAAAAAACATAAATGAACATCTACACCTAATCACACAGTCCCTTAAATCCTACACCTGACTGCAAAGATAATGGGATTAATGACTACCGTATGGAGCCTTGAAGATCAGTCATCCTTTCTTCGTAATATGTTAACTTATATCTTGCAAACATCTCTGTCACAAATTGACTTGATACTCCAGACATTTGTAGGTGTCTCTGTCATATATTGACTTGACACTCCAGACATTTGCAGGCGTCTCTGTCATATATTGACTTGGCACTCGGGTCAGTTGCAATCGTCTCTGTCGTATATTGACTTTACACTCGAGTCAGTTGCAAGCGTCTCTGTCATATATTGACTTTACACTCGGGTCAGTTGCAGGTGTCTCTGCCACATGTTGGCAGAGATGCCTGCTGCTGACTTTGCCTCATTGAAGCTCTGCTTGTGACTGCATGCAGGTAGAAGCCTTTTAGATTTATTCGCAAAGTAACAAATTAAACAAAGTAACAAAGAAAGTTAAACAAGTGACCGATAAATCTGATTAGATGAACGTTAAAGAGTTAAAGATTAAAAAGAGAGTTAAAGATTAAATTAGACTGCGAGTGACCCAATTTAAAATTTTCATCAAACAATCGACATACCATCGACGATCAACGAATTTTCGTTTGCAATTAAACATAGTATAATTTCGGGTGAATGCTGCCTAATAAATGTTTACAACATTATGCTTATCGCTACAGTTAAATTATGAATAGAGTTATGCAAATTGCAATAATTTGAAATTAAAAATCGGTGATTTAATTTGAAGGTAATAAGGAATTAGTTCAAGCTTATTAATGATGCAAAATTAACAACAATACCAAGGGATTTCTCAGAAATTTATTAAGTTACGGTTAAATCAAGTGCATCACAACTCGAATGCAAAGGACGAACAAGGAATTCTCTAGTCGAGCTGCAAAAGGCATCGTAAATTTTGAATGAAATACCGAGAACCACGATAATTTCGGGAAACAAAGAACTCACCGTGAGTTCGGCAGGTAGCGTCTCCACTTTTTATTCGCTCGATTTCAGCAGGATATTGAAGATTGTGAGTTTACTCCTCGGACTTTTGGGCTCTACTTCTGAAAACTTGACCACTTCTGACAACCGCGGTGGTGCTACTGATGTATTAAAGACAGCTTAAATCCACCTCAAGTTCAAGAACAATCGTCAATGCATTGATAACTGAAGCCATCATTGATATCGGAACAGGCTTTTGTCCGGGCACCATTACGCTGCACGCACATTGTTCCCGGAAGACATTGTTGCTACAACACAGAACTTCTGCTGCGCGGCAACACTTCGAGTAATGAGTAACTTTGTCAGAGTAGCGATGAACTTTTAACGATTGTGTGGGTCATTCTGACACAGTTTGGCCACAAAAAATAGGGTAAAAGGGTATGGAAATATGTCACAATTGGAGGATATAACCCATGAATTTTCTTATTATGCGCACAACAAAGCCGATTAAAAACCGAACTCCAACGAAATTAAATAATTTTTAGAATTCAATTTACTGAACAAATTCATTCATAACCGAATCCAGACTTTCAACCCTGCTTGCCATCATTTAAATTTGAGTTTAATCATCTTCATAAAATGGATATAATTTTCATGTATCTCGGACTGAAATGATAATTAGACTCCAAACGATTTACGTGCCAGTTCTGGGAGTAATTGATATACGAGTATTTCAGCTCTGCGTGAAGGTGAATATTTTAAGCTAAACTTACATTCTCCTCTTAAACGACGACATGTGTCCCTGCGGAGTTGTGGAATATTGCCGTGACTTCCAAAAAAGATTTTTAGCATAACCGCAGTGAATAATGGCTCCTGGGAAGCCAATTATTATTTAAGAGTCTGCATTATTGAGTTCTGAGTCATAACAATGGTAGATTGAAGTATAGTGTCTGCACGTCGTGTAATGGGTGCGATTATAAACGTCGGGAGTGTCAGTTGCTACGTCGGCAGCGGTGTCGGCTGCTACGTCGGCAGCTGAGTCGGCTGCTGCGTCGGCTGCTGCATCGGCAGCTGCGTCGGCTGCTGCGTCGGCTGCTGCGTCGGCTGCTGCGTCGGCTGCTGCGTCGGCTGCTGCGTCGGCTGCTGCGTCGGCAGCTGCGTCGGCAGCTGCGTCGGCAGCTGCGCCGTTAGCTGCGTCGGCAGCTGCGTGGGATGTTATGTCGTTCGCCGGCTGTGTTCACGGCCTTAACGATGTATCTGATCAAATCTGCTTGCACAGCAACTGACCATTCGAACCTGAGGCGCATGGAAAAGGACTGGTTCCTCAGGAAGTTGATGTTGGAAGTTGCTGCAAGAGTCAGTGACTTTGATGTCTTGGAGTCAGACTCTGTGCCTACAGTATGAGGTCTGGATCATACAAACTCTCAACTAGCCTACAGAGTCGTATAGGCACAGAAGTTGCTGATGGTCGTAAATTAAGCATTATATTGCAACCTAATTCTCATGGTACATAAACAAAATCAAAATAATTAATTTTGCCTACTGAAATTGTTATCGAATAGTACTAACGTGACAGAGAGACGCAGTCCCGCAGCATAGTCAACGAAAAAACGTTTATAGACGTTAACGCCTCAAGTTGTGGCTTCCTTCCTGGTCCGTGCTATTAGGATTCGATTGTAGTCTTGATGTTTGAAACTTTCTCATAAAATCCAATGGGTATGAATGAATTTCTAACAAATAATAAACTGAACACAATAGGGATCTTCTTATGAATAAGCACCCCTGTATGGCCTTGCTAAGATTACGCACTCTTGTATATTCTTGTTAATAAAACGCATTGTATTTATTTACATTGAATTGTAACTCATAAAAAATGTTCAAATAGACCTAATTTGTTTGTATTATTCATTCAACTAACCTTGTTAAGAATACACATCTCAGTAACGTCTGGGGTGCCTATCCGTAACAAGATCCCACAATAGCCATATCGATAACATATCAATGAAAACGAAATCTAAATATTTCGAGAATCTCTTCTCACACCTCATTTACATCCCAATGCACCGCATACCTCCATATGGACCCATTGACAACAAATTTTCAATAATTATCCTCCGCACTTTTCCTAAAGGAAGCACTAGACTAAAGTCATGATACTGAATTAAGAATGGTTAAAAATATAAAAAGAAATATTGCACCTCAAAATATCTCAATAATGTTTACTGATTTCTATTCTTATAGTGAATCGTCGCAACGCCTTTGCAAGTGTCAACCTCGCTAGTATTTTTGTTGTTTGATCAATAGACTGCTAAGCACCAAGGCTTTCTGATATATTCTTGTTGTAGAAGTTCATGAAAAATATTCCTTCAGTTTATCAGTATTAAAACAAAATATTCACTGTCACTACTGTCGATTACTGTCAACTATGCTTGCTGAAAATTGTACAAAATAATGTGTTCAGTGTCTATAACGCAGGTGGAGCGATTACTTCTGAATGTGCGTGGCATCAATTGTCTCACATCGATGTACTGAATGGAGATGGGGGCAGGCGGGGCAAACAGGCGGTGGCACTTCAAATACTGTACGCCCTGCTGAGGCAACGAGCAAACTAAGTTGAACGTCTCTGGTCACAATGATGTTAACCATATACTGCCGTATGTCAATCTCCTGGAACATAACTTTCATATTAAATTATACGTTATTGAGTGTAGAGGACGTTTGAAGACGTTTGTACGCAACAGAGAACATTTTAAAGTTGTCGTACGTGGCGGCAACCATCACTCCATCAGCGCAAGTCATTTTGCACTCACTAGAACGTATCCTTTTTAGCGCATTTCCTCATTTATGGAAAAAATGCACTATTGTGCTCGTCATGTCCGTCTGTCTCTGTCTGTCAGTCTGTGACTTTAAGTTTTCGTCGACGAGAAATGCGCACGCTGTCACTCACTGCAGTGAGTACTGAGTTATATTTTTTGGGTAGTAGGCTTGTGACAATATTGCTCCGGTTTAATTACTCATGTCAGGCGGTAGAGGGTTAAGAAGACAAAAAATTATGCTCCACGCTACTGAAGAAAATGTTAGTGCAGATAATTCCCCGTGTTTTGTTTTGCAAATTCCACGCACTGGCTTGATCTGGGTCATCACGCACCACGTTTGCAATTCTTGTCAATTCGCCTAATTCGTCATTTTGGAAGTTAACTGTTATTTAATATATATATAAAATATAATTTATTTTTATTTTGCTTGACTGGAAAGCATTTAAATATTTGTTCTAAACATTTATTTATCGGCTTAATTGTGCGGCTTAGAGCAGGTTTGGTATTTTTGATATCCTCTTTATTACTAAATAAACAAATGTATTAAAGCAAAGCATATTCCCATTTCTGGGGTTTCTTGAAATAAATGGGATAAATGATTAAAGAGCTGAAAATATGCTGCGATTACGAATCATGGCCTCAAATCAATCAACACAGAAATTTCCCTCCATTTACGACCAAAAGAATGCATTGAGCTGCATACGCAGTAGGGGCGAACGGTCGATATTTCGATCAATGCAGACCGTTGGGCTTGAAAATTGTAAATGCACACTAATAATTTATTCATTGTAGTGAAAACAGCTAAATCTAATGTCCTTTGGATATATAATGTGGCACAAGCCATGACCCATAACTTATTAGGAGCACTGTAACAAATTTAAGTTAGATGTTGCTCACGTGACAGTTAAACTGAATAAATGAAATAAAATGAGCGTAGCGCGACCTCTTGATGAATTCTGACTGGTAAAGAAAACATGATATAAATATAATCATACTTCTGGCATAGAAAACATGATGCAAATATAATTGGGATTCACTCGCATTGAAATGTGTTACCATTATTGGGATCCAAAGAATGTTAAGAATATGAAAACATGCATAAATGAATTTATTCCGCCACGCGCATCATGTAGGCAGAGTTACAGAAAAATAATCCAATGAGCGGTTGGAGGCAAACTATCACACTATGAATATTTTGAACGTGAATTCAGCGGGCAAAATTTTTTAAAACATAACGAGTTTACATCTTCATTCAGCATATGCTCGATGTGTCCGCGCGTTAGCGGAGTTTGGAAAAACAAATACTGTGAGTGACAGCCCAGATCTGTTATTTTCAGTAATCAATTATTAAAGTTCATGTATGGCAGGAAATATTTATATGTAGTTAGATGTACGATATATTTGAGTACATTTATATGGCATTATGAGCATGAACGTGAACCGAGTCATTATCCAATAGCTGTTGCTGGAACAAAAAAACTCGGTCTAATCAATACACAAATGTTTGATGGGAGAACCGGTGTCGCTTTTGAGTACTAGATATGCATAGTGTCGGGTGCCGCTTCTGTGTACTAGATGGTCCTAGAGATGCCTAGTGACGGGTGACGCTTCTGAGTACTAGATGGTCCTAGAGATGCCTAGTGACGGGTGCCGCTTCTGTGTACTAGATGGTCCTAGAGATGCCTAGTGACGGGTAAGTGACGGGTGCCACTTCTGAGTACTAGATGGTCCTAGAGATGCCTAGTGACGGGTGCTGCTTCTGAGTACTAGATGGTCCGCCTGGTGGCAGAACGTTGTTCTCGTTGCTGTAGCCCTAGTTTCAAGTGTCGTCGTAGCCGAGCATTCGTGGAAATTTATGCACTAGTAGCTGAGGTAACAGGCATAAAAAATGTTATTTATTATATGATAACCATTTCTCATTATATATTCTTATATTAATTAATATGTTATGTATATGCTTAGGTTTGGCAACATTATGGTATTTGAGGTCTTATTTCACAATTAGATATTAGCTGACGCCTAAACGATTGCTCGAGGCCTTCATTTGGTCTCGTCCTGAGACTGACACAAATTAAGATTTAGTTAGCTTCCTGGTCATGCTCTGAATCGTGGCTTGCATACTTCAGTTTAATAAAAATAAAAATATTAATTTCTGCTTAGTTCTCCGGGGCTGAACCATCAAAACTCGCTCAAGTACACGTAAGGGCCTAGTTCTCGTCAGCTATTGGTGGGTTTAGCGGTATTTAAAGTCGTCAGTTAATGGCTGACGGAGTTAAAAACTTATAGCTATTTTTGATAGTACGGCCCGTGATCTTTACCTACCAACACAGGGAATGCTTTCTTCAGTGACTAACAAGCGAGTGTCGCGTGGAAGTTCGCTGTTGTGGCAACCGGCAATGTTTATAGACGCGTGAGCCCTGTAACGCCCCGCGAATGTCAATTGTGTTCCGAAAACAATTAAAGTTCTTTGCTATTGCTCTATAGTAATTTAGTAATATATCATTTTATTGAAAAAGTGTCACTCACTAATAACGATGGACCTAGTACGGTAATCTTACTTTTCTGTATTTTTAATTGGAATAGATCACGTTGAAAATATAACAAGGCAAATCCAGGAGGATTATGATCACCACCAAAGTATTAAAATTTGCACAAGTAAATTTAAGCACTTGGACATCGGGACTCCCATTTATACACATTCAAATATAAACCTTGTCATCAGTCAAACCTGATAAACAGTTTTGTACATTTTGTAATAGTCTTTGTGCTATGTTTGTCCGTAAACAGTCTCTCAGCACTTCAGCTTTTGAGGTCAATTGAATCGATCAATAGACACCAACGAACGGGACCGCTTAGAATACCCAAGCCTGGAACGATTTCCATTTCATCGAATTCAAATACAGCATCGATGACAAACATCAATTCGTTCTACGAATATGACACTTGTTTGACTCATGCTTTGTATCTGGAATAATCCGACTCGTACGGTTACCCGTCTTGTCCAATGCGTAGCTCACCCCCCTTCCATTGAGCTGGGTTTATTACCATTATTATAGCCCCAAGCCAGACACTCGCCCTCCAAACGCGCATCGGTTTCCAAGGGACCGACATCTGAATTATGGATCGTACTTCCAGTTTATTCCAGTCGATTGGTAATTTTAAAACTTATGTTCACCTCTGACGTTTCGTCCTAGTCTGTGAACTCGAACTCTGATTGGTTGCTACGATAATCGTCTGGCCATTCAGAATCAAGTTTCAAAAAATGCAGTGACCGTCAAACCTGATTGGCTTCAATCTTATGCCATTGAATCTTGCGTGCCAATGAGCTTCGCGATCCTCTAGCGAACAGCTAACTGGATTGGCTGACCTCGTGAATTCTCGACCTTGCAAGTACGTCACTTCAGAGGAATTCGAATAATGACCGACACCGCCAAGGACCAATCAGAGACCGTGTTTTTCTAAACAGTCGAGCAGAAGCGGCCGGGATTTAGGACCAGTTGCGCGTTCGCGTTTGTCGAGAAAGGTTGTGTACTTGCACCGTCTGCTTAGCGCAGTGCTTGACTTCTGTGAGGGCTAAACGCTCGTTATCATCAATAGCCAATTAGTATCGAGCGAATAATAAGTGAAGCGGCTACCTGTCCCACTCAGGGTGAGTTCTTTGTCTTACATATCAAAGTTCTTGCCTTAATTTTAATACTTCGGAGAGGTTGGAGTACTTCAAACCCTGTGCTGGTTCTTGGTATTTGAATTGGAAGCGAATTTATTATTCATTAGATTGTGCATTTTATAAAAGTTCTCGGTATTCTGGTGGTAAATTGGTTGGAATTTTATTGCAATCAGGCGTAGAGTTTCACTGCAAGTTATTGCACTCAGTTATGGAGAATAACGGAACTTCTCTGATGTCAGGTGAAGAGCTTTGTTTTTTATAGAAGAAATTTGAAATCAAGTGCAGAGTTTCACGGAAGTTCACTAGAGTCAGGTGTAGAGTTTTTCGTTGAAGAAATTTGCAGTCAGGTGTAGTGTTTTGTGGAAGATCATTGTATTCAAATGTGCAGATTAACGGAACTCTTTTGCTGTCAGTGTGGATTTTTATAGATGTTCAGTATTGTCAGGTGCAGAGTGATATAGATGATCGGTAAAATCAGGTGAATAGTTACATGGAAGGTTATTGAAGACAGTTGTGAAGATTAACTTAAAATTATTTTCAGTCAGGCGTAGAGTCTCATTTAAATTTTTTGTAGTCGAGTGTAGAATTTTGCCGAAGCTCTTCCCAGTCTGGTGTTGAATCTAGTTATACATTAAATAATCACAGTTATAGTTTCGCGGAAGTTCTTCCAAGTCAGATGTAAAGTTTTGTGGAACTTCTTTTGCAGTCAGATGTAGAATTTTAACAAAGAGCTTTGGAGTCAGGTGTAGAGTTTTAACAAAGGTCTTTGCACTCAGGTTTGTAGAGTTTTATCAAAGGTCTTTGCACTCAGGTGTGTAGAGTTTTAACAAAGGTCTTTGCACTCAGGTGTGTAGAGTTTTAACAAAGGTCTTTGCAGTCTGATGTTGTGTTTTAGGGAACTTCTGTCTGATTATACATGGAGAATCTTTGAAGTTCATTATCAGTACTTCGTAGAGTTTCCTGGATGAAACAGAATAGATAAAGAAAAATTAGTTGATATAATACGAACGGATGGACCAACTCGTAGGGCCACAGACAGTTTAAATTTAGAAGCGCCTGGGCCAAAGTGTCGCTCAGTTTTATATCTGCTGAACGTGTTTAATTGCAGCTTATGCAGCCCAAATTCATTTTCAAATGTGAAGAAATCTGTGTAGTGTAATTAAACCATTTATTTGAAGCTAAGTATAAACAATGGGTAGACATAAACACCGTTAATATGAATTAGGCTTGAATGAATCAAGTAAATTCAGCTATATATAGGAGCTTGAATGCATCAAGTGCCATTTATGCTACCATACCATAAGACATACCATAAGACTATACTTCAGGTGCCATATATGCTCAAGACGAACACAATTCTTTCAAATTTCGGGCTGCTGAGCTGAAGCACCTTTCACATACAGAAAAGAAAGAAAATATGGTGAAATATGCATTCATATTTTGCCTTAATTCCATTTTAAAACCGAGATCCAAGCGAAATTATTTAAAATGACGTAATTTATTATTATTATTATAAATTTATCATTATTATTATTGTTATTAGCATTATTATTAATAATAACATTGCCTGCGAAGTTTTTTTCAGCTTATATAGGCATTCACATGGAAGCCATACATGTACTGAAAACATACATGGAAACATGAAACACGTACTAGAAAAGCAAGTAGAGAAAATTTCACAAAACAATATCACAAGAAGTTATAATTCGCTTGAAAATTGAGATATGTTTTTATCTGTTCTTTTCTTGTTTCAGATGCGGGTCGTTTACCTGTACCTCTTCCTGCTGGCAGGTGAGTTCTGGAAAATTGCCATTAAAAAAAGTATGAGCGACGTGGAAAAATAATGGGTGATTTTACTGGATGATTGGTATATGCATAAATTTGAATGATAATTTCAGTCAATGCTTTTTAGCGCATTTTCTCACTTATGGAAAAAATGCGCTTTTGTGCTCGCCATCTCTGTCTGTCCGTCCGTCCGTGATTTTAAGTTTCCGTCGACGTGAAAATGCGCTCTCTGGAGCTCTCTGTCACTCACTGCAGTGAGTACTGAGTTATATTTTTTGGCTAATGTTTGTATATACTCAAGCTTCTTGAATAAAAGAATGTGATCGTGTCAAAAATTGTAATGAAAGTATTCATCTCAAATCAGCTCATGCAAATTTTATCATTAATTGCGTTCTTAAATAGTATTTCTACTATCAACGTTAATTAATACTACTAATTATTTGTGAATTAATTTAAAAATTCTTAACTTCAATAAAGAATAAAATTGTGAATTCTTCAAGGGAAACGTATGAAGAGCCCGTAGACTTTTTTTTTTCATTTATAATATAACATAACATAGTGATGTCGGCGCTAAAGAGTAGGCCTGATGTGGCCTGTCGCCGAATCTTGAATTTTTCGTGACTTGTGCATAGAAGATCTAAAATTGTGCCATTTGACACGATTTTATTGTTAATAGACTATTATTAAATGACTATTATTAATATTAATAATAGTCATTATAATAGTATTAATAATAATAATAGTCATGGCTAATTTCTTTGGCTAATGAAGGATTTGCATTTCATCAAACTTCTTGAATAAACGAATGTGATCATGTTTAAGGCTGTAATTAATTAAATTATTTAGCTCAAATCAACTTATACAAATTTTGTCATTAACTACGTTGTTAAATAGTATTCCTAATTAATACTTAATTAAATGCTACTAATTATTATGAACTAATTGTGAACTAGAATTCTTAAATTAAATCAAGAAAAAAATACAAATTTACATTTAGTATTCAATAATGTGCTAAAACTACAATGAATAATCCAGGTAATTTTCAAGCCATTACTGCAGGACTAATTGGAATTTATATTTATAAGAATATTATATTGCTTTTCTTTCACTGAAAAGTGCAGCTCTTAAAAATCTGACGAAAATGTTCAAACTTAAATGTTAGGTCAAGAGCCCGTAGACTTTTTTTCTCATTTGGGATAAGATTAATGAATTGAATAAGCCCGTCATAAAATTTTTGTCGCAGTTGAATTCTGAATTCTTGAAACTCAACGCTCCCACAGAAGAAGTAATGAATATGCTCTGTATCAGATATCTAAATAGATATGATGTATAGGGTAACATGGAGCAAAGGGACCACTGCGGGTCATGGGCCCATAGCGGGTTTCTCGCTAAGTATGGCAGATATTGGTCCGTGTTCTCTACCGCCGGTCGACAGTTTCACTGGGATGAAGTGTACGGATTTACGTTTTGATAAGAGTTTGCGTTGTTAAGTTATTTGTGAATGACTGTTTTAGCCCAGATAAAAGTTTTTTGCTGCTAAATAAAACTGTTTTCGATTACTGTAGATGAAGCTTTTGAAATTACAGTGAATTGTATTATGAAAGTAATATTTATAGGGATAATTTTGAGATCAAATTTAGACTATTAGCTTTTAAAATAAAATGTTGACACGATATAAATTGAAATGATACCTAGTGGGGCAACGGGCCCACGCGTGTCACGGGGCAAATTGCCCATGGTGAAATCTTGTGTTATACATCATTAGATTTGTCTCAATGACCTTTCACAAACTATGACTAGCTTTTTGAATTACAAATTACAATTCATATTGTATGATTTTTGATTTGCTGCCTCAAGGCAGCAGGTTAAGTTTCTTGTTATGCGTATTTATGAAGCCTTATCGAGTTATTGACTCTTGCCTTGCCAAAAATTGATTTCAGTCAATACCAATGAGCCAAAAGTTGATGAGTTTTTATGATGTTGGCTGAAATCACGATTAGGTACGAATTCTCTGCACATAATATGTGGATTATGGACGAAACTGGAACGGAGTTTTTTTTCTGATCAACTAAATATATTTTTTCTAGTCAAGGATACATTTTTTCGTGTCAAGAACAATTTTTTTATCGCAAGGATATATTTTTCAAGTCATGGATATATATTTTTATTTCAATGAAATATTTTTATTCACGTCAGTGATAGATTTTTTAAGCCAAGAGTATATTTTTCCACGTTAAGGATATGATTTTTTGAGTTATTAATAAATGAATGAATGTCATATATTTTATTGCATTTTTCTTATTTTTAAATGTAAAGTGTTATTTTATCATTTTTAAACGAAAAATATGCAATTGTGGTAAAGGGACCAAGGGTGGGCGCCTTGCCCCAAGCCCATGGGCCCATTGCCCCAGGGGTGGGGCAATGGGCGCATTTTGACACTTCTCACAAAATAGTGCTTCATTAAAAATTGAATAACTCTATAGGCGTCTAATTCACATCATACATTCCTCATTAGTTTTACCTTTAAACGAAACAAAGAACCACCTCGTATCAATTAAAACGGCATCAAAAATTTAGTTTAAAAAAAAGGGGGGGGGGAGCGCACTGCCCCAAGGTGCCCTATCATTTAAAATGAATACATGTTAAAATTCCCGTACAAATCTTTATCAATTTTTCAAGCACGGTTTCTTCAATGTTTAAATGTATCAGAATATTAGTGTTGTATATAAGCGCGGGATGCCGTCCCCGCGGCAGGCATCAACAAGGCGCTGGAGGGACGGCCAATAATGCAACGAGAGGCGCCCAATGCGCGTCCCTGCAGCAGAGAGGGATCGATGACGCCATCCTGCTTTGATTTATGACCCCGAATACAAATTATTTACGCGTAAACAGAACTTCATATACAACCATTTCAGTGAATTCGTTTTGATGCACAGTGAGAAAAAAATGTATGAAGTTAAACAGAAAATGGAAAGCAGCGCAGGTGTTAAATAATCTGGTGAAGTTTAAAGCAAAGAACGCTTTCGATGTATTTTCCGGGGAAGTCGCTGCAAGCTTTTGTTACAGTGAGCGATCATTGCGTAGGATTTTTCCGGTAAATCAGAGTGGCAAATCAAGTGAATCCCCGAATAAAAGTCCGTCACCATATCATTAAGCCGGAGAAGGGATATATGTAACATGAATATATCCATTTTTATCATACTATTAAAATCCTCGGGATATGAAGAGAAAAAAATCCGTTAAATTAGTTACTAGTCGTTGGAAATTCAGCGATTGGTGTTGTTGTTGTTATTTGTTGTTCTATGACATTGTGTGATTTGTTCTTTGAGTCATTATTCGAAATGCATAACTTTATAGCTAAGATTAAATTAAACGTTTTCCAGCCTTTGTTATCGACGTCTGCGTGGTGACCTCATTTAGGTATACAACTATACACGTGGTTTATGCAATGTCCCTGAAGTATTACTAGAATTCTAATCAAGAACCAACACCAGGGGCCACGGCTATATGCTAAAAAACTGCTGTGCAATTAATATTTGCGAAATTTCTTATCGCTTCGAGCTATCGACATGTGGAACAGCCTCCATGATAATATTGTTGACGCTCCGAGTATGAAAGGGTTCAAGAATAAACTATAAAATGCTATTCACATGTATATGTTCAGTTATGAATTGCTGTAGCACCCTACGGAACAAGTGAAAATCCAGTGATGATGTAAACCAAAGTCAGTTGAAAAGGTCATGTCAAAAGGTCAGTTTCTAGATATGTGAACAAGTCGCGGAAAGTACAAAATCGGTGACAGGTCTAAACAGGCCTATTTATTCAACGCCAAAGATGTTATGCTACGCTGATGAAGTGTGCGGTTTTGAATCCGAAAGTTCTTACTGAGTCTCGGGCGCCGGGCCTTTATTGATTTGGAATCCAAGATTACTCAGCTGAATCTAGGTACAAATAATAACTAGGGTTTAATGTGCAATTGAACTGCATAAAATGGATAACATGCATGATCAATAAAGTAATAAATGGGAAGATCTTCACGAATTACTGGTTGAGGATGATTTGGTTGCATAAATTAATACAGGCGTGTAGGAGAATCACTTCACGCGTTCCAAAAAACACGTTTCTCCATAACTCTAACGCTGCAATGGTTAACATGTGGCGAACCATTCTGATGTAAATTAGTGTCGAGTAAAACAAATAAAAATTACACAAGGGCTTCTATGTAGTTAGTTATCCTAATATTCATCGGTGCCAAGCTACATTCGCTAAAAAATGTGAAAGGCTCAACCGATATCTGTCGGGTTCCAGTTGGTCGTTGGTTCGCTTGTTCGCTCTATCTCATTGGTTCACTTGTCGATTAATTTTATAGGAAAATAAAATTAATTACGACATGAAATTGCTATTCTCTGCAACAGGCGCGGTGGGCACCACCCACGCTCAGTGGGACGTCCTAAATAAGGTTCGCGACTGGTTCACCGGGATGCGACAGCAAGTGTGAGTAAACCTGCCTACATTTAATTGATCATAAACTAATATCGTGAAAAAAATCTTAGTTGCATTTTTAATATTTGATTTACAATACATTTTTAATTCAGTATGTGCACTTTGGTATCGCGTTTAAAATTTATTATCATTTATGATTATTGTGAGTAAATTATTATTCGGTTATAATTTGGTTTTTAGAAGAATATGAAAATATTATTCATCGGGAAAATCGCCCAAATTTCAAGGGATTAAGCCGGGTCGAACTTTTAATAATATTTCTTAGCTGGATATTAGATATGAATTAATTCTGGTGTATATAATCGCAGCACTGAATGTAACGAAAAGTTACCGACTACCAATCATACAAATTATTAGATTTAAAATAAGACCTAAAATCACAATTATTTATATCCTTGATAAGCTATGTTAGTCACTCAGTTGGTCTCTCAGTTAGCGAGTTAGGTACTCAGTTAGCGAGTTAGGCACTCAGTTAGCGAGTTAGGCACTCAGTTAGCGAGTAAGGAACTCAGTTAGCGAGTTAGGCACTCAGTTAGCGAGTTAGGTACTCAGTTAGCGAGTTAGGCACTCAGTTAGCGAGTTAGGCACTCAGTTAGCGAGTAAGGAACTCAGTTAGCGAGTTAGGCACTCAGTTAGTGAGTTAGGCACTCAGTTAGTGAGTTAGGCACTCAGTTAGTGAGTTAGTCACTCAGTTAGCGAGTTAGGCACTCAGTTAACGAGTTAGGCACTCAGTTTGCGAGTTAGTCACTCAGTTATCGAGTTAGGTACTCAGTTAGTGAGTTAGACTCTTGTTAGCGAGTTAGGCACTCAGTTAGCGAGTTAGTCACTCAGTTAGCAAGTTAGTCACTCAGTGAGTCAGTCTCAGTAGGGCAGTCAGTCGGCGATTTGGGAAGTCGATATAAAAATCGGTCACAGATAGCGGCTCCAGTCCGACACAGCGTACAAATCGATGCCTGATTCTCTGCGTCACGCAACGCATTGGCGTCTATTGCGCTCTATTGTAGTCGTTGTACATGATCGTTCATCCGTGCGCCTCACATGTGTATTACACAGTGAATGTGAGAATCAAGTACTATTTTGGTAAGCAGTTTGAATCTTTGAAAAAAGTCACCGTAATAATTACAATCCAGGCTACTGTTAGCATGCATTGGCGGCGTTTGCATGAAACAAACTTTTGCTGGTTAGAAATTGCCCAATTTACTGTAAGTCTTCTATGGAATGATTTGCCTGAATAAATCGCTTGTAAATGATGAACTTCAATGAAGTTAAGCATAATAAAAACTTTTCCGATTTTAATATCGCCCAAATTGCCTACAAATTGCGTACGTTTCCAAAACTTAACGAAAATCTGAAGGCAACGTTAACCTTATAAGAGATCATTCAATGGAATATCCTCTATATATATTATTGAATAGGTATATCATAATTGTGCACTGCGAGAGTTCAATTTTACCTACAAGAATCTGCACCGCTGAAACTAGCCCATCTTCTATATTTTAAGATAAATAAGTTGATCGACTTTATAAGAATTCTTGTCTGGAGAATGAGAACACTTCCTAGGCAGCCATCAATGATTCTAAACCTGGCCTTTGCGTCCGTCATGTGGCCTTTGCAACTCACGCCTTGTAAGTGCGTCGTAGAGCTCATCGCTGGACTAACTGGAGCTACATGCTTCACTACATGCTTCACTACATGCTTCACTACATGCTTCACTACATGCTTCACTACATGCTTCACTACCTGTCTCTTATACACATCTAGATGTGTATAAGAGACAGTGCTTCACTACATGCTTCACTACATGCTTCACTACATGCTTCACTGCATGCTCTACTAGTTGTTTCACTACATGCTTCACTACATGCTTCACTACATGCTTCACTATATGAATCGCTACACGGTTTACTTGAAGGTTCACTACAAGGGTTATTAAACGGTTCACTTGATGGTTCAATATTTTGGTCACTTCACGTTCCTCTACAGGACCCAATCCTTAGGTCACAACACGACTCACTGGAGCTGGGCAGATCTGCATTCTTTTGTTGTCAAAACAAAAAACAAAATGTCAAACAAAAAAACAAAATGTCATTTGTTTTGAATGTTGTTTTGAATGACATTTGGCATTTTGTTTTTGAATGTTGTTTGTTCAAGCTGTTGACCTGGCTTAAACTTTGTACTTATTCTCATTTACTCATTTAATTAATGTCTTCGTATAAGATTCTTGCCGATATCATAAATTTTTGCCGGTTGTAAGAAGATCGTAAATGTAACGTCACATAACAAGTGGTAGGTGATTCAATCATACGAGTAGTGGCGGGTAAGCTATAAGATTCAGTACGTGAATTTATTATCGATTTTTCCGTCTAGCGTAAAAATATAGGTTGCGGACGATACAGGTTTATATTTCATTTGCATCTGCTTATATATTTCAGTCGTCCAGTACAAGATATGCATATCCCGGTGGCCTTATTTTAATATTAAGAAATTTTGATATTTTTCAGCTAATTTTGTCTCTCCTTGGCGGGACGGGCGTTTTTCGTATCCAATAACATTGGCTCAATTATTTCGTTGGCTTAAAGTTCCACCCTGGATACCTCATCCTCAATAAGATTCCGGATCACTAGTATTGCGTCCTTTCAATTGAAGTTTTACCCCATAAGCTTATATTTTATGGAACCACTATGCTATCGCTATTTTTTCCTATGCATATGTGGGAAACTCACACATCAATGGAATGTTATCCGCGTTATCTCGTCGAACTTCCTCAGTAACATTTTATTTCAGTTCCAGGTTATTGAAATAGAACAGCCAAATTCGACTGCATCACTCTAGTAGATGTTCAGTCTCAAAAAAAAAAATTGTCAGTGGGTTTTAAATCAGATTATTTTACAGTTATGAGCAACCTATTCCGTCTCCACTACGCAATTATGGTGTTATATTCTTATCTGAATCTGCACTATCTAGTATTTCGGTGTTTGTTGTAATATAAATGATAACCTCACTGAAAGAACATACTTAACTTGTGTACTGTCAGCTAGTTTTCAAGTTGACTGGAAGCGAGAGTAGAGCGAGCAAAATTTGTCAAGGTCAATATAGTAGCGGTTTTGTTCACAAATTGGGGAAAACAATGTAATTGATCGTTGAATTTACAGAATACACATTCAACTTTTGTAACGGTTATAAGTTGTTCCTATATTATAATGTTTGCATTTCATGTTAGCATTTTACACAGTAACAACATTAAGTTTAGCCGAATTTGTAAGTAAGTAAGTAAGTTTAGTCAAGTAAGTTTAGCCGAATTTGGAGCATTGTGTTCAACTGAACTATTGTTGTTCAAGTTATATGATGGAAGTGAGCTGATTTTTTTAAAAGCAAATCTTTGTGAGTTTTATAATTTTGAATGAATATGAAAACGCGATGAGTATCTTTTGCTAGCTGCATTGAACTTTGCATTTTCGCTAATGCGAGGTAATTAAAGTGAAGAAGTCTACGGAAGCTGCCAACAAGTATTTCAAATTTGCCATGGAGTAATTGGGAAGTGGAATTACGTGTAATGATTTTAATATCTTTCACTCGTATATTTTTAGCGCATTTTCTCATTTATGGAAAAAATGCGTTATTGTGCTCTTTATGTCCGTCCGTCCGTGATGCCCGTCCGTGAGAAAATGCACTCTCTGTCATTCACTGCAGTTAGTAGGGTAACGTGGGGCAGCGCGCCCCCCACTTTTTTCAAACTAAATTTTTGATGAAGTTTTAATTGATACGAGATGGTTTTTTGTTTTGTTTAAAGGTGCAACTAATGAGGAATGTATTATGTGAATTAGACGCCTATAGAGTTATTCAATTTTTAATGAAACACTATTTTGTAAAAAGTGTCAAAATGGGCCCATTGCCCCACCCCTGGGGCAATATGCCCATGGGCTTGGGGCAAGGCGCCCACCCTTGGTCCCTTTACCACAATTGCATATTTTTCGTTTAAAAATGATAAAACAACACTTTACAGTTAAAAATAAGAAAAATGTAATAAAAAATATGCCATTCGTTCATTTATTAACAACTCAAAAATTATATCCATAACTTGAAAAAAATATACTCTTGGCTTAAAAAATCTATCACTGACGTGAAGAAACATATTTCATTGACATAACATTATATATCCTTGACTTGAAAAAGATATCTTTGCGATAAAAAATTCGTCCTTGACATGAAAAATGTATCCTTGACTAGAAAAAATATATTTAGTTGATCAGAAAAAAAACTTCGTTCCAGTTTCGTCCATAATCCAGATATTATGTGCAAAGAATTCGTACCTAATCGTGATTTCAGCCAACACCATGAAAACTCTCATCAACTTTTGGCTCATTGGTGTTGACTGAAATCAACTTTTGGCAAGGCAAGAGTCAATAACTCGAAAAGTGGTCATAAATAAGAATAACTAGAAACTAAACCTGCTGCCTTGAGGCCAAATAAAAAAATCATGCAATATGAAGTGTAATTTGTAATTCAAAAAGCTAGTCATAATTTGAAAAGGTCATTGAGACAAATCTAATTATGTATAACACAAGACTTCACCATGGGCGCTTTGCCCCGTGACACGCGTGGGCCCGTTGCCCCCACTAGGTATCATTTCAATTTATATCGTGTCAACATTTTATTTTATTTAGCTAATAGTCTAAACTTGGTCTCAAAATTATCCCTATAAATATTACTTTGAAAAAATAATTCAAAGTAATTTCAAAATCTTCATCTATAGTAATGGAAAAAAACTTTATTTAGCGGCAAAAAAATTTTTATCTGGACTAAAACAGTTATTCGCAAAGAACTTAATAACGCAAACACTTAGCAAAACGTAAATCCGTACACTTCATCCCAGTGAAACTGCCGACCGGCGGTAGAGAACACGGACCAATATCTGCCATACTTAGCGAGAAACCCGCTATGGGCCCATGACCCGCAGTGGGCTCGCTGCCCCATGTTACCCTACTGATCTAATTCTTAGCGTATTTTCTCATTTATGAAAAAAAGCTTTTGTGCTCGTCATGTCCGTCCGTCCGTCTGTCTGCCTGTCTGTCTGTCCGTGACTTCACGGACGGACGAGAAAATGCGCTTTCTGTCACTTGTTGCAGTGAGTACTGAGTTATATTTTTTTAACATGAATTTAGTTATGATACAGTATCAACGCAAGTCATTACGGTGCTTCGTTTGTTTTCACTAAGTGTGAAAATACATGTGTTCCGAATGCACTATCAAATTAGAGCGTAAGATACCTTACTAAACAGAAACAGGAATCCAGTAATAAATTTAATGTTCAAATAATGTTGTATATGTGCCCCGATAATGTCCATTGCATAATACGACGAGGTTGAATTGATTTCATTACAGAGAGTTATTTATTCAACCTCGTCGTTATTAGTTATGATTTCATTATAGAGAGTAGTGCCCTAAAGGCATAGCAAATTTAAGATGTCTCATGGGATGTCCTGTAATAATTTATTAAGAAAAAAACTCAAATTTACGCTCCGAAGTAAAATATATATAAATTAATGTGATAAAATTCTTCATACTATTTTAATTGTTGCTCACGATGTATGAGAAGCAGCTTCGCATTGTTGGAAAAATTTTTTTCTCATTATATTTATTTTCAGGTAACAAGCTAGTTTGAATTAACTGCTAACAGCTTTTTATTTACTATCATAAAAGAACAAATGTAGCTGAATTTAAAAATGGAAAAACGCTTCTATATCCCTGTTCTGCTGCGAAACTTGCATGTGACGGAACAACTTATGAATTCTGTCAGAAAATGCGATAATTTTCGGTAAAAGGGATACAAATAAGGCTTTAGTTATATGCAACATACTGTTACCATCATTGTAATGACTAAATTATTTAAGATGGTCATGCAAATAATTTTCACGCAATTCGATACAAACGAACAGCAGAATTTAGTTCTCTTGAAGTCGCTGCAACGAGGTCACTCGTAGCTATGGCGCAGCGGGTAAAGTTTATCCGTTGTCCAGGGCACCATGATTGTCCATCGACCGCTTGGTCATGCGGCTTAAATTTTAGAATACGTGTCCGTTTCATATATGAAAATTAATATAACGACACATGTGTCGCCGAGAGCATTCAAGTTTAACGTACAATCTTCTTAGAAATGATATAGTATTCAAGAGGGAGCTGGTTAAACGGCGTGCGCAGTGAAGGAACTTTACATTCAGGCAGTTAGAACGTTAGCTCAAAATGTAACTGAAATTAGGCGAGCCTAAGAAGGTTAATATATCTTTAGTTGAGCAAAATAATGGCTCAAAAACCTTATGAAAGACAATTCTTAGCATTTAAATAACATGACTAGATAGTTTGAAAGCTCCCCCAACTACACCTAATTACAACTAGGCGCATGTACAAACAATATTTTATTATGAAAGTTTCACTTGACTCCAAATAAAAACCGTATACTACGCGTGTAGAACAAGAACGTAGATTCTATAAAAGTAGATTCTCTTACATTCAAATTAATAGTAAAAAAGAAAGCAACTTTACAACCACGCTCATATAACTCAACCTTCGTATTATGGCTTAGTCTTACAACTACAATTAACCACAAAAAATAGCTTTGATATGATAGTTTAACTACAATTGTGTAACTTGAATCCATTATAGACAAATGATATGATGCACTCAACTATGTAAATTTAAGCACACAACCCACACCATAACACTGTAATTTGCTTATAATTCTCAATGGTCGCAGGATGTCACGAATATTCAACTCGGAGAATTTCAAAGCTTACAACTCCACCTACAAGGAACTACTGGCGCGCGGCAACCTGAGCTCCCTGTCCGTTGAAGAGGCAAGAGCCCTGCCGACCAACTTGTGGCGCAAGTACGGGGTAAGTATCGGGTGAAGGGAAGCCCAAGGGCTATGTTTTAAAGAAAGTCCGTCGTGTGTCTTGGGTGAAGAGAGGCAATAATGTGACGCAAGTAATGGGTGAATGTCGGGTGAGGAGGAGGCTATGTTGTGGGTCAAGAACGGGGTGAGGGAGAGCACGAGGGCCATGTTGTGGAGTAGGTAAGGGGTGAGTGTTGGGTGAGAAGGAGGCCATGTTGTGGCGCAAACAAGGGTGAGAATGGGGTATGGAAGCAGTATTGGTGCGAGGTGGGTGTACTAATGAGAAAGTGAGTGTGTGTGGGAAATAGATTTGGGTAAAGAATGAGAAACAGCTACACTGAAGAAGGTCTTGCGTAAGGTGTTATGTACGGAGTGTTGGAGGGTAATACTGAAATAACCTTGGATCCCCTTAAAGTTTTCCGATTTTCTCAATAGATGAAATAAGAGATGAAATCTCTTATTATTATTATTAATAGATGAAATAATAGTAAGTTTTCCGATTTTCTCAATAGATGAAATTCCGATTTTCTCAGTCGATGGAAATTTTTCTCAATAAAATAAAAAATATGTACGCCGATGATAGGAATTTTGGGTATTGAACATTTATTTGGGTACGTCCTTTGGTAGAAAGGGCCATGAATCCTGCATAAATCCGACAAATGTATTAGAGATTGGAAACATCACCCAACTTCCAGTCAACTTATAGAAAGCGAGTACGATTCTATAACCTGTATCCTGAAAGATACACCGTTGTTTTCTTCCATTATATAGCACCACATATCAGTTAACAATGTTTTAAACAAAACCATGGTCATAAAGACTCGAATTTGAAATAGATTCACTTTAAAGTTACAACCATCAACCGAGTTACCAGCAGCCGCGAGGAGGCAAGGCAAAGGTTCACCTCTGAATTTTCTTTGCTGTTTTAGAAGCTAAGCCGATTTAAAGTGTGATGGCGCTAGAATGGTTGAAATTGAACTCCAAACTTTACTTCCATCCTTGCAATGATAGAATAAATCAATCGGATGCTTGGCCGTTGCTAATCATGATGAAAAATATTTCTCATGACTCGTGCTGTTTCATTCATATCCAAAATGACTTATTTTTAATATATCATTTAACATAGCGGTTTCAGCGTTTATTAGACCGTAGGCCTGTTGCCGATTCTTAACACATCAGAACATCCACAGCTTGTTGGGGCTCAAACTCCCAACTCACTGCTACAAATTTTCTTTGTTTAACCCCCGGCCTCCTTGCCGATTCTGACCAAAAACTGGCGCACAGAGCTGAGATCGAACCCGCACCTCTCTGCGCCAATACTGGTACTCTGAACTTTAACCATTGGGCCACCTTGCCTTCTTTTCAACCATATTATTCTCATATGCTCCTTGTCCTAATGATTTCCTTTCATATGTGCACCTTACAAATACAGGCGCTACCTCTGCTTTCGTTGAGGGACAACACACGGAACTTGGTGGCGCCGTATCTGTCGCAGCGCATCAAGGACGAGATGAACCTCCTGCAGAGAGTCAACATCACAATCCCTCAGGCCATCGACCGGCTCAGGAGCTTGCTTAGGGACACCACCGTAAGTAATTTCTGTTAAAAGATAGTTGTCTATTTTTCTAGACATTCCATAGAAATTTACCTGATCTGCTTATGACAGTCATGCCGCACCTTCAGCGATAACGGTGCCCACCTCCAGAGTCGCCAAGTTCGAATTTCTCATACTCTATGAAGCTTTTTTACGATATTGAAAGAACCTTATATTGGATGTTATTTTTTTACACTCTCATTCTCATAACCTACTACTTTCGGGCAGCGGCAGAAAAATAGCGACAGAAGCAAAGGATGAGAGCCCACATAAATTTGGTAGAACAGTGAAAAACGAAGCAGATGGCTCAATAAAGTGATCCTTCGTTAGAGACAGCATTCATGATAAGCGAGTTGCTACCTTAAAAGCATGGGTGGTTGAACTTCAAATATCCAAACTATCACACAGGAAACAATGCGGGATGATAGGCAATGAGCTAGTTCAATGCAATCTCAAGAAACTGAATTCCAATAATAATCTTATACATAATAACCTCTAATATATAAAAATCTACTCGTCGGGGCTCTGATAGCAAGTCAGATTTACCACAGCACGAATCTACAGCATGGCACTCCATTCAGCGTTACTATAAAATGAATATGGGCTGCACAGTCGCAACTCTTATTATGATTGACGCAATTTACAAACGACTTCATGTTTGGATGAACTGCCTGATATCTCAGAAGCATTATCAGCCTACCTATCGTTTATGGTAAAACGGGTGTAACCACAATATCGAGAAGGATAAACTGCGACCAGGTCTTGCATCATCGAGAAATCGATATCGAAAAATAACTAAACTGATTTCTAAGATCATCTTTTAATTCTACTATCTGTTGAAGGAGAACTCAAAATAACTGTTGTACCTGCTGAGATAAAACCTCTTTTTTAAACCTTTTTAGATATTCACCGTACACACAGAGCTCAACTATAATATTATTTGGTCAACAGTCGTGCAAGACCTTTGACGAAACTGCGATGAGTGTGCCAGTAATATATATAGTGTGTGTGTCATATAACCAGTAATATTGCAATTCATAATAATAATCGACCGGATACATGTGATTTGAGAGATTCCAACGATAACAATAATTTTAACTTGTCGTGGGGCCAGATTATCAAATCACCGCTACGTACACGTAGTAATCGCACCTTGTGTAAGTTCTGCTAAGTAGAAGTACCTAACTCTAATCGGTGGTATTATCAAAAAATTTTGCGTGAAGTTACGTACAAGAAGTTGTACGTAACTTTTCGACAACTCAAAGGTTGCATAAGTGAAGTTACGCATAACATTTGAGTGGGTGAAGCGATTGGTAATCATTAAGTTACGAATAAAACGGCAAATTATGAAATATTTTGGTTTACACCTAAACAAATATTATAAAATCGTGCAAATAGAGAACAAATTTTAGTCATATATATGCCAGGGCCGACTGGTTCTCCATTGGCGTTAGAAATTATGATCAATCGTTAATCGTTATACCATAGAATCTCATAGCTATTCACCATATAATTTCCTTATGAATCTCTAATACAATCTTGTGAGCTTGAATCAGCTTACTCAGTCAACCATTGTTTTCAACTCCAAATAATTTTTTCTGTCTCTGGGTCTCTCACATCCACAGTCTCCAATATACACAAGTGCCTAGACGCTATGTCAATCTCAAAGTAAATCCTTTAATTTTTATTTCAAAAATACTTATTTTTTATTTCTCTCTGATAATAATAGTCATGCATATCACGCATTTTTTCTGAGCACATGTCCTAATAAAAAACTATTCTAATTTGTGGGTTTAAACAACAAATAGGTATATAGAGGTGAACACGCAAGCAAAAAATTTCATACCCTTTTTATTATGTCATATTCATCATTAAATGCTTCTTTTCATATTTAGAAATGGAATGTCACTGAAAGTTTGTAGTATAGAAGTGTCTAGAATTCAAAAAAGCTAAGTATATTTGAATAACATTTGGTTTGATAATACCATTCAAAATACGTCTTGCGTACGGAAGTTTTGATAAAGCAAAAAACTTTTCTACTTACGAAACACGTAAGTTCTTGTAAGAAAGTAAAAGAACTTAACTAAATTACGTAACTTCTTGTACGAAAGTACCAGAACTTTACTTAATTTACCTAAGTTCTTGTTCGTATGTTCAAAAAATTACATCTACTTGGCAAAGTTTTGATAATGTGGCCCTTGATTAGCAGTGTACCTCAAAACACTTAAAATAGTAATGTAACATTAGGAGATATCTACTAATTTATTTTTCTTTGTTATTGAATATATTCATTAAAACATTTCATTTACTCCATGCCCTAATTATAGGAAGGCCAGCAGCAGACGGTAAGATGCCTGAATCATTTAATCACAAAATTACTGCGTACACGTTATTTTTTCGAGACATTTGATGTAATTTGAAGCGAAATTTTGTGCTGAAGTAAAACCTAGTAGCGCTTGTTGATTATGAGTGAGCTATCTAGGTGCTTGTCATAGTTTGAGTTATTTGCTGTCGCTTATGAAACCAGTTAAAAAAATTCTGAATTGTGTTCTCCATATAAACAAAAATAACATTCCATGATTCAAATTCAACCTCACAATAACTCAAAATATGGAATAATTTTGCTCCAGCATTTGTTGCAACATGTATTATATGCATGGGTTAAAGCAGACGAAGAAGCTCTTCAAACTATCTCTTCCTAGTAGAGGTGATCACACATTATCTCTGCATTTAACCTTCAGTTATGAGATAAAGCACGAGAAGCTAAAGAGTTCAAAAAATTTAAAATGTTTGAATTTAGCCAATACGATCGAAATCAATGCACATTGGTGTAATAATTCAATGCCGATATTAACAAGTAGGGGAAATTTTTATATTAAATATACAATTTCAATAAATCAATGAAATACTAAGTCTATATCAACAGTGCTCCTGGAAAAAGCGATCAAACTCGTTATCATTCTGGCTGCGCTGCTGACATGTGGCAATTCCGAGAATGGGTTAAAAAGGAGAGCTTCATCGTTCCGAAAGTAAATATGTTTCATAATTACACAAGCAAATGGACTCATCTATGCTTTTTGCTACTTGTGTAATTTTGTATAAGCTATTAAATTAAATATTTTACTGCAGCTATTTTTGCCTAATTGTTCGTTTTTTTGACCAATGTTCTGGCTTCGACGCCAAAATTATTTTTTGCAACTTTCAGTGCTTTGCCGAGCAAAGTAACGTCCTTCATTTTAGCTTTTCCATATATACTAAAATTTTTCCACATTTTTGTCTTCATGAATGGCTTGGAATTTTTCGCATAGTGGTATGTTTTGGACTACATTTTTGAAAAAAATACTTGTATTTTTAACAACCCGTATATTTTTTGGACGATGCCTTTTGGCCTTTGTCAATTCATGCTGGTCAAGATTTGCTGATTAGCGATGCACAAGTTATATACTATATATTGACGTGATTATCCACGAATTTTTCTCGTTAGTAAAATTGTGTTATTGTTTATGTGCATCTGGAATGCATTTAATTTGCTTTAGCGGATTGTCTTCCATTTATCATCGGTTAGCTAAATACTGTAATCATGTTTACATTATTCTTATTTGATAGAAAAGTGCTTTACTCAATTTGTGTGCCATCATAAGTTGGTTGCTCACATTTTGCTCATATATTGTTATTCTATAATTGCATCTTCAACCTCAGAGATATGATTGAAATTTCTTTGTAGGAAGCATTAGGTTGACGTGGTCCTGAGCTTTGGGTCAATAGTTGGTGAAATAAAGCAGTACTTTTGTTTTCAAGACAAGAACAAAATATCAGTTTTATGAAGCAACTATCTACAAAAAGACAAGGCAATAGAAGAATCAAACTTATTTAGTTTCCGTTCTGATTACTATAAATTTTAGTTACGGCGTGATATTCAGCTTCATATGTAATGTCAAATGCAACATATCAATGTCATATTATTATATAAGACTTTTAAATTTCATAAAGAAATGCAAATGCTTATTTTATAGTGTAAGCCTCTAAAAAACATTTCCAGTTATTTACTCACAACCTATGAATAATTGGCCATGTTACTATGAAATTTCTGCTAAACCTCAAAAATTCTGCTTTAATACATGCTCAAAAATTGTATTACTAGTTTTCTTTCGACTTGGATGCTATATTATGAGAAATTTGAGAATAAAACTTATGTTATTACAAAAATAAAGTGTGGTAAAAAACATTCCGTGCAAAAACTGCTGGTGCCTTATGTCTAAAAATAATATCTAGAGGGTTCTCTTTTCCTTTTTCATCGCCAGCCTCTTATTGTTATGTCTTTTAAGATTTAAAACTATTGAAGGAGCCGAAATATAAAGTTGTATATATACACAAGATAAAACAGACAAAATCAGCTGACTTTGCTTCGCTCATTTAACACACTCGACTGCAAACTTGAAGTATAGACTAACTTATTTAAAATTTGTTTTATGTGTCTTTTCATGTGCCTAGGCAAAAAGTAATATCAAAAATGAAGTTGTAAGCTCAAAAACCATGGTGAATGTTAAATTGTTAATATGATTATAAATAGCTTTTTTTGCACTAATTGTTTTCCAGTTTCAATTTGGGAAACTACAGCATGTAAATCAAGTTAGTACCAAAGATGAAATTGATGCTAAACATACAGTTTAGGTTGGGTTATAGAAAATTGAGCATACAATTTTGAAGTTTTTCCACTTGCAATGTTGTGATGAAAATCGTTAAAAACACCCAAGCAAAATACCAATTCTGAATGACTGTAGAGCAAGTTAGGGGACCTAGTAATATTTAAGAAATTTTATTATGCCATTATTAATGTATCAAATCAATGTATTTTTCAGAGGCTTACACTATAAGTAACCAGAGTATCTCCAATCGAGCTAATAATCAATCAAAACTGTCATATTATTTCTGATCGCAGTAAATCCAGTCGAACATCAATTTAATTAATTGAAAAAGAAGCCTTAAACGTTACACGCATGGAATAAATTTAAAAAGGCAATATCTTTAAACTGTTCAACATTTAAAAATAGATTTACCATTCCATCGGCTTACTCTAATTCTTTGACATTTTTTCAATTATATAACGGCGATAAATTCTTAGGGAAACGTCAGTAAAGAAAGGCCTTGATTTGTTAAAGAACTGAATCAAAAATAAGTCAAACTTCACAATAAAAATATCGCGCGAACCTAATTTTGTGGAACTTTCATCAGCTATATCAGAACTCTAGTCCAACGTGTGCACTTAATTGAAGAGTATATTCATTCAAACTAAAAAAATAGAATCATTCATTGCTTGTTGATATCAAAGTTTCAACAATTATGGTTTTGATGGCTAAGGATCTGGAATATGTCTGTCTTCCCTTATTACAAAAGTCTTAAACATAAAAAATCGTTTGTTTCCTGGCCAGGCTTCGCGAGTAGAAGTGAATATGCTTCTAGAGCAGCTGGGGAACTCCTGGGACTGGATGGAAGCGAATATCACTAGCCTGAAGCCCATCCTCTTCTACCTGCCCATCTCCATGCTCACCAACCTACGAGATGTACCCACTATTACCCGGCTGTGAGTGCGCGAACAACAGAAGCCTAAATCTGTTAACAAAACCGTAAAATCATCTTTTATTATCATAAAACTGGGATAAAATCGGTTTCTAGCAACTGACATCCTTACTAGAATGACACACACCGCGGAATTTCAAATTAATGTCGATGTGCTTGAGAGGAAAATATGAAATGAAAGTGAATTGAACTATTTTGTTTATATTTGTGTTGTTTAAACTGATAAATATCCATACCTGACAGAAACGATGAAGTGAGGCAGTGCACGGATAATTCGGGCTCCAGATCCGAATCGTGCCCGAGTCAGCAAGAGGCTAAGGGCGACGTAATGACCGTACGCGCCCAGTACATGCTGTCGCTGCGGGCGTGGCTCATCGAGAAGACCTACGGCGACCCCAGGAACTGGGACCGAGACACCTTCGCCAAGATGACCGACCTCAGCATCCTGCCCGACGCTGTCTTCCTTCGCCTACAGCCTGAAGTTCTGTTGACCCGAAAGGATGAAATCTTGACGGTGAGGCAATTGAGGGGAATTTTATTGCGATTTTTAAAGAACCTGATGGAGACATGGGAATGAATAAGCAGTTATGGACATTGGATTAGATGTAGCCTAAAGAATGTAATTTTATAATCAGAAGATAAAACTTGTTTAACCAGTGAAATATCTACTGAAAAATACGTTGGTTTAAGGGGGGGGGATTTGGCTCCGAAATCCGAAAAAATTTTTCGGATTTGGCTTTTTCGGGTTTAAGTCTCATCTTAAAGCTGACATTCTGCCCTATCCAACGGTACCATTGCCATCTCTGTACGTTGATTTATGCTTTCACGACAGATCATGAAAGGGGGTGGATAAGGAGTTCTTCAACAAATTAGATAGGAACTAATTCGCTGCCCAGCACTATAAATACAGTGTTTGCCTGAGGTGCAGCTCAGTAACCCGCCTGGCGTTGTATGAGGAGGTGCGCATGTAGTCGCTTCCACCATCCTTGAGTGGAATCAAGCTCCAGAAACGTTTAGTTTCGTATCCCTACTACATTGAGTGCCTATTGCGATGCGCGCGGGACTTTGTCGCGCTCTACTGAAAAGTTTAAACTTATTGTCACTGCAAACCTATCTCCTCCTACAGTTTTGAAGCTACAGCGATGAGACATATACCATTCGATTTGTAATGACCATACCTATCGAGTCGAATTAGATTCGTGCATAGTTTGGATTCCAAATGGGGGGAGGGAGGAAAATTTGAAGAAAATGAGAAGAAAACGGGAAAATGCGTGTAAAAAAACTAAGGCAAAAATGAAAAATCAGGCTTCGTTACCCGATTGGTATGGTCTTTACGCATTGAGTGATATGTGTCTACAATGTTGTAGCTCAAAAACCTTAAGAGGAGATAGATTTCTACAGTACCCCCTTTTTGTCCGTTTTCTATGAGTTTCACGTTTTCTATTAATTTTTTTAAAAATCATACGAGCAAAATGTTCTTGTATTTTGTTTTTACATATATGTGTGAAGTTTCAGAAAGATCCGTTAGTAAATGCGGAAGTTTTTCTGGAGGGTATACCGCCCCTTAAGAATTGCTGATTTTGTATGAATGGCAAAATCGATAGATAAAGGCAATGACTTACTTAGCGGTAAGAGTTGATCCAGCTGAGTTGAACGATACAATATTTTCAATATCAGGCTTGCTATCAAAATTAAAATAACCGAAGCTGATGTTTAATTAACTGAATGGTAATGGTAGCACGCAGATAAGGCACGCGAGCATGGTGAAGTGGAACTGGAACGAGCCGTTGAATATAACGTGTCTTTCCACATTGCAGATGCTGCGTAGTAAGGCGTCCAAGGTGAGGTCGCTGGGCCGCTACATTGTCGAGAAGGTCTTCATGAAAGAGAACGTACGGCGCAGCACCGACAACCCACCACCGTCCGTCAGTCAGACTGAAGTCGACAGGGTGCGTCCTTCTTGAGTCTTATTGAAATAATATCTACTCGTTTTCTAAATATGGTCATTTAATAACGACATTATTCGTGTATCATTGAATATCGTTCATACGTCAGCTCGAGTTCTTTACCCCTGTGTGTCATTCACGACTTCTTTGTTGTATAATGAATAATTTTAGATACTCGTCATGTAATGTTTGCGTTTCTTCCATTTCGTACTTTCCCTTAAAATTTCAGGTGAATAATATTCAGGTTAATTCTCGTTAAACATAGAGCATATATTTTCTTTGTATCCATCACATGCCATTTCAAAAAATTAACGGGTAACTGTACAAGTTTTTAAAGTGGAGCTTGCCATACATTGGGAAAAGAGATGGATTGCATTTTGAATTGCACAATGCAAAGAAATTTCAAGCATGAATAAAACATTCCTCGGACAAACTGGCACCTCCCTTTTCAGCGTAAACTGTGACATCTAGGTTTTATAACTGAATTATCAATGAGAAAAACACGAAGCAATTCATTTATTCGTGGATTGAAATGTACACAAATCCCGCACTTAGAGACGTCCATGCCAGTGAAAGATCTTATTGCATACTAAAATTACACACCATCAAATTCTAGAAGTTAAACAAGCTTGGTAATAAAATGATTACACGTTATTAATTGTCAAACGCCAGAGTAGACGCATGATATTTTAATGATCTGACACCCATTTTAGAATGAAAATTGAAAGTTCACGAACATTAAACGATTTGGGATAAATTATTGAACATATTGAAGCCGAACGCAGTACGTTGTCGCTCTGCACCGAATTCACCTCTAAGACGGCTACATTTCCTCTGGGGCGGCCCTAATTGGAACGAAAAGTTTTACTGTGATTAAACGATATAGGGACATATTATTGAAAACATTGAAGTTCTCAGAATACAAACAACAAGCTCAAATTCCACCAAAACTCGCCCTATTTCTATAGGAAACATTTCGTTGTCGGGTCCAGTCGTCAGCTCGAGAATTGTAGAATACAGATAAAGTCAGTTGTTGGTATTATGTGGGACTATTGATAGCGTAAAGAGTTTACAATACCTGTCTCTTTTTCGCGACGCTCAACCACAATGTTAATTAATATCTGGATTTAATACCTATTAATACGTATTAAGGAACTGATACCTATTATTCCTTGACTAGGGAAAGAAAGACAGAAAAAATTAGTTACAGTTTCTATTATACCTAGTATACTTTTTTGAAGTTTCTATCTTTGCATATTGCGGATTATAAACTTCTCGTATTCGGAATTTCCATCTTCTTCTAGACCAAATTTTCCGACTGTTGTTCACTGATTCATGCTGCATCGTCTTCGCGTGGCAGATCAAGGCCGTGATCAGCCCGCTGCGAAGCGCGGGCCTCATGCAGTTCGTGTACGCCACCGACCTTCCCAATGAAGTGCTCGACGCTGACAACCGTCTCATCCGCAACGAACTGGACACATCCACCACCACTGCGCTGCAGAGCGGCGGCATCGACGCTTTGGTGAGCCCGTAGAGCGTCCTAAGCCGTGACTTGAGAATTCCTAAGCTTGTTCTTCTCCTTGTGGGCCAGTCTCGATTGTTTATGACGAATCTGATTTGATTTTAAACCAGTTCTTTGCCTGATGATTAGGCTCCGGTGGTGATATTAGTGTCATATGTACCTCATTTTGTGTCGAATATAACAAATAGTCATTTCGCATTAACTTTAATTTTCGAAATAAAATAATCCAAATCCAAGATTCCTTTAAGAGATTGTCATTTTGCCCTAAAACTACGAAATTTCTACCGAAACTCTTCAAACACTCCATAACTCATCGTAATTTAACCAGTGTTGTAATATGAGTTTTCGTCCTAGGTGCTGGAAAACGGCATTCAGGGTCTATTCAACTACACATCACCCTTCACCAGTGAACAAGTCCGTAACCTAGGTGAGTGATTGTGCAATGTATACAAGTATATTCAAGTTATCTCTGGTGAGTGATGGTGCTGAAGGACACGCAACAAACCTAAGTGAGCTACATTAAACAACGGTCATTATGAGGATAAATTCCAGAGATGTTGCAGTGGTGAGTTATATTGATGCTGCCTTGAGACAAAATTTGACGTAGTAGGATATCATTGCGAGAGCTCACAAGAGCAGAGAGCTCGAGATTGTCTTGGACTTTTACGATACAACTGGAGAGGTAATTAAGAAGAAGGCAAAGTCTGGTACATTTTAATACCTCCAACTATCAGAGAATAAGTTGTTATAAAAGACCGTCAAGGATGTAGTCCCATTGACATAAGTTAGTAGAATATATATGGAGCTATCAAAGGTTCTCTCGGCTAAAAGTTCCTGAGATTTAGCTGAAATGTTAGTGTAATGTGCTTTCGAGCAGTGGATTCAAGATACCAGTCTTCTTGATTGCTTGAGTTTTTGGCTTTTATGTTGGACCGTTTTTGTGTTGGACCATTTTTGTGTTGTACCACTTTTGTGTTAAACCACTTACGTGTTGGACCATTTTTGTGTTGGGCCACTTTGAAGAGGAGGAAGCCCGAACCGGGCTCCGTCCCGGACAGCTCGGGCAAGACCGTTGCTGATTGGTTGCAGACATTGACACAGCGTTGGATGTTTCCTTCGTAAATATTACGTATATTCCACCTGGACTGTATTATTAACAGTAAAATCGTCAGTGAGGAATAACTGCGTAGAAAAGCTGAGTAATTGGGACAATTATACGCGAGTAATTTTGTCTCAACTTTGGTAAAAAATCATTCACTTTTTTAACAACAGGACTTGACATACACTGTGAGTCAGTGCAAACTCATCTGACAAACTGTGCGCGAGTGCATCAGGACTTAGCACATGTTTCAAATACATTGAAGCTCTCCAAAAAGTACATATATGTATTCACTTCATTCTATTCACGACCTACTATATGAACTCACAGTTCAAATTAGTGTCTACGCAACAATGATATATTAAATGATACACGCATTGAAAGTACTTTATTAGTACCGCCATATGTATCTCGCAGGCATGAACCGTTTGGCGCTGGCGTCAGGCCTGATGCTCAACCGCACTCTCAGGACCTTCTCCATCTCCGCTGATGACTTCAGGAGACTCTCGACGACCATCCAAAACACGGTCGGCAGCACCGCCAAGTCCAAGGTTGGTGCTAGTGTTCCTTTGTGGTGATGGCTGTGCAATGTTGATGTGGCAGTTGTATGGTAGTTTTATAATAATCAAAATCCGACACATTCAAGATTGCCATAGAAATTCAACTTCTGCTGTGAAAAGCCAAGCCTCTAAGAATAATTTTAATTTATATAAATAAAGAGGAAAAAGCAGGAGACTTGGTTCACTCGGAAATATGCAAGTTCAATACATGTTTGCAAGGAGTTTCTAAATTCGATTAATTAATTCAACTTAATATCCTTTGAAAAGCTTTATAAAACTAGATTTATCTTGTGAAATCTAAAGAAACTGCCTTTAAAATAAATTTTCCCATGCATGATGTAAATGAATTGGCCAAAAATAAAGACCTAATCATTTGTAAGCCGGATAACGGCAACGGCGTTGTATTAGCTGATCGTAATCGTTTACAACAGTAGCCTTTCTACTCTCATTACAGACCCTTCAAAATTTATCGAAATTACAGATCCAATTGCTAAAACTATTTTGAAGATATTGCGTACAAAATTAATAATTTCCTAAGAAAACTTGAAGATTCTGCTGCACTTTCATCTGAAAATTAATTCAAACTTTATGCTTCTGGCTCTTGCCCTGGTATGTTGTATGGCTTACCCATAATTCATAAACCAGATTCCGCTTTGAAATTCCAATTCCACCCAATCTTTGCTGCTCACAATACTCCGAGCTTCAAACTTGCTAAATTTTTAGTTCCCGTTTTGAACCGTCTCACCAATACGGTAGACAATACTTACATGTTCGTGAATCGCTCAAAGAATTTCACTCATGTTAAGAACTTGACTATGGCTTCATTTGATGTAGAAAATTTGTTTACCAATATACCCCTCCATGAAACTATCGATATCTGCCTAAGTTCTTTGTTTAAATGTGTCAATGACTGTTTAATGGGTTTGAACCGCAACTATTTAAAATATCTCCTTGAATTATCTGTTTTAAACTCAATTTGTGTATATGCTAGCAAATTTTATAGACAAATTGATAGTTTGGACATGGGTCTTCCTCTCGGCCCTAATTTTGCAAACATTTTCATGTGTATTCACGAGGCTAGCTGGATGGCCAATTGTCCTCTCGATTTCGAGCCACTGTTCTATAACCGGTAAAATAAAAAACAACCGGTATAACCGTTTTTTTTTTAATTTCAAGCATCCCTCTCATGTAGGCCTCTTCTTTGATTATCTTAATCTCCAGCACATGTCCATCAAATTTACAATGGAGCTTGAATCAAACAATAGTTTATCTTTTCTTGAATGCAATGTAACAAAATTAAATGCCCGTTTTCAGACCTCTGTTTACCGAAAATTGGCGTTTCCCGGTTTAAGCACCAGCTTCTTTAGCTTTTGTTCATTTCGTTTCGAAAGAAATGGTATTCAAACGTTAATAAACTGACGATTTCGTATCTGCTCAACTTTCCATACTATACATTCTGAATTTGAATTTATACGCTGTACGTTTTCACTTAATGGATTTCCGTCGCAATTGGTATATACTTATATTAAGGAATTTTTGTCTAAGCAATATTCTGAGGGTGTTCCAGAACGTGACGATAGGAATGCTGTTTATTGTTTATTTCCTTACTTTTATCCCGGTTTGGATTCTATTGCCAAAGAGTTGAAAGGTTTGTTATATGATGTTCATGATTTCGTTATTGATAATAGCCTTGGTAATGCTAAAACCTTCGAAGAGTTTTTGTTTGTTAAGATTTAAGGCTCGCTATTCTCCGATATCAGATCTTCCTGCTATAATAACATCTAATGATAACACGAAAACCAGTTGACATTTTAGAAAAGACTCAAGAAGAAGGACTATAAAACTTTGAAATTTCTGAAAAATGTCTGGATTGTGACTCATAAATTACTCAGCGATCTGTGAATAGGGTATCGTATAATAATCGTTGAAAATCGTTGTCAATAAATGTTCAGCTACGCACCGCCGTGAACCGTAATTATCGACACACGTCTAGTTAGAAGTTTTGGCCCATAAGACGTTTTGGCTCATGAGACACGTTGGCCCTTGGTGGCAACAAACAACCATTTGAACGCCAATCTTGTTCATAGGAGCAATGTTCATCAGCTCCCCGATTCACAGCGCGAGATCTATGTATGCGTATATTGGCTTTTCTGAGTTTTGAGTTATTTGTTGCTGTATTATCGTTTAGATTAGAGCGAACTCTGTTGGATCTCATTTATGACAGAGCAGATTCCGTCTAGCCTGTCGACGTTAAGGGGTGCATGCCGGAGGCCAGCTTTGCCAAACTTCACACTTAGTTCATATTTCTTTCCATAGATAAGAATGCTAGAGTGCATAACGGCCAATGAAGTCAAGTGCTCAAAGCCATAGCTCCGGATGTCCACAGCCACAAAATATACTTGCCTAAGGTGAACATGGCCATACTGCATCAGGCCAAACCTCCTCTGGCCTTATCTCTTCAGGCCTAACCTATACGAGCTGCAACCTTTCTCCACCCAAAACAAGCCTGAGCGGACCTAACCTTACCTCATTGGCTGCAAGAAGTTAGAGAGGCGGCCCAAGTGTGCTGGTAGAGGCAGTCATTGGCTGCTAGAAGGTTGTGACCCGGGACAGAGTGAATAGATTAGGCCGGAGTAGGTACAGCCGGATGAGGAACTGCCTGCTTATGAGCGGTCATGCTTAAGCATTGGCTGAAGACCTACGGCGCTATTATTTTTCGGCAGTGTGTCGCTTGTCTGGATTACGGAGTTCAAGCGTAGTCTGCGGCTTCTAGGTCTGAGGCTGAGTAAAGTTAATGCATAGTGAAGCTGGGCGTTGGCTCCAGGGCTTATTTATGAGTAAAATTTGTGGCCCACGGCTGCGCCCCCGACTTATAAGCAGCATCTTACTGACGCCCAACAAAATTAACTAAAAGTTTCTTAATTTCGACTAAAAACAATGTCTATACTTTCGCAATGATATTAACGAGGTCTATATCGCAGGAGGTGATTATATGTTCATGTCACGGCAATGAATAGTAAATTCTAATATGAAGATATGTGAGGGTTGTTCGATGGTGATATTATGGCAATGTAATATTAATGTTGCGCAATCCCCAGCTGATGCTGATCAAGAACAAAGTGTTCGAAGTTGCCTCTGGTGGTGGCAGCTCGCTGGATATCAGCTATGTCCCTGACGAGCTCTTGGACGTGGCGCCCATGCGGTACCTCGATGCCATGTCTTCAGAGAACAGGATGAACGTGCTGGGACGGAACACCTCCTTCAACACGGGACAGATGGCCACCCTCATATCAGGCGTAAATGGGCTTTCAATAACGAGCGATTCAGTTCGAAATCTGTGTGAAAAAATTAATACCATGACCTAATTCATAAGATTTCTGTTTCAATACTTCGTAGACACTTCGAACAAATAAATAGCTTCAACTTAAAGTATAAACAGTAATTTCATAATAGTTAGCTCAAAATTATGCATCAAGGTTCCGTCCATTCCCCATAAAAACGACTTTAGTCAATTACTTAAGGAACTACAATTATAGACTGTTACTAATCAAAAGGAAAACATACTTTACAAAAATCAAGATACGTACCTAAATGGCTGATGTCTGTGATAACCAGTTACCTTTGATATCCTTGATAATGAAATGCATTGAACACCTCTGATGAAGCTCACGACCGCATTCTGTTATTCCCCTGGATTACGATGCAATAATTCACAATCCAGGGAATTACGATGCAATCATCACTTATATCATCAAATTCACAATAAATACTTATATCATCATTCTGCTTATATCCTCAGTTCATCAAGAATTAAAATCGGAGAAACACCGAGCAAGGTCACTATATCTCCAGCAAATTCGCAATATGCTTAGTAAACGTACTTAGATAAGCCATTTAGCTAACCAAAATAATTGAATGAAACACTTCAGATTGGGTCGGGCCAGTTGAGTAGCATCTCAGGTAACGCCAAGGAGGCCATCCCCACCAATGTATACAAGGACCTCAACAAGGATGGCTTGAAGCCGGCGGCCGTCGGCATGCCTCCCTCATCCAAGTTGGTCAGTTTTTATTGTCATTTTTGACTACTAATACGTATAACTTGTTATGATGCGATTCGTAAAGAAATTATAGGTATGCATTTGCTTATTGCAACATGGCTATTACTACAGCCATATTACCATCTCAAACCGAAAGCACGAAGTACAAACTCCATTATAACCAACCATACTCTTGTAACATTATTATTTTCCAATCTACTGGTCCTACCTCATGAGTTATGTTTGGCAAACACGTTGCGATTTCCGCTACTACGCTAGTCCTTTCTGAATTGTAAGTCATTGATTCAATTGAGGAAGAATCAGTGATATTGCAGAACTTTAAATATTTTGCAGAATCGACTAGGTTTATTGGCATTCAATTTCTGGTTGTTTTCCCTATTAGTAAGTTGATATATATGCACAAACATTTATTTTATTACTGGCAATAATATTATTTCGACGATCAGGGCCTGATGACAGCGGACAAGGCATTCAAGAATGGTGTGAACATGAATGCCGACGCCAACGCGGCGATGTTCCTGCAGGGGCAGGACGCCAAGAACATCCCGCCGTCTGACATCGTCCAGCAGCTCGAGTACATGAAGGATACCTTCCCTACGCGCCAGGCGGTGGGTGTAACGCCTCTATATAACATAATTCGTAACTAACAGTGAAGTGTCGTAAACAAGTATTCACTCGGACGCACAGTAATGAGAGTACTAGTATAAAGCATAACTATTTGCCTGCAGTGTTCCGTGCTCAAGAACATCTACGTGAACTACTCGGCGACGGAGATGATGACGCAGAGTGAGGAGGAGGTCTTCCAGCTCCTCACACCCTCCGCCATCGAGCTCATGCCCATCTGCGTCACTGCCGCTTTCGGGTGATTTTTTGGAATCATTTGATATTTTTTTGTCAATTTATTTTGCATTAATATCTGATAATTTATCATAAGGTAACATTACTTCAATATGTTGATGACACTAAAACAATGCAGGCACTATAAATAACACTGCGCCGATGCAACATCAACGAATGCTACTAAAAACCTTTAGGTCTGGTTAAAATGAATTTAAATACAATCAAATAAATAAATATATAATTTTATTTAGTTAAATTATTCCTTCATACTGGGTTTCACCATATATCATCACTACCAAATTTAAATTTAGCACCGGCAAAGAGCCGGCAGTAGGCATATGTGGAGGTACAAGGGACAAAATGTCCGATTTGGAGACAATATCGCAAGCCACAGTCCGGTGCTAGTTATCCTATGCTTATCTGCCCTGGTAAGCCCTGTCTTATACCGCCTATGCAGCTCATCCTGCTCTATCCTCACCTGCACTGAGTTTGCTCTGTCACTGGCGTCTGCCATATGTCGATGACGATTTGAAAAAATATCAATCGTCTTGTCGAGATTATTAATATTCCAATTATACAGAAAATTTCCCCTGGGATCCATCGACATTCCACCAGACCAACCCTTGCAACGTAATTAGACATTAGCGAGTTCAATCAGACCTGTGGGAAAAATTGGTGCTTCGTTTCACAAACATTTGGTATCAAAGGAAGACGTGCTATGGTGCCAGAAGACAGTAATCCTGGGATAAAATTGACGTCCTTAGCGCCTAAAGTCTATTTCTTATCCGAGTTGATGACTTGACAGCAACTTAAGTCGAGCTTTATCATTATCCGATCCAGTCTAAAAGTTGGTAAATCAGTGCATGACTATTGTATTTATCCTAGAAGGCATCCATAAACGAAACCGCTTCAAGTTGGAAAAAAGTCAGACGATAGGATAACAAACAAAAAATTTAAGAATTTATATCTTATTGACATCTTAGTTATTTTGAACGGGCTTCAACGGGACCCGAAATTTCTAATTCTGAAGTTTACAGTGTAATTCACAGAAACTCACGGAAGCTATTGCTTACATTTAAAGATGACATCGGACAAATGACGACCCTCATTGTAAATGCATTCAGTTAATCGATTTTTGATGTTCCCATCAACCTGCTGAAGCCTATTGACTGGTGTATTGACGATGGCTTGGCTTTCGTTTTCGTCATAGGTAGATAGGTAGATCCTTGGACAGTAAATGTAAACAATTGATAAAGGATAATCCCATAAAAAACACTTCCACTTGCCATAAATGTGGACTTGAGGACCTTCCCCGACCTGGGGGACAAATGCGGAACTGAGTACGGAATGCTCGTTGAGGTAGCGATAATGGAACGGCCATTAGAAAATTACGCCTCGACAGCAAACGCACGCTGCCCCCTTGTCCAATGCACAGTGGCAACTGACTAGGCAGGATACAAAACTTCATGATCTGCCGTTCATATGAAATACTCGCTGCTCTTTTCTTACAACATCTGGCTGCTTGGTACGACATACAAAGCAGGAAGTTTTCGTGAATCACCTTGTGCGTTAGATCATAAAGCTTGTCTACTACTCTTTTTTCCAAGTCTACTCCCTCAGTTGAAAAAAAAAACATTTCCAACTCTTCCTGGCAACGGAATTTTGAATGCTCTTTGAGGATTGGTTCAAGGACTAGGACAAATTAACAACCGGACTCGCGGTCGGTCTCACGGCCAATCTGCAAATTCAGTGACCAAGGACTACCTCCCAAGCTAATGAACGCAGCTCGATGAAACTTTCTACACGTATTCATCAGGACCTAACGGTGATGTTTAGCTTGTGAAAATTTTTTCCATTTCACCTTCATTCGTGAATTATATGGTAATTTGGGCCGAATTTTGCAGTGACTAAGAAATTTCTTCCACTACACAACAGGTTTGAACGAAACTTGTTTATGAAATACTTTCCGGACATTAATCTTCGTGTCTTACTGATGAATAATTTCAAAAGAGGTTCGTTTTTAGGTACAAAGATATCCTCCCTTCTCACATGCGATCGTCCCTAGTTTATAAATTTACTTGTGCGCGATGTGCATCTGCGTACGTTGGGATGACGTCACGTAACTTTTACACTAGTAACGCTGAGCATAAAGGGAGGAGTTGTAGGATTGGGCAGTTACTATCGCGCCCTCCTCATTCGGCTGTGCGCACTCACGCCGGACAGTTCCAATGCCCGACACTGACTTTAAGGTTTTAGCTTATAGTTCTGGTGATTCCGATCTGCGTATTTTGGAATAATTGTATATTTTTAAAGAGAAGCCTAGTTTAAATGCTGCCTACAGTTCTTATCCATTAGAAATTGTGAATAGATAGATTTTTCCTCAATTATTCTGCCCTTTGTCTGTAAATTTAGGTTTTTACCTTCTGTGTTCTTTTACTCCAAACTTTACTAATTTTCTGACTTTATATGTGTTCTAGATTTATCGAACTGACGATGGAGCTGGTCTCCGAAACATTTTCAATAGAGATATGCTGAATTTTTGTGGTGTTTTCTTCGCTTTTATTTTTAGTGAATCTGCGATTAAAGCAATCTAGTGACATTATTACTTGTGAACGAAACTTTGAATATACATTCCTAACCTTCCAACGGTGATGTTTAGCTCGTTACAATTTTTTCGTGACATATCATATCTCTTGAACATATCCCAAGGCATTTTCAACTATATGACCTTTTTGAGGCCATTATCATTTGTTTCTACTATTGAATGCAGAACGGTCTAATTAGAGTGGTGCCAAAATAGCTTGTTAGTTTCTTTCCTTTGGAATGTTGATCGTACCAAGTAGTTTTGAATAATCTCAAGATTATATTCTCAACGTTGGTGAAAGGAATCAAATCAAAACAACCTTCGAAATTTATAACAGTATTAGTGTCTATTTTAACGTGTCTGCGAACTGCAATTTCACCCTTTCCAAAGTATGATTTTTATAAAAAAATACACACATACGCGATAGATCGTTGATCTACATGCGTTGACAATACACCAAAGGTACTCACTGATAAAATAACAAAATACTGAAATTTTAATTGAGAAACGTAGATGTAAGATTCGTTGCAGTCAAATTTAATGCTTTCACCCGGCATTTTGTTGACAACCATACCGAACGATCAGTTACAGCAACCATGGTAGTGTCATAATATTCTCTATTTCATTATAATGGAGTTCTAATAACATTAAAAAAATTTATTCCCAGTCAGGACAGACTTCGGCGCCTGGACGACGTCAGCAAAATAACCCTGTTGGACCGCCTCGTCGCGAACAGGAGGATGGCGCTGACTTACGCCTCCCTCAGCCGGTCTGACATACAAACCATCGTGGAAGAGGGGCTTAATGCGAAGGTAAATGCACGTGAATAATCACCAACTGGCAAAATTCAAGTGCTCTAGACCATTGATGGTTTGGTTGATAGTGCGTTGAATGAATGCATCGGATGCGTCGGCATCCAAGTGTATAGTTCAAAGTTATCAAGCAAGCTTCGATGTACTAAACAGCTGGGTAACTCACCCATGCAAATTCCATACCGTAAAATAGGCACACGAATGATTTTGGTAGAACATGTAACGTATAAAGTCGACTTAAAATAGTAACATATGATATCTACGACAATTAAACGGTATCTTGTCTAAAAATCACCCTAAATAATTAATCTACTTCAAGAATACATGCATAGAAGACTGGCGTTATATAAAAAAAATTAATTCAAATCACATGATTGGTGCTGTATTCTAAGAAAAGCTATGAAATATTAGGAAAAGTATCCAAGTATTGCGGTAAACTTTCGTCTCATAATTAATTTACGCTTCACAGCTTGTCTCTTCAGGATGATGAAGCCTGCCTAGTTTTTATATTGCCTAAACAGATGATGATAAAAGTTTTACCCTTTTTTCTTTTAAAATTAACTGCCAAACATTGGCGAAGCACCTTCCCTAACAAAATATAGCGGCGTGTGCGACCCTGCATTTGGGTCACCTGGGACTCGGACCGCACGGAAATCTATTTCTGATTTATGTCCGCTTCGGCTCAGGGTTCAAAAGGTAGCCTCTGGGCAGCTTGCTATACAATTTGATATGACTCGGCTCGGCCAACTCTTGTCATACTCTCAGGCGACTATGAAGTCGGATAACAGATTCTGACCAGAATCTGATTTCGATCGGGTGGCCAACCCTAACAAAATTCGGGGACCGCCTAGGCTTCGGCCGAATAGTCACTACACTCGGCGCAAAGTCATTCTGGGTCAGTTGGCCAACTGATCGCAATCAGCGACTAGTCAGAACCTCCTGGCCGACTTTATGGTCTCCTAAGCGTAGGGCAAGATTTGGCAGAATCCCTTCAGTCCCCTTACCAGGCTCTAGTAGCTGTCTGATTCGATGACCGGAATGTAGACCAAAAAGCGGACATATAGAGAAGCTGATTTACGTTCGGTCCGAGTCCTAGGCGGTTCCTAATTCAGGCTCGCCACCAACTAAAAATTTTGATAGGGAAGCAGATTCAGAATAATTTTGCGCCGAGTGTATGACTATTCGGCCGAAGCATAAGTAGTCCCCTAATTTTGTAAGGGTTAAATATCATATTTTCATCGGTTATCTGTCATCTTATATTCCCGCCATCAACTGTCGTTAACCCATCAGACAAATAATAATGGACAAATAGCAATAGTGATCCTCTCTGGCTGGATATTCTTGCCCAACACTTCAAATGACCTGTGCAAACGAGTTGAGGACCAGTCGAAATGCTCAAGTTAGAAATATTAATGTTCTTAAGCCAACAATCTTTCTAAATTGAAGCCAGGCAGAAGCATATGAACACCTGCCTAAGGACCGTTAAAGAAATATATGATTTATTATGTTGTTGCTACACAATAAATATTCTACAGCCGAGGTCGAAATCTGCTTTCAGAACCCGATATAATTGAAGTCCTGGCCATCGTCTGAATGTCATGAGACGCTGACATTCCTTCTTAGCTGGTGTAAATCTTTCACAAATATTCGTGCAAAAATCCTATTATAATGACCTAAAGCTTCATCAAACCTTACATTTTGTAATACTGAGTTCGATTGACACCGTAGGGCCGGCCAAGCGTCTTGACGGGAGCGGACGTTAACATGTACGGGGAAATTCTTCTATTCTTCCCCACGGACCTGCTGAACTCCATGACCTCCGAAGGAGCTCCTGTCGCCCTCGGCATCTTCAACGTAAGTGGGAGAAATGGAGGGTATATTGGTATGGGGATTAGAATGGACTTAGTGTATGACCTTAACTGTCTTCAACGTCTGTTGGGGGCCAAGGATGCAGCTTGAAGGGGGTGAATGGTATAGGAAATGGCTCTTCAAGATGAATAATTGAGAGCTGGTCTCTAATGCTATGATCAAAGAAAAGAGTTGACTCAAGTGTTATTTTCACGGCTTTGAAGAGTGTTTCTTTTTTCTGCAGTTAGTCGTTGAGACGGCGAATAGATCTTATAAATGGTGCAAGATCTCTTATCTAGTCGGCAGCTCATTTCCGTCTATAGCCCAGCCGTATCACAGTCCTGCTACGTTCATCGCCGTAATTTAATAACATTAATATGCTCCTTTGCAAGAAATCCGGTAGAAAGCACGCATTTTGATTAATTAAACTAATATGGGAAGCGGGGCGATTCTTCGTGGCAGCGCTGTCGATGAGTTTGCGATTGTTTCCACTGTTAGCGTTGTATTGTGCTGAGGATGTGCCGAGGCAAATAACATCCTGTATGATTTATTTGTAGGATGGGAAAGCTGGCAGAGTTTCGAGTTAATTGAGGTGATCGAAATTAATTTAATTCATCATTTAGTGTGACAGTCACTGATAACCTGTGAAAGAAATTGCGGCTATCAGACAATGATTGCGAGTAGAGCGAATGATTTACCTAAGGCTTGTGGACTACTGAAAAAATTTTTTTGGACGATGAGGTTGTAAATGGACTTAGTGCTAAAAGATAACGTTAGGACGGGGGCGGAAAATGCCGTTATCTATTGTGAGTTGAGTGAAACTAATGAATTATTGAGCCATTTGCAATGAACAATTGTAACATAGTACTATCGATAAATTCTTTATTTCCTATAATAACACCAAACTAAAACTTCTAGAACCTGGCGGCAAGTGTCCTGATGCCATGTCTTGACGGAGGACGAAGAGCGGCCATCGGTAATATGATCACCAAGTTCAAAGGGTGAGTGGCCAGCACTGATGGATGAGTCACTTGCTGGGCAAGTGCCTGGTGGATAGGAATTAAGGTGGCGAATCTGCTACGGTGGAGAGTCACGTGAGAAAATTTTGATAAAATATTTACCTTGACCATATAATTCATGGCAAGCTGCTCGGTAAAAAGGGTCTGTTGAAAAAAAACACGATAGACTAATTTTAGTCTATCGTTGGTCTAATTTTAGTCTAATGGGTGACTTTGCCAGCGCCGGATGGACAAATATTGGACCGAGCTAAAGGCCAGAAAAGTGTTTAATACGCAAATATATGACAAAGGAGTGCTTGACACATAGATTGTCTTCAAGGACAATATGTAGATTTTTTCATCCGATGAGTAAATTTGGGGTTCTTAGTCATCGAACAAATAAGCATGGCAATGTCAATGATGTGCTATTTATCATAGGACTTTGATGATGAAATATCATCATGAATATTGTCGAATTGTAGACGAATAGCCTACACAGGCTGGTTGACACGTGTCTGTTTTACAAGGACGTGCAAAACCCGCATAGGACGGTCCACACGCTCAGTTTTACACAACGATTTGCCTGCACAGTTCAAATGGTTGCAGATAAAATGTGCATGAGGACGGGAAAACTGCGCAGTTATGAAACCGGCGGGAAGCCTGCACAGTTGCAGCGATATCTGAGCTACAGAGCATAGATTTCGATGACCTTCGCGGATAAGTCGGAACGTGTAGATGGTAGCACCGTTTTCCGATTCAATGTGTGCTCAGTTTCAATGATTCTGGCGACAATGGCGGACCTTAGGAATGTTCTCGAGAATTTATTGCTCTATGCGAAAGTTTTCCTTGCATTTGGCGAGTAAAATTTTAAGGACTATATAGAAACCGAGATAAAAAGGTGGAACAAAAAAAATCGATGAAAGCACAAAGTGATAAAAAATTAATAATAATTTGAGGAGTATTTACCGTAAATAATTATGAAAAAATTGATAAATCGATCCCATCTGGAGCTGGGGAAGATGACATCTACAAGCCATCTCTCTTGTATTCTGATCCCTCGCATTTCCTAAATAATCCAGTCCTTTTTTAACAAGGCACAATGACAAAATTACTGCCTCCTCCATAGCGAGATCGCGCAAAACTGAGCAAACTACACAGATAAGTGGGCACAGTGTGGACGCGCTAAAAATTGCAACGATTTCATTCCGACTTAAGACTGCGCAGACAAATCGTTGTGTGAAACTGAGCGTGTGGACCGGCGTTATCATTTTCTAGGTACGACACACAAATATGTCTGATCATTCATTACCAACAAGTTATGATAATGTTTCATCTAGTTTTTCTCTTTGGATCCTAATGAATTGAATTCCCCATCTTCCGCCAGTGATGACCCGCAGACATGGCGGCAAATGTCGGGACTGTGTTGCCTGCTGTACACGCTGCCGTCGGGGACGCTGAGCCGCATCCCCCGCGGGGCCCTCATGTCCTGTCGGTGCCACATCGCCGACCGCGCCCAGCACGCCCCTGAAAATGAGGCCCGCCAGGTCACTTATTAATTCATTAAAACCTTATTTTCTTACAATAAAATTCCTTCTTAAAAAGTTTAGGTTTTTTTCACAGTAAAACGCAGGTACAACGTTGACACGGGGCGCATGCCGGTAGCCAGCATTGCCATTCTTTTCTTCACACTTAGTTCATATTCCTTTCCATAGGTAAGAACGCTCAAGTGCATAACGGCCTATGAAGTCAAGTGCTCAAAGCCATAGCGCCGGATGTTCACAGCCACAAATGATCTTGCCAAAGGTAAACATGGCCATACTGCGTCTGGCCAAACCTCATCTGGCCTAACCTCTTCAGGCCTAACCTATACGAGCTGCAACCTTTCTCCACTCAAAACAAGCCTGAGCGGACCTAACCTTACCTCATTGGCTGCAAGAAGTTAGAAAGGCGGCCCCAGTGTGCTGGTAGAGCCAGTCATTGGCTGCAAGAAGGTTGTAAGCCGGGACAGCGTGAATAGGTTAGGCCAGAAGAGGTTAGGCCGGAGTAGGTACAGCCGGATGAGGAACTGCCTGCTTATGAGCGAGCATGCTTAAGCAGTGGCTGAAGACTTACGGCGCTATTAACTTTCGGCAGTGTGTCGCTTGTCTGGATTACGGAGTTCAAGCATAGTCTGCGGCTTCTAGTGCTGAGGCTGAGTAAAGGAAATGCATGATGAAGCTAGGCGTTGGCTCCAGGTCTTATTTAAGAGTAAAATTTGTGGCCTGCGGCTGTGCTCCCCTTGACTCAGGTACAGTTTCTCACGTAGGTGAAGCCTTGATGTCCCTGCCTAATTCTCTTTCATTTTCCCTCCACTTTCTACCTATTCCTCCAAATTAATGTTGATACATAAATGTTATGCAGTGTACATCTATCTACAGCTACAAAGGAAATGAGAGGAAATGTACAGAGGTGTACATCTTAAGCTACAGAGTAGCTTCTCTAATATTATCTTGATGACAGATAATTTAGAACCTGTGAAAGCGAAAATAGTGGATGTCACAGCTTTTTCCCTAGGTTGTTTACCATGAGATGTCCCATGATAATTATAATGTTCCGTCGGCGCCAGGCATAGACAAAACCATGCGACAGCAAAGATTAAATATATGGATCTTGTCCTTTGGAGAACAATAGAACAACGTTACATGTTAATGGCCAGCCATTCTAATGCCATTTGAACTAACCTAGTATAAACAATAGGTTGGAAAGAGAAATTGGGAGGCGAGAAAGCTATAATGATCATGCACCTCCGGTATGTAATTCATATAATAATTATTAATATATTATAGAACAGGAATATTATGGAATAGAAAAAAGTAAAAAAAGGCTTAATTCATAGGAACTAACTAATAAAATCCAGAAATTTTTCTAATATTAATGAAGACAATGTGAACAGAGGCCAGAGCTTGTCGAAAAATGTAGGCTGGTGTTATAGAACCGATTTTCTCACTCTCCTTTGTCTTTGGCGTTAATTTTTCTTGGAGCATATTCGAAACACCATATCACAGCTCGTAAATTTGACGTTGCAGATGGAGTGTCGAAACTTTATCGGCGGGGACTACGATGCCGAGGTCTGGCAACGTGAAAACGTGCGACGCGTGCAGGCCTGGGCTGCTCTGGATGTCCTCGACCCTTACACCATCCCCAACTACAACCCCAACGGCAGGAAGAAGAGGGGTTAGTGAGGCCCTATATTGTGTTAGGTTCATTTACATTTACAAACATGTCTGGCTTGTAAGAAGAACTCACCTGCTCGATCAGAAGAACCCACGTCCATCATTCACAAAAATGGTTCGGTTTTCTGCTGGCCTCGCACGTACCTTTTTATTATGCGTCATCATATTTCGAAATTAAATAACATTGGTACCCTGAATGATTTTAAAAATAAATTGATGAAATGTTGGAATAACAAGAAAACGTACCCAGGAATCTTAAAATTCATACGAGCACTTCTCCATTTATAAAAAAGCTAAATAAAGAGATGCACTTGTAACACGCTTGCTACCTACAACAATGTCTTGAAAAACATTTAACCTAAGAAACTCTACATACACCGTTCCCTGTGATTTGATCATAAAAATCGGCAATGTCTAGCAAACAGAACTCGTTAAGCTCAAAAATAATTTCGCTCAACCTTCACCCGATCTGCACAAAAACGCTATCTGCATCCACTATAATGGCCAAAGACATTGTTCTCCCAGTGTCGCATAGAGGTTCGTTTCTCTCCCACTCTCTTTAACATCTACACACACGATAATATTTGTTTTTCTTGCAGTACCAATAGTATATTGTGGAAATGTTAAAAGGAAGAAAAAAAGCGCATGATGCATGAATTGTAAAAAGGCTCATGGTGCATGAATAGGTTGAATATACTGTAGGTGTGTGGGGTTGGTTTGGGTGGGGGAAAAACAAGCAGGGCTTCGTATGAAACGATATTTTACTACTGCTGCCAATACACTCTCCGTTTCATAAAGAAATAGTACAACAGCTGGATAGTACCACACTGAAACGCCGCACTTCAAATGCACCCTCATCTTTACAGTAAAATTCATAATCAGTAGGAACAAGACATCTTTAAAATTTTAAGACAAGAATCGCTAGCCTTACTCAAACAGTGGAAAAATTATATGGATGAAATAATCCCTCCAATCAGCATACATTTGTTTAAATCTCTACAAACAATATCGTAAACATTTTTATATCAAAAGCGCAAAAATCTTACAATAGAGCACTAAATGTTATAACATATGTACACTAGTGTGATTTTATTTCTAAGAAAACATTACAAGAACTACACAAAATTTTCGCCATTAACACCGGCCGTCACCCGTGTCAACAAGCTCTGGTGCAACATCCATCCAAATCATGTTTCTTAAAACATCTCACTTCTTCTCCAGGCACCATAGCAAGGCAGCATCGGCAATTTAAAAGATGTAATATGCATGCACAAAAACAAAACTCCACCTCTATTCATTTTATCACCAACCTCTTCTCACCCTTACCACGCAAGTAACGGGCCAACTTTACCTATCTTCCAAAACTAGTTTACATAACCCGCCTAAGGGAAATTTCTGACATTTCTAACGGACGAACGAAATACGCCCTAATTGAATCATACAAAAGGAGATCGACGGTTCCATCCATATAAGAATTTTTTTATTCCTGTCAGCCGCTGACACATGGACGCTTCAAGCTCGCCTAGCGGTGTAAATTAGCGGCTCTATGTCCGCTTTAGGTTCCGGTTGCCGGAGTGAAATAAGCGCCGAAACAAAATCTTGTGAAATACTTGTCGAGCTTGGGGCGATCGTGGGGTGCGCGTATTTGGTGCCTGATACGTTCGGAGCAGACACGGCCGAATCAGAAAAATGTGTTAAAAAATAAATGCCCCCCTCCTCTCCCTCTTTATGGGGGAAGGGAGAGGGCATTTGAGTCGCGCGTATCATCGCGGCACAATGAAGAAAGTGGCAAGTAAACACGAGTTTGAAACGGTAATAATATCTGTCAACTAACTTCCAACCCTAACTTTCCACATTACTCACAACTTTATCTTATATTTGCCAAATTGCAAGATCATCTCACATTGCCCGAGCAAAACAATCTTCAATATTCACCAGCAATAAGCATTCTCACACATAGCCAAAAACCAAACATTCTTCAACATGCGATATCACTCAACTATCAACATACTCCAATATTCAACACTGCTCAATATTATCCCACATCATCCATGTACGAAACATTCTACCATTCATCCGTACGAAACACTCCCACCTATTGCAGTAGTAGCGGTCGGTACCAAAAATATTTCAAGTACGGCTGAGCAAAACATTATCCATAACCAGTATTGAACATTCTCTCATATTCGCCAGCACCAAATATTCACATTATACTGTTAAGAATTCTCCCGCAATAATCATTTAAATCAGTCCTAAAAATTCTCCCAAAATATTTGCAAACAACAGCCTTTTGTATCTACAAAGCTTAATTCTAACAATTTCAACATAGCACAGATTAAATATAGTAGCTAATTCCTGTTTCCAGGTATGAAGTACCTAATATATAGTGAAATTATTCTCGGTAATGTAATTTTCCCCAATTCTTTGTACCTAAAATGCTCGAAATTCAAGCGCGTAAAACATCCTCTCACATTAACCAGTATCAGACATTCTCTCATTAGTCTCATATTCACCAGTACAAGTTATCTGACCAGATTGATCAGATAACTGACCAGATTCATCGCTACCAAACAATCTCCATTCAGCAAGTCCTATTCTTCCAATTCGGCAGTCAGTACCATTCTCCAATTTAAATCCGAGCCAGGCATTTTCAAGCCATAATCAGTCCACAAACCCAAAGTTTTCCTGCAACATTCCCAAGCAACAGTCAAGTGTATCTACAAAACTCAATCATAATGCATGGCTCAATTTTAATCAAATTTATAACAATAGTTCGATTTTACTTTGAATAAAGTTCACAATAACGGAACCGTGCAACTTAGTTACTTACAAAATTTCTCTTTAACCCAGTAGTAACGTCTCTTCAGCAGCAAGCTGTCCGCCGACCAGTTGGTAAGGTTGCCAGACGTCGCTAATCAACTTGCGCACACAACGTTAATCGACTTGACGAATCTAGGCTTTCGGTTCCACAGTCCATAAAACGATAACGATGTCTTGGTTGGTGAATCAGAAATTATAACATCGAGTAAAAGAGCACGAGTAGCTGAAATACCACATTCGTGTCAAGAAACCCCAAGTTAAATCTTTCAGCAAAAAATCTTGAAGCTCTACGGTGTGTTCTTGAATGTCGTCATTCCCGATATTCCACTTTCGAACCGCCAAAGAACCTTAGGAGGCACTGGACATTAAGCACTTAGGAAGTTGTGTTTCTAAAGATTCTTAAATTAACATGTTCAGCCTTTAGAAACTTTATCGTTTTCTAATAGCTTGCATCGCAGTTCACACCCAGGATACACGATAGAAATGAGAAACATGTTTAATTATCAACCGCACCCGGCGAAATGCAGAGAAATACAGACAGTTCGACAGTTGACACCAGAGCGTCGGGGGAAGTAGGGGGTAGTAGGTACCGTACAGGTAACCCCTCCTTTAAACAGTAGGGGGATATTTATCAGTCTTACCTCGAGAGCGCGGGTTTTGAAGCCTTGTGTGTAATTGTAATTCGTGCGTGTTGCCGCAAAAAAATGCATGGTTATTGCTAGAACACGACGCACATATGTAGACATAGAAGAAATATAAGCAATGCACGCGTGTTGTTGTACATATTCGAACATCGCAAGCGTGTTAACAGAAACGCGATGTCTGCGTTAGATCGTGTATTGAACATAGCGCTGTTCACGCATGCGCTGCTGAAAACACGTTTTGGCGAGCATTAGTAGCAACCCTATTGACGTAAAAGTAACGCAAGCACGTTGAAGATAGCGCAATGCCCACGTGTTTTTTATGCACATGCATAGCAAGCGCGTTGACAGACACGCATTGCACGCGTGTTGAATCTCGCGTGCTGATAAGTTCGTACCCATGCACAATGCACACGCAGCGTCACAACTAAAGGCAGGGGCTTGTCACGCTCGCGCTTAGAACTCATGCCAGCTACTGATCAGGGTAAGCCAATGGTGGCCTAACCAGCCGCTGATTTCGAGTGCAATTATACCCTTATATTTTTTCCCATGGAACTACCCAAAATAGCCCCTATTGGGCGGCTGAATGGGGGACGAGGCCATTTATGATTCATCTCTAATCCGAGAGTGGCAATCGAAACCCGACCGACAGCTGCGTCTGAATTTTAACAGGGACTATACTGATGAGCGTAATACCAGCTATTCAATATTTTAACTACCTTGAGGCATATTATTTACTGCTCATTCTAAAAAAACTTGAGCCGATTACGTGCATCCTCGAACTACTACCTGGTTGAACGATGGTTATATTTTTTGCCTGTCTTCGGTTACGTGTCCACGCTCGATTGTTGTACTGCGATGCTCGGTCGTTAAACTCTGTTTAAACCGCTCGGTAGCTGCTTGGGTCCGCTAAATGATGCATTCCTACTTCCTCCTGCATGCGCACGTAACATCCAGTGTAATTTGCTAACGACTTGTTATTTCACTACACGTCACTTGTTCCGTCCAGCGAACGGTTTAATGTTTTGCAAGATTATATAAAATTTTGACTACAGCAGTTTTAAAGACGAATAGAACTATTACTACTATTACAAATTGTAATTTGTGACCTTTCTAACATTGCCGTGCTCTATGGCAATTACAGAAATTTATCCTCTAATATGACACTAGTAACTGAATGACACTAGTAACAGGCTGAGGTTGACAACATTACAACGAAATCTTTCGTACAGTTTTATTCTGTAATTTATATTATGTATATATCATGCTGGTTTATAAATAATATTTAATACTATTAATAAAGTCTAAAGGCTTTATTTATAAATGTAGCGGCAGCGCTGTAGCGGCAAAACCTCGTATCGCTACTTAAATATGAAGCGGGCGCTACCGCTACCGCTACATTGCCTTAAATGTAGCACCGCTACCGCAACCGCTACTGAAAATGTAGCGGCCGCTACCAACAGCCGCCACATGTAGCGCGCTACTGCCCACCTCTGCATATACAGTACATACACAATGAAATTATCTCACTACCACGTAGCTCCGTAAGCTTAAAATTTTGTACAGTATCGCACCATTTGACCTCTCAAATGTGTGCGCACATACATCGACGCCATTCTCTGAGCGAGAGAAGGTCATGGCTCGCTCAAATACCAGCGCCTGACGAGCGCCATCGTGAGGAAGCTTGACCAGTTGTTCTTTTCGGTTATATTAAACAGATTCGACCCATCGGGAAATGGATTTCCGAAAAAGACTTCTAAATAGCAGCGGAATACAGCACGTAGACGATTAACACCCGATTCACCTCAAAGGCTTTTCAATAGACTGCTGAGAGACCCAAAATGGAACCTGAATTTCAACAAGAAATATTCTTGTTCATTATAATCGGCTGTTCATGTGATCCTCTAAGAGGTTCCGTTTTTATAAACTGATTATTCATCGTCATAATTTACACTTTCGTCCATTATATATAGTTTCTCTCCCTTCAAGCTACCTTGCTTATATTTTGTTCTTCGCCTGTATTGCTTAAACAGTCGAAACAAATCAACTGCTTCTCAATGCTTATTAATCAACTTGAATACAAAAAATATTAATAATCAGTATCCCGTTTGTCCGGTTGACATGCTAATTTTGCTTCGCCATGTAGCTGTGAGCGACGTGGCGCTATGCAATCGCGCGTCGGTGAGCGGCGCGGACGACATCAGCAACGGTGAACTGAGCAATGCGCCCACAGACGTCCTAATGGAATGCCTGGGGGCCTTGGGGTCCCGCTACATGGACGCCGGCAAAGCCCAGGTTACTGCTGTGCTACTCTAATTAGATTGAATAACAGCCCTAGTGTGATCATAGCGTAATTTTAGCAACTTATTCCGATTCATATGCCGAATGATGAAATTTCTCTTCTTTGGTTACAAGCCTGGCCGAAGTTAGTCGCTAGAAACGTCTGCATACTCCTTTTAACATTCATAGATATGATTAAGGGCCATTTTGTGCCAGCTGTTTTGTGGACTCCTTGCTAAACATTTGCAACTTCTCATTCAGTGAAATAGTTAAATTATTGGAACTAAGCGCTGTTGCAGTCGTCGCACGGCCAGTGGTTTATTTAATTTTAGCCTAGACAAAGTAGGCCTGCATTTCACATTTTAGGGTAGAGCGGTGACAATGCTGGGCTCTAGCTAAACACTGTGAAGTTTAAGGACGGAACATTGTGAAGTCTGAAGACCCTTGTGCGCTTGCTTTCAACCTGTTCGATGAGTAGATGACTAAGTGGTGGTGGCGGACCATGAGTGGTAGACGATCTTTTGTCATCTCACTGTGGTGGTCCGTAAAGAACGCAAGTTTGGATTATCGCTGACTCGCGGTCTGATAGACTTTTTATATTTTCGATTAGTTCATTGTCGCATCTTAAGTTAACTTCCTGTCTTCTGTTATCATATGAGAATATGAGTTTTCGAATATCACACAATTTTTGCAGATCCTGGCAAACAAAGTTCGGGAAACCCTAAGCACGCGCTCCTGGTCGTCTCTCACGAACGATCTCATGAGAGACATGAACTTCATCATGAAGGGCATCCCTGCTAATGAAATTCGTGACCTCCCACGCCTGGCTCCTCCCAACGATTTCTCCGACACCGTCACCGTCTTGGGCAACGAAAAGATGATGTTCTCCGACGAACAGGTATGGATTTTTAATGATAACTAATGACATATGACACTGTGGCTTTTGACTCACAAGGAATAAAATTACAAATAACAACAGTTGATATCAATCGATCCTTTCTTATATAATAAACAATGAATTGTGACAAGCAATAATGACCTATGATAAACGACGAAAAGATGAATCATATGTTCCCTACTTATAATGAACGATGGCAAGACCAAACGCTGAATCTCGACTCGTGACGACAGGACCAAACTTTTACACAGGACTACACATGTAACCGTAACTTCCATAAGTTTTTATTAAACACCATAACAAAAATGATTGACGATATTATTACGTGAAAGAAGCTTTATTCGATGAAAACGGGAATTGTTCTTGTGTTCTCGGGCAGCGCCTGAGCCCGCAAATTCACAGGAATTTTTGGGAATACGATAAAAGAAACATTCAATTTTTTTGAGATTTTGCTCAGTTCTATGCCCTTTAACGAGCTTCTTAGGATTAGGCTAATTTTTCTGTACCACACTTCTGTTGAGCGTACATGATTTTACGTAATGAATGATGCATTTTTTGCTATATTATACTTGATACTCATTACATATATTTAAGGTAATATTTTTTCGGCTATGTATTTTGTGAAAGGCTTCTCTTTTTCATTTATCGACGTCCAATCATGATTGCACCGTATCTCGAATATCGAAAACTGGGATAAATTTATCTTTCATGAATTAGATTTATGACATTAATTCCAGCCCGATTTCTAGAGCCAATTTTTGATCAATCAGAACGTATTTCGATCACCAATACGATGACATGTTAGTTTTCAATTATTCCTTAGGAAATTGAAATTCCTCCACTCCCCTATGTACGATCATAATTTACCTTCTTTTATATTGTATTAAACCAGTTCCAATTTTTGAAACATTTGGTATACTTTGTGATACTTTTTTTAGGTTCAGCTAACTAAATTATTGTATCATATTCTTATTTACTTTTTCCCAGCTCCGGGCGTACGCGGACAAGGTGCTCACGACATGGCGGTCACTGGCCGACATGTCGGACAAGCAGCTCGCCATGTACAACCGCCTCCTGTGCGCCGCCAACGCCTCCCTCATCAACACCCTTAGTCCAGACCGAGTTGGGTACGTAATGTACTGAATCTTTCTTAGGTCTAATTTTTTCTTTAACACATGTCAAAAAATCTCAATTTTAATTCTAGTGTAACGGACGTTTATGAAGTGCGTCTGTTTTAGTAGCAAAACGGGGAAGATCTTGGTTGATACCACTTTACACACTAGTTCAAGCGCGACCGTACTTTTAATCACAATCGTTTTTACCGTGCAGAAACGCACTAACTTACCTCGGAGTTACCCTAGAAGGCTGCAGCAGGGATGATGTGCTGACGCCCCTAGCTTTGAAAGCCATGGCTTACTACCCTTACAATCCGAACAAAGCCCAGGTGACCTCGTCGCTTCTATGAAGTCCATGCAATATATGTTTCATGAAAACTACTTATAACCTTATTACAGTAATATTCTCTTTCAATATATCGCGTAGCAAGAATGTATGTCATTTAAGAATGTGTAATTGGTTAACCAAGCTCAACATCATATGCCATCAGCGAGCAATTGTTATCACCAACATGTTTAGAAAAACTAACGCATCGGATTTCAGGTGCGTGAGATGGGTGTGGTCTTCGCCGGGATTACCTATGACAAAATCGCAGGACGTGACGCGAGTTCCTTCACCGGCCTCACGCCTGCTGCTCTGCGCGCCATGTCCGGCGAAGCTATCCATGTACGTAGTGTACAATGAGTACGTGGGTTACCTGAGTACATGAGGTGCTTGAGAACGTAAGGTACGAGAGTACGTGGGTCACCTGAGTACGTTGGGTACCAGAGAACGAAGGATACCGAATTATGTGCAGGTATCAGGGTGCGTAGAGTACCAGAGTACGTGGGTATCTGAGTATGTGAGAAACCAGAGTATTTGAGGTTCATAAATTTGTGATGGATCAAAGTACGTAGGGTACCAGAATACGTGAGGTAACAAAGCATGCCTGTTATATAGAAAATAGGGCACAGAAAGCATGAGGTCTGGAATTTAATGTACCTGGAGTACTGATAATTCAAGGATCCAGGCCTTATGTCGGCTGGGATACATTGGTTATTTTACACTTGCAATTAGGTGCAAAATGGTCATGGCCAGCAAATGGTAGGCCTTCAGGTCTGCGCTTATTACGAAGTGCGACAATTTTAGTATGAACACCCAAAACAGAGCAAGCGCTAAGTACATGGTACGTAGAGCATAGAAGTGTTAAATATAAGATTAGCTGATTATATTACAAGTGGTTTAAAGGTGCCAAAGCCAAGATCGTTCCTGTAATTTCCTGAAATTTATTTAGTATTACTTTATTAATTTATGTTCACCCTTATAGGCGATGAGTCCAGAACAGCTGCGTAGTCTGTCTTACACAACCGCGATGGCCATGAGCGGAGGGGTGAGGGACAGCCTCTCCGGGGAGCAGAAAGCGGCTCTCAACGAGGCCATCACCGGGAATGGGACCTCAAGGCGAGGTAAGGTCGCTTCTCAGGCAGCCGTCGGTAATCCTATGGATGTTGCCTGGTGTAAAAACTCAACATAAACGAGTGTGTATGTAATAGCATGGCTTGAGACGTGCTGCAGGCATGGTGCCCAATGGCGATGTCTTGAGAAAAAAGCCACTGCTTTTTGACAGTTTTGATGAAAGATAGAAATGTTTTACAGATAGGACAGATTATATAGATGTAGATACGGATGGTACTAATTGCAAATGCTAGGAAGCCCTTTCAGAAACTTTAGCGAAATTTTAATTTTGATGAATTGAAGCAGCATTGTGCTTAAGCTTCTATTCCATTGATCTTCATGTTATTTTCAAGCAGTTTTCCATGAAACGGGACAATAAAGTGTATTGATTGACTTTTAAATAGAAAAAGTCCCAAGCTTTGGCTCTTTCTCGCCTCATTCGTCAGCCACTTCTTAATGATGCATTAATTCTTCTTCTCCGCCGGTAGCAGCGTTTTGGGACTGATTAAGTGTGTTGTTTGCATAAATATAAATGCGATGATCCTGTTTGCTCTATGTCTCCACGGATTAAACATGCATTTGAGGACAAAATTCATTTAAATGTAGCCTATTTTTAAGTTCCTAATATAAACTAGCTCAGCTGATTGAGGAACACGAGCATCGTAATGTTCAATTTGCAATAAAATAAGGTATCATCACTACTAAGGAACGAGCGCCATTTGGATACATTTTCGGAGTACAAAAATATTGGTTGATGCAGCGAAACTCTAATCTTATTTCGTGGTGGTTACACTGCAAATGTCCTAATTGTGCTGTTTGGGTACTCGTGCGTTGTGGTTTAGGGATCAACTTATTAGTAGTAGTATTTTCTGAAAAATTTACTGTACACAGAGCTGTCAACTGCCGCCGCTCTTCTGTCGCTGCTCCTGATGGTCGTCGCTTCGTAAATAACGGCTTGAATGACGTCTTTATCAACAAGCCGGAGAAACGTCATTCATCAGCAGCGATATCAGGAAGAGGAAAGACATCATGTTTGCTAAAAGTCGTGATATGATTTTCTGGAACAACGAAACTGTCATCTACGTGAGACATCCTCGTGATAATTAAAAAAATGTATCTCTTCTAATTATTAAGGGTTACTCCCCGCTATTTTTTTCCAAAACAGAGGAAATTGGTTTCGTTTACTTCAATACGCTGCTAAGGTCATGCAGGAAACATCGATCACGTTTCAACTACCGTAATAGAGGTTCCATGGAGTGCATTCGAGGAAAACTAACATTTAAAAGTGAAAAATTAGACGCAATCCATTCGAAAGAATCTGAATGCACTGCACAACTTGACAATCATTGATATTTATTGATATGTTGAATGGACAAGTCAAGGGCTTTACTTTGAGTTAGTTTAAACTATGAATTTTCCGCACTAATTTTCTCCTTCAGAACACTCATATTGTGCCCTGGAAACATACTAATTGATAAACAAAATGAAATGAAAATTGATGTAGAGGAAAATAGAAAAAATTTAATCAGTGAAAATGACCGACAAAATTTTCTCCTCTCTAGCTTAAGGGACAATAAGGTAAGCTTTTTTAGGCGATACAAAAATATCTGAATTCAACGAGTAAAAGGTCATCCTGTGTGAAGACCTCAAAAGAAAAACATACACACTGACATATATGTTTTTAATAGATACTGTTACAAATTTGGAACTAATGCTAGGTGTTTCCAATCGCATTATTTGTTGAACGTTGCTCATTTTTGGAATTTTGAAGCACATACATAAAGCAGAGAAGCGCCATAATTAAGTAACATCGAGTTCACACGCGAAATTTGTGTGAAATTACTTCTTTACAAACTACTATTTCATATCCGAAATTTGAATAGAGGCACAAATAAAAGTAAATTCAGTAGTGAACTAAGGATAAAAACACTGTTTAATAATCAGAGAGTTTTAGCAGAAGTTATTGCTCATTATTAATAAAATAACTGACCAGTCAAAGGGACATCTTCCGTCTTAAACAACTACTAATGGGACCAATTTTGCCTTGACATTTTACTAATTAAATAATGGGTTCACTAATGTATAGTAGCGATATGTTTCTTGTTTGAAGTGTAGAAGCTGTTACTGTCAATAAATCCGTTTCAGGTGTTTTATAGAAATAGTTAAATGTTCTCATTTACTTCACCGTGAATGTTCGACAGTTTAAACCAGAGATCTGCGACCCACGAACGGGACGCTGCGTCGTGCAGTCGGCTTAATTAGACGGTGCATATCTTAACATGAACATTGAACATAGTTGACATTTATATGTTCAAGGGCCTGTTACGTGACCAAACCCCACCATATTAAGGGGTTTATGGAAAAACGTGTGTGGGGAAATTGTGCATTGCGTTGTTGATAAACGGACTCGAAGAAAAATATTTTTAATTTGAAATAAGACTTGAATATAAGTGGCATTAAGATATGCAGTTGCGGTTCAAGGTCTCGAAACACTTGGAGAGTTGCCCCCAAACCTTCACAGCACCTAGGCTTGCAAGATGTAATATGAAGTCGGATAAGGCTTTTGGACAAAAAGGATGCTGACCTCTGGTTCAAACTGTCCGCTGAATGGCGCTTAGTGTGATATACATGTTAAAACGACTTGTCAAATTTTATATTATTTTTCAAGAAAAACTCTATAGTTAATTGTATTTTAAAGTAGTAGTAGATCATTACCCTAACAAAATGTAGTGGCATGAGCGACCCTGCATTCGGACCGCCTATAACGCTTGGAGCACGTAAATCAGCTTCTATACGTCCGCTTCGGCTCAAGTTCGGAGGGCAGCCTCTGGGCAGTTTGTCAGCTCGGTTAACTCGGCTCGGTCAACTCTTGTCATACTCTCGGGCGACTATAAAGACGGTGAGGAGATTCTGACCAGAAACTAATTTCGATTGGGTGGCCTAGCAGACCCTGAATAACTTTGCGCCGTGTGTAGCGACCATTCGGCCGAAATAATTATTATTTAAGTACAGTGTACAGTTTTTTGATCGTATGATCAATTAATTTCAAATTTACGTGCGACTTCTGAAATTTCAGGCACAGTTAGTTGGCAATACTCAAGTGGAATTTCTTCTTATGTGACGTTATGCAATTATAAATGCACAATTCGGGTAAATCTTACGAAATTGGTGATTTTCAAAAAAATATTTACATATTACAATTTATTGTCAATATGAATGGAACTTTGTTGCTCAATTTGAAATGAACAAGATTTCATAATGAATGAAATTTAGCTTAAAACTCGAAGAAATTAGTTGGCTTTATATCAAACCTCTGGTTTATTTCAAAAACTTCTGTCTTAAGGCGAATAATTTAAAAGCATTATATTCTCTTAAGAACTTGTGATTGATGTTATTTGGCACGAGAAATCTACATTAAATAAATTATTACTGCTTGTTCTACAATTCACACGGATTTCAACACTTTTCATTGTTCAGGTTATTTGTTTTCGTAGACACTAATTTTATTAATTTTATGATGTCGTCACTCATTATGGGACAATTTTATGATTGCATTTGATAATCAGTGTGTTGAGTGTGTTGTTATTATTAAGTAAAAAACTTATTGTAGAAATAAATAGTTATCAATATAATTAAGATATTTATTCTCAATATCGTGATGCAGATGTTTTGGCCTTAACTCATGTTTTTTAGGCAATATCGAATTGATGAACGGCTAAGTAGACAGTTATTCGTGAAGTCGAAGCATTTAGTAGGTAATTACGCTCTGTGAAGGCTCCTCAGCAAAGTTGTCAAATTCAGACAAACCATATTCAAATTGTTCGAACTTGGTATCCAGTGAATGATGACACTCATAGAACCGGTAAGCTCTTAAATTGTAATTTTTTATATCATTTCAAGTTGTATTCTATTGTAACTCGTCAACAGTTAAGACATTTAAGAAACCATTCTTATTCATCCAAACTTCATTACTCCGCCGTCGGTATGCGGGTTTCTCTGAATCTTAATGATTTGCGACCAACAGTATGTTTACCCAGTTCGAAATCCTCGCCGTGACCAAGGCAATTCGGGACAGGCACCTTCGCCCACAGGTCCAACTAGGCCGGCGATGACAAACTCAAGTCGCATGCCCGCAGATTGCGGACGATTCGGCCGGGCACGGCCCTTACCTCAGAAACGTACTCTCAGGCATGTGCGAATGTTACCATCGTTAGGACATGCCTGGATGATTTTTGCCTTGCGGTTGCGCTGTTGCGAGCGTTGGGATCCAGGGCTCTGACTGGGTAAGGATATAATAGTTGGTGCAGCTCTCAAGTCCTGCTGTGACGTAGATTAAGTACTTTGATGTTTACAAATTATGTATCTTCAGTGCATTAATTCTGACCATTGATTAAAGATTTGAATTCTCGGCTTCGTTGTATCCCTTAAAGTCAAACTACTACCAAATTGCTTTGAGGCGACCTTCTTTGCTTAATTCTGTATCGATACTCGGCCACTTCACTCTTCATTGTTATAGTGGACGTAGATTTCGTTAATTAGATGTGTTTCTCTACCAAAACAATGTTGAAGGGAAAGAAATGTGATTCGGTTTTTTAACCTGTTTTCTGTCTCGGTTTGAACTTTTGGAAAGAGAAACTGATTTACATAAGCAGATACAACTCCTAATAACGATGCAAAATAACCAAATAACAAACTTTCAGACAATATAGTCCTGCATGCCGTACAAAATAGCAGCATAATGTAGCACTCTTCTCATGCGTTAGATAAAAATGCGAAATTACACCCCGATAGACGCTGCGTATGAAATTTATTGGCAAAGTAATTTTACATTAATTTTCATAAAGCACTGAAATTTTGCATTATTCAACAACTCTTATATTAATTATCCTTTAAATCCACTTCATTGAATATAAACATATATTTTCTACATGAAATTTCTGGAAAAAAACGTACTTCTAATACGTACACTTGGTTCATTCAAAAATCAGCAGGTGAACCTACAGCAATGACAATCAATACTATAGCAGAACTGTCGTGGAAATATAAAGAAACACTGGGGTATGGCATGCGGCTTTCAAAATACCATGATCGTCTGGTGATGAAAAAAAGGATAGCTCAATTAGGTCGAGCGCTGAATTAAGCAAACCAAAACCTGTGCGCGCTTTGCTAAAAAAATTAATGCTTAATCAGTTGTGCACAAAGTCTTCGGCAACAAATATTCTATCGATGTTGCATCATTAGAACTGACTCTGTTTTCGTATTATTTTTCGATAATATGATGAACAGTTTTATTTTTTATTTTTAACCGCAGAGCAGGTATTCCTTTTACTCAGTACAATTCCCTCACAAATGTAGAGCCGGACGCGACTCTGAAATATTGCATTCGTATAGGACTCTGGGGGCACGTAAATCAGCTTCTATGTGTCCGCTTTTTGTTCAACATTCCGATCCCAAGTCAGACAGCTACGAGAGTCTGGTCAAGACTCTGGCGGCCACTGAGCGGTTCGTTTTAGGGTCGTCCTCGTATCCGGGGCAGCTCTGGCCGAGTCTGACAATGTGATAAAAAAATCGCCACCCCCCTTAAAAATCGATGGGAGGAGCGATTGAATTTATACTTGATTTACTTCAATTGCCTGTTTCTGTTACTCGTTGAATTCATAGAGCATACTAATAAAACTCAGAATTGTGGGTAATAATGCGGGCGTGAAAAATATTTTCCCTCACAACCGTAGGAATAGTGCATGAAGTTATCGACAATAAACTAATTGTAAACTGAACAATAACAGAGTTACGTAATCTCTGCCATGAAGAACGTTGCCTCATAGATATTTACCAAACCACTGTAAAATGGGCGAAAAAATAAACGATTATATATTTGCTTGTATGAATTGATAACGTCTCTTAACTATATGCAACCTTAGTGGTTGAAAAGTATATATATCCAAAGAGAACAAACTAACTAGCATTCATTTGCGTAAATACCCAGTGCAGAAGTGCAATAGACATTGGTAAACAGTGAAGAGTTGTTAAGAGTTTTGTTTTACATGTCTCAGCTGCGGTCCGGTGTAAGAACGCAGCGCTGCTCCCAAACCTCGAAAGCGGGTCTAGACGATCTAGAGCTCGTATCTCACCTCAGCGCCCCACGACGCACGCATGCTTCTTACAATTTTTGATACTGATTACGACGATGGACATTCAATAAAATTTTCCTATCTTGACTATGTAAGAGATAATTTTTTAGTTTCTTGATAAAATACTATATTTTTAAAGAAATACACAGTTAAAACAATGTTTTCCGCAAATTGATGTGCCAGCCACTGCATATACTGGTTCTAAGCTGCTGGGAAAGCTTTGCCTATATTTCCCTTATTCCGGACAATTTTTGATAATCGCACGTTTTCGTTAGCCTTTTAAAAAAGATGATCTTTCGAAATAGTGGTTTTCAAACTATGGTATGCGAGGAAATTGTGTAGTGTTGGACATTTATAGTGTATGTCATCAATAATTCAAGCTGTCAATAGTCTAGCCCGACCCCTCTGCGTTCTCTCATATTGCGAAAGTTGTGAAAAGTTTACTAGGAAGAATCTTAGAGCCGAGCTGTGAAAAATATTTATGAGTTCGGAACTCCGTCAGCCAATCACGGATGGCTCTTCAAGATAAACCCACCAATCACAGACGTGAAAGCGGTCGTTAGGTGTATGTAATGTTCCTATTGGTTCAGGTTCAAACGGTTCGGTTTCTTTGATTCATTGACGGTAACATTCGATGGAGTGTTTGGGTTATTAGGCTTGATCCAGGTTTCAGGCTTATTAAGTATAGAAGCAGAACAGAACAGAGGAATAAGTACAAATAAACACGCAACTATTTAATGTTCGAGAAATAGGAATATTACAGTGTACTTGAACGAGTTTTGTTTTGATAGTACGGCACCTGGTCGACCTCGCCGCCGTTGCAGACGTCGGTAGCACCTCACGAGACCAGCAGAACCAGCAATAAGGGAGGCAAGTTCAAGCTCCGCATGCTATCGATCGTGTTTACTTAAAGATAATACAGCACGATGACTGGAGTTCATTCATCCAGGCGCCGCAGGTCGAACAAAGTAAGCCACATATATCAAGTCAATGTTCCCGAGTATTTCAGGGAAATAGCATGCATAACGATGAGATAAATGGAATAATATCTCTGAATAAAGAAACCGATATCCATAATTTCCAAGAAATTGGTCAGTACTACGAACTTTGTGACATATTCATGCATGGATTCAATGCTCGATTATTTCCTCATTCTAAGGGCCCTCCAACCTGGGATTTTATTTTTTTTTCAATCATTTAAAAGTTCATCATTAGATGAACAAAGGTCCGATTAATGAACAAGTAACTATAAAACAATTTCGGTAGCTCGAGTATTCTCATTCACTTTGTTACTTTTCATATTCCGCTAGAATTAAAAATACATGTAAATGTTAGGAGCAGTTAAAGTTTGCAAATGGTAACAGAAATTAGCCTGCAATTCAAATTGCAAGAAACTGGAAAAACATTGCAATTGCAATAACCAAGACACATGCACGATAATTTAACATGGATTTGTTGTTTTTTACATACAAAATGAGGCCGACTGAGCCGGGTGAGTTCGGACATTGGGACGGAGAAATCATCATTCGTATCGTTCATGTGGTGCAACAGAAGAAAACATTTGTAATAATTTACGTCATGAATCGTCTCGCGAGCTTGTGCTAAATTATGCGTCTTAGTAAATAACCTCAACGATGTGTTCGATGTCATGTAAATGGATAATAGCAACATTTCAAATAATGATTGCGATGCACTCCGGGTACATTTCTTCGGCATGCTATCATTGTTGTGTAAATAGCAAGCAAGTTTGCAATTTTGTAATCCCAATAAAGCAATGTGATTAAATAATTATAGATTGTGCTACTTCGAAATTTAGTACGTAATCCGCCAGGCTCCAACCATTTTCCATTATTCTATCCTGTATGTAGCTCAAACTTGGAGTTAATTGCTGACCATGTTGGCTCATTGTGATATTAGTTCTCTTTGCATTTAGAAGAGTCAAAGCTGCTCGTATATCACGGATATTCCTTTTTCATTAGTTATTGCAAAGAAATATGGAATTTAAGAAAGACCGTTGCGAAAAGTGAAAAGGGAATGTTTTCACCTTCTTTTGAACTAGCGGATTAGTTCAAGTAAAACTCTTATCATAACCATGTTAAAATTGGAGACTCCCAGCCTGAAATCCCCAATATAGTTCTTATACAAAACAAACAACGATTTAAAGGCTATGAAACAATTTAATTCATGTTCAACGACATATGGAATTTAAAAACGACCGTTCCGAAAAGTAAGAAAACAGCTTAATTTTCCTAACAGTGTAGTTGGAGTGGCTACGGATTTCACCAGTTGCGTCTTGACGCGCGCAGTGCAAGGTTGTGCTCATTTCCACTGCGCAACGTTGAGCTGCGTAAAAGAGTGCGCAGAAACTCTATAACTCAGTTGTTCCTTCAATATTTTAAAGAAAAATATAGTGAAACAGCTACTTGACGCTAACGGAGTGAGTTATTTTTTGAGAATTATCGGTAAACTTTGTAAAGTTTAGTTCTTTTCGAATGGAACTTTACGCAGGCACTTTGAGTTTGCGTTATGACGCATTTGCTTACATTTTCAATTCTTTCATTTCTTGAAACTGTAGGAGAACTAATCTTTACATTTTTACGTGGTTTTGAAAGAAGATTATGGCTGCAAGTTTATTTTTCAGCCGATCATTGGTCATTTCAAAATATCGTAGAAGACTTGAAGCCATGAAAAGTTAATTTAGTATTTTTAAGTGGTTAGCCCAGGAGGTGCAAAATTATATCCATTTTGCACCTCATCCATTTTAATTCCATATCACCACCAATGCCTTGTTTATTTTGAAAGTAGGAGTGAAAATTAATATGAAATAAATTCATGAAAATTGGTTATTATTGAAACATAATCACCTCTACATATTTCAAATGTGGTACCGATGACCAATGATTTCTTGGCGGCCTTTGGTTGCTCGAGGGCAAATTATATCGGAAAAAAGTTTTCCATCTTAGAGATTGTATTGATCATTTCTTCACATTTTTCCAACAACAATAATTTCATTTGGTATTGCTGACATTTTAAGTCCGTTTGATAATCTCTTAAATCATCGAGGCAAAAAATCGTCAAGACATTCAGGAATCATTCAAAAATTTTGTTACTCCGAAAGTTTGTAGATCTCAAGAAATGGCTCATATCTGCCTGAGAATGTGATTCAAAAAATATTCGAAACACGAGATGAAAATTAAATTTGAGTATTTGAATATACAAGTTAAAAAAATCAGTCAGAATTAAAATCCGCTGGAAAAAATTCAGTATTTTATTTTAA